GAAATTATATGAAAACCAAACTTTTTCGAGTTTGTATAAAAATATTTTCATGATTTGTGATTTAAAATCAGAGCGTACCTTTCAATATGTTGAAATAAAAGTTTGGCGTTGGAAATAACGAATGCATTTGCTATTATCAGAACTGTTGAAATTGTCGAAGAGAAACTTTCGTTTCATGTTTTATAAAAACAGCCCGTCCCTGCACCGCAGAATACTCACAAAAAACTTATTGATGGCAAACAATAACATAACGGCTGGCCTGAAAAGTTCGTAAGCTGACACATTGATTTCTAGTATTATATTAATATGATTTTTAGTTAGACCTAGGGGTTTAGTCAAGATCCTTTAACAGTAGTGGATGTAGAAAGTGGAAAACTGAATTTGTATGAAAATTTGTCGACACGAACTGTAATTTTAAACCCCCTAAACTTTAAAAGACAAGTGTATAAATTTGACATCTGTCATGAGTTTGTGAGATATAGTATTGTCAGGATGTTGAAGTGACTTTTGTTTGTTTAAAAAATATTATTCGGACTTTGCACCAGGAGATTCATCCGTTGAGAAGTGGTTTGATTAATTAAACGAGGCGAAATGAGCACTGAGGACGATGCACGCACTGGACGCCCCAAATACGCTGTTACCGTCGAAATCGTCAAAAAATAACATAAAGTCTCGGTTATTAATATAAAGTGAAGTTGATTAAGATCGTTGAGACCCTAAAAATATTAAAGGAACGTGTTGGACATATCCTAGATGAATATTTGGATTTGGAAGCTCTGTTCAAAGTGGGTGCCGCCCGAGCTCACAATCGACCAAAAACACCGTGTCACAAATCAATGAAAACGATGGCAAAATTCCATTCCCAATTGGGCTTCGAATTGACAGATCCACCGTATTATCCAGATTTGCCCCCCAGCGAATTTCTTCCTATTCTCTGACCTCATCAAGAGAATGCTCGATGGACAGAAATTTGGCGCTGATGAAGTGGTAATCGCCGAAACTGAAGCCTACTTTATGGCTAAAGACAAATCGTAACATAAAAATCTTATCGAAAAATTGCTATGGACCGCTATAATCGTATGTCAAATCAAATTCTATTAAAAAAATCTAATTTTTATATGGTCCTCCAAAAGCAGTTATTTCTTAGATTAAGGAATAAATCACGTTATAATTACTTAGAAATTGCTATACATCTGAGATTAGGTTAGATAGAACGAGGTAATTTATTAACTGTCATAAGTAATAAAGTTATTAATCGAGCATTTCTAGACACATGGAAAAGTTTGGAAATGACAATGGTGCATTTTAATACCTACGTCCCACTGTCCTCAAGCGACATCTGTTCTTTCTGTTTATTGCAAAACTTGCTTTGTTCTTTTGTTGAAATTAAAAAGTTCAGCAAGTCTCTACATAGCCTCGGTTTAAAGAGAAATTTTTTAAGAAATAATTTTAAATTACTGACTGCGAAAATAACTAAAAATACCTACAGTTATATAGGTACCTTAAGAAAATAAGTCTTGCTTTGTTTATATGAAATAATCCTTTTGGATTTTTATTCCAATGATACCTTGACATACCATACAAACACAATTTTTGTTTGTCTACACTTCTGGACATAAAGTATATTTAAAAATAAACAAAAAAAACTATAGTAGGATATGGGACAGTAGGTTTTTATTTCTCATTAATCGCATTATGAAATTCATTATCGGTTTATAGGTATTTGAACGAAAAATAGAGTAATTTTTTGCTTGGCCACTAATAACACACATAGCTATCAAAGCTAAATTACAAAATATAAAAATTAGAATTTATCAACTGTTAAATTTTTAGCGCCAATTTGTATGTTTCTCGTTCTCGCCTATAATAATTGAAGTAGGCACCTTAATATCCGCTGAGCGAATGCTGCTGGCCATATTGACCTCTTTCCTAATATAACTTAAATAAATTATATTTCCCTTCTATTCTGTTTTACAAACGTTGAATGCAAATTGTAATGCTTGAGCTTATTAAATAATTTTAACCGAATAAAGACAAAAAATAAGTATGTGGAAAAGTTTGTTATTTATATTTAAGCAAGAATATAAAAACGTCGTCCAAAGTATAAAGTTTAAAATTGCATGATTTATAATTATGACCGGAATTTTCTGATAAAATGATGCAGAAGTATATCTATACTTATATAGTATCAAGATAATTTAGGGCCTAGTCATATCGGGTATACGAGTTACGACACAATTTTTTTTCAATCTATGGTAGGAATAATTTTCGCGCCATTTCAAGGTTATAAAAAAATGGCGGCCTGGGCGGCGCTTGCCCATTGATTTGCATTTTGGTAAATATTTTTGTCCCTTAAGACTAGAAGTTTTTAGAGAAAGAATATACGTATGATTAGTGGTATGGTCTAAAATTTGCCTTGCCGAATAATAAAACAATATATTTTCTGACTACTTGCATAGATATTTTTGTTTGGATTGATATTTTAAAAGCTAGGGACGGACATCATAAATATACGATTTATTCTATTAGAAATCAATGCCACAAAATTATGTTCTGCTACCTTTTCAGTAAAAACATACTAGCCTATTAAAATTACTACTAAAAGTAACTATATTATTAATATTATTTGCAACTGCATAGACTAAGCCATTAAAGCACATGTGTGATACAATAAAAACCTCTTCTAAGGATTGGTTTTTTATACACTCGTGCTGGAATACACCTCATTACAGAAGATTTTTAAAAACTACTACGAGTTTCTATTGTTTTTGTACTATTATACATAGTTGTAGGTTACGAAGCCATTTTTTTTTATTCGACGATTTAAACATTGTTGTTATGTATTTAGAGTAAATAGTTAAAAAATAACTAAGTGTACATTACAGTAATTCATCTAATTAGACTGACTAAAACATAATTACGGACGACACAGTAACCGCACCTTACGACGGCACATTTTGACGAATGTCTAGTACGTAATAATTTATTACCGCTGCTTTCGCGGAAATATCTTGGTGAAACAGGGATGTATTATTAACCCTCTATTCGTTTTTAAACTGTCGCATTGACTTTTATGATTATTTGGTAGAATTACAATCTAAGGTATTCCGTAGAATACATGACACCCTCGTGTTTTTTATAGTAAAATATTTTGCAAAATTTCTGAAAAATAAGTTATAGTACTAAAATAAGTATAGTACCCAAGAAAGTCAAAAATGAGAAAACATTAAAGCAGACGTAATAGTGCTTTATGACTTCGTTCCCCGGGGCAAGCGATATTATAGTCATTGACTATATCTGGCTATTTTCCCACTTTCCCAGACGTCGCCAAGGAGTCTGCCATATCTTGGCATATTAAGGGCGAGGGAGGCAGGTCAGCGCTCTTTTTAAGTCGCTAGACAGGGCGTCGCGTCAGGATCGCTCTCCAAGGCTGCTAGTGATAACTTCTTTAATATTTTATACTTATAGCTTGTGTTTTTTGACTCTATGGATTAAAGATATATTTAGATATACAATATTAAACAGAGTTAATTTTAGCTGTACACAATTTATAATTTTCGTATATAGTATTTGACGTTGTTTTTAATAATTTTATTTTTATAAGTATGGTAATGATTTAGTCTTAAATTAATATTAAAAATTAAAAACGATACATTTTACGATGTTACAAGCTGTTGATAATAATTATGTAACTGATTGTTAAAAACACAGACTTATGTTAATAATATTTTGGTTTATGTACTTTAATACGTTGGTATTCACCTATTGATATTTACTATAAACTTATTATATGGTAAACGTAAAATCTATATTTGCTATGTACCGTATGTAGGTACGGTACTTACTTACTAAGTAGCCCAAGCATGGTAAACTAGCCCAAGTATTGGTAGTTCAAAGGTCATTAACCTCGATCAGGCTGCACTCACTTGGGTCATGTTAAGAGGCATTTTGCGTATTCTCGAACGCTTAACATGCTGCCATGTATACAATATTACTTCTTTCAGTTTAAATGCACTATAAAGTGCATATTCTCAATAAAATACATAAAAATATAAACATTTACGATGTATTATTATTTATACGTACATGATACATATATGGTTCGACTGTAATAATATGTAAGTTTGTTAAGAACCTTAAATTGTGACTGATGGACTAAGTTAATTTTAAGATTGTGTGTTTTTTGTGTGAGCTGAGCGGTGTACGTATAAGTTAATGTTATCCTACTGGTATAGCCTAGTTAATAGTTAGGGCAGAAAGTGTGCTCTTTACTGCATTTATACTACCGTAAACCTACCTACCTACCTACGTACCTTTAATTTTATTTACCGATTCGAATCAGTGACACAAATACTTAAATCTCTATAATGACACTAAAGTGGTCAAAGAAAAAAAGGTGTAATCATTGATTATGCTTAAGAATACTAGAGAGGTAGTAATCCAATTTATGAAGTTTGTTCTTACGGGTGTAATCAACCCACTTACCTTTGAGGGGAGTGAGCATATCACGCCGGCTATGACGTCAATCACCGAGTACCTGGTTGAGTCGATTTTAACGTGAAATCGATAAATTATTCATACGATTCAAGCGAGGTTTGTCACGGTGGAGTAGGAAAGTGTCCCACAATATATTGTATACACTATTGATTTTTGATTTTAGACGGACTTGAAACAACAACGCATTCTTAGACAGAAAATTTGTAGTAGTGTATATACTAATATATACTTCTTTTGTTCAATTTACTGAAATAGTACTAAACACATTTATTTAATAATAATTTTCTGCTTTGTTTATTCTATGTTTTATACCAAGGTTGCAAGTAATAGTGATATGTTTTTCAACAAAATTAGGCACGTCATCAGTCGTCATGTATGACACAATGTAATAGTAACGCTTTTACTAAATAATAGAGCCTAGATAATCAGTATACGCGACGAAGCCCCATTTTTACATAGATTTCACCCAAAATGAAATTGACATCATTATTTGTTTTTAGATTATGAGTGCGTACGGACTATCGGGAGGCGGCGAGTCGGATGTGATATCACGTCGACTAAGGGAGGCCGAGCGAGCGCGCGCCGACGCAGAGAGGGCGCACGCAGATGCATTAGCGCAACTTCGCACTGCTCAGCGCTCGCCGCTCGACTCACACAATGTCGAACAGCTACAATCGAAAGTTAGAGAACTTGAGAAAAAGGTAACAAAACGTAATAAGTTTTATATAAGCATATCCCACGAAAAGGATAAAACTAGTTATAATTTTCTAAGATTTGATCCATGTGTGAGCAGTGTCGGTTTAGTGGCTTCAGTGTGCGACTCTTATACCTGAGGTCGTAGGTTCGATCCCCGGCTGTGCACTAATGGACACTAAAGTTCAACACGGCAACACTAAAGTGGTACACGGTGAAGGAAACATCGTGGCGAAACCGGCTTGTGTCAGGCACAGGAGGCTGATCACCTACTTGCTAATTAGATTGACAAATGACCATGAAACAGATACATAATTCTGAGGCCCAGACCTAAGAAGGTTTTAGAGCCACTGGTTTTAAATTCTTTTTTGGTCCATGTGTAGTTTCCGAATAAAAAATCACTTTTACATTAAGGCAGTATAACTACGTATAAAATTTACTCGATGTTACTAACTATACCTAAATACTATTTAGAGATAGTAAATATAACATGTGAGCAAATCCAACTATGTAATAATTTTTAATTTTTTTAAAAATTGTTTAGAAAATTTAAAAAAATATTATATTTATTCTTTTTAATATTCTTTAGGCTGCTCTAGAAACAGTCCGATGTGAGGAACTTCAGTTAGAATTGTCATCAGCAATGCGTGCGAGAGGGACAAGTACCACTGCCACATGGTCCATGGCCACTCAACCTGCCACAGAAATTGAACGGATTATGGCTAAAATTGAACAGGACAATAGAATTCTCGCCGAATTAGAGCACACCAGGTCCACAACTCATGGTAAGTACACTTTATTATCTATTTTTATTATTTACTATCTTTTTATATGGAACGTGATTTAATAATAATCTACTTAGATTATTCCATTCTAGGCATACAGCAGAGCGGGTCCAACCAAGGGTTAGGAGAGTATCATTCACCAACACCGTCACCTCTACCTCACTCGTACACGAGTACAACGGGCCATAATATAACTTTGTGTCAGAGCAACACAATGCCGACTCTGTCTTCCCTTCATGCACAGTACACAGCCTCTAACCCTAACACCGCTGCGTATTCCATGAGTGCGCACAATCCTACCTCCTACGCGAACGCAGTTTCAGCTCCTTACGGCCTCTCAAACACACACCAAGTAACATTCACAAACCCTGTTACTGCCCCACTTGTTAACAACATCAACCAGATATCCAGTACCTTAGCGGGCTTACAATCCAATCTTCATAATCTTACCGGAAACGTGTCAGCTATGACTCTTGGAAACGCATTAACTGGAACAGCAATAACAGGCACGATGGCGGGAAGCGGTCTTAGTAGTTGTTTGAATAATGTACCAACAAGTTTATCAAGTGGACTAACGAGTACTTTAGCAGGAATACAATCAAGTTTGACAGGAGCACTCGGAAACACTCTAAGTAATCTTACAGGCGGAACACAAATTGGAGCTTTAAATACGAATCTAACAAGCACAAGTGTTTATGGAACTGGTAGTGGAACTTATACAAATCCACTTCTAACTAGTGGCTTAGGTACAAATCCGATGAATATTAAATTAAAGCCCATGGATGAGATAGATTTGGGCTTAGGTCGATATGGAACCAATAATCCAGCTATGATTCGGGCAGTGACTCCAGTGACTCCTCATCAACCAAGCTGGAGCTTAGGATTAGATAGCCAATTTCCAGATAGACTTGCTGGTTTAGAATCTTCTTTATATCATGACCGTGGTCAGAGAAACATGAGGCTTTTGCAAAATAATTTGTTAGATATGGATGGTAAGATATCGAAAATTATATATTTTTATTTTGAAATTTGAAATTATGTTTTGATATTGCTACAAAAAACATATAACTTGGAGGTTACAGTCTCCTGAAATACACTGTTCACTATATCAGGAGCCTGTGACACATGTTATTTATGTAATCTAATTATTGGCACAAATTATTATTATTATACACACCCTTTATGTTCTTGATGACTTCAGCGTTTCAGAACAAACAGTTGTGCTTTAAGTTATTGTTATCTAGTTTCTAGTTCTTATGGTAATTTAATTTAAAAAAATAAGGTATGGAGACCTTTATGAAATATTTGTGATTCTGAAAAATATCTGTGGTCAGAAACTTAGAAAAATATGTTTTCCTTGTTTCGTACAGCCTTTTAGGTAGGATAATAGTTTATAACTTAAGAATCCATCTATAGACATACTTCCATTTCAGTGCGAAACACACATTACATGAACGGAGGGGGACCAACCGAGGCCCAAGTTGATATGCTGGATATTCCAGGCAAAGGTCGTTGTTGTGTTTATATAGCTCGGTTTTCTTATGATCCACCGGAGTAAGTAAAAGCAAATCTTTAAATAACTTCTTTTTTTTTTTTCTTTTTTGATAAATAACATATTTCTATTTTTTTTTTTTTCGTAATCCTACAGCTAACATAAATTATATATACTGCTCAAAACAATTACGGGAACAAAACTTTAAAGTAGAACTAAACTTTTTACTTAAGGTTTTAATTATTACTGGCCACTAAATAATGTTAAGGCATTGTCGAAGAAAATAAAAAACAAAAGAGCATCGGCGTTTTGGTTAGTAGTCCTATAATAAAGTGGCAGTGTGTCTAGAAACACCTAAAAACAAAGTGACGTCTTTGAATTTTCATTACTTTCTAATCACAGAAAACACATTTTAAGTAGTTTTTTTCAATCTTTTGAGTATTAATAGAAATTGAAGTGAGCCTTTTGAGTATTGTTATTCATTGAAGCGAGTGAGTTTAGGTCATAATGCCAGATCTGACTGAATTGCATGTCTCCCGAGCTATCGCTTTGCTTGAAGTGGGTCGAACTATGCGTTATGTAGGAAATGATCTAGGAGTAGCCCCTTCTGTTATCTACAGACTTTGGAAGCGATACCGTGAGACGGGAGAATACTCACGAAGGCGTGGTCAAGGTCGAAAGAGAAAAACTACACGTTTGCAAGATCGCTACATCGTCAACTGTTTTACGTAACCGCACCACATCTGCAAGAGATCTACAAAATACACTAAGGACGGCTACTGGTGTAGAAATTTCCGACCAGACGGTAAGAAATAGGTTGTTGGAAGCCAATTTGAGATCACGCCGACCAGTTCGGGCTGTGCGTCTAACAATTCAACATAGACAAGCTCGCCGACAGTTCGCGCAAAATCACGCTAATTGGCAACTTCGACATTGGAGGCCAGTGCTTTTTACTGACGAATCACGATTCCGTCTAACACGTTGCGATGGTCGTCTCCGTGTTAACAGACGCCCAGGCGAGCGATACAGTGCAGCAGCAGTCCAGGAATATGACAAATTTGGATGTGGCTCTGTGATGGTTTGGGGCGGAGTTAGTTTGGACGAGCGCACAGATCTCGTCGTTGTTCCCGGGCGCTTGTGTGCTCAAACTTACATACATAAAATGTGCTCGAAGATCATGTTTGGCCCGCAGCATATGGTATGGGCCCAGATTTTCTTTTAATGCAAGATAATGCCAGGCCGCATACTGCAGCCATCACGTCAGATTACTTACGACAGCAGGAAATCCGTGTAATGGAGTGGCCTTCCATGAGCCCTGACCTAAATCCAATTGAACACATTTGGGACTTGCTTGACAGGCGCATCCGGAAGCGTCCGATTGCACCTCAAACACTGCAGCAGCTCACTGAAGCGTTGATTGAAGAATGGGAGCGAATTCCACAAGAAGATATTCGGAGGATCATACGAAGCATGCCGCGTCGTTGTCAAGCCGTGATTAGGGCTCATGGAGGCCACACACGTTACTGAAAGTCACTAAAGACGAATATTCAAACGATATAAGAATATTTCTTTGATGGACCTTTTTTATCACCAATTAGTTTTTCGTCTACAATGCACATTTTAATTTTTTTTAATAAAAAAAATACAAATTGATTTTTTTTATTAATTGTAGTAATTAACAAATTAACAAGGTAAAAAATAGCGTACAAGTTAATTTAAATCTAATTTTAGTTTAAGCAATAGAAAGGAGAAAAATCTTGTTCCGCTAATTGTTTTGAGCAGTATACAAGTTTTTAGTTACACTGAAAATATAGCCAGATATGGAATACATAATACATTTAACTATAAAAAGGTTCAAAAATTTACAAAAAGAAACAAACAAATAAACACTATTCAATACGTTTAACTAAGTGGTACCTAATTTGGCTGTGTAGTAAGTGTGATGGTGTAAAAGTGAGGGTATGTACGTGAAGGTGTATATGTGGGCTATGTTAATGATGCAGGTGATTTTGCGTTATGGATATTCTTAATACTTTTATACTTCTTTTAAGCATATTCCGCGATAGCTTAAACAAGTCAAGGCTTAAATATTGGTGGTTTTTTTCTTAAACATCAGGTCATATAACCAGACATGTAGCGAAAAGACAAAGAAATCTTCTATTATCATTACATTGTAATAAAAAAAATTAAGATTGTGATAATATTTATACGGATATATAAGTACTAGAGTATGTACTCTTTAACTCTAATCCAAAAATGATAATTTCAGAATTGAAAGTGCTGAAGGTGAGCTATCAATATGCGCTGGTGATTACCTCCTGGTTTGGGGTCCACCAGATCCAAATGCAACGATGCTTGATGCCGAATTGTTAGATGGTCGCCGTGGTCTAGTACCTGCTAATTTTGTTCAAAGGCTGGTAGGCGACGATCTTTTAGAGTTCCACCAGGTAAATACTAAAATAACTCGTTGATTACACTATAAGGGCATTCATCCTGAATGAACATGAAATGGTCTGTTAATCACTTAGTGCTCACTCAATAGTATGCGTCAAGGGTATGAATTATATTTTAATCTTAACGATTTATTAGTTATATATATAGTGTCCGCGACTTCTGCGGCTGGAAATTCGGTTTTGTTGTTATATGACCCAATGAGTGATTTTGTCAGCGTTTATGTAGTGTATGTATGAAGCCCAAATCAAGCATATTTTATAATTGTCATTCAAATTTGGCTTTTTTCTGACTTCAAATTACTCGTAAACGCAATGTAACAGAGGCTATGTTCCTTGAGCTATTTGAGCTTCCTATATACAATCTTTTTGTAAAACTCGCATAAGGTCTCGTTTAGAAATTAGCATTCTGATAGAAAAATTAAAACCTTTTTATTTATTTTAAAAAGCTAGTTACCATGTATGTATGTAACTTACACATCCTTTTTATTTATTTTTAATAGGACAAAGAAATATATTCTTATCGTCAACAATAATTCTAAACAAAAATGCACTGATATTATTTGAAAGGTTTCGATATTTGTTACTAAGTTCTTATATGGAAATAAGCATACCATTAACCAAGGTAACCAATAAACACGTATTAGAATAAGGCCATTTATTCCTTTAATTTTCAGGCCGTAGTAGCTACATTACGTGATGCCGATGAAACAGCTACGACAGCAATAAGTGATATGTCACTAAGCCGTGATGTGGCTCGTCTCAGTGAAGTCGCTGATGTAACAGATGGATCAGAAGATGATGATAATGGTAAGGAATTTCAGCCTAGTACAAATACAACATTTACATAGTTTTTTTTTTATTTCAACAGCTTTTTAGAAGATTGCTATAGTAAGCCGAAATTCAGTAATATTTAAACTTAGTAGATACAATAGATTATCGAAAAGCTCATTTTTACCATAATATCCAAGCCCAACATGATATCGAAGGTGTTTATCCCACCTTAATAAAAATAACTACATCTGAATTAAATATCCTTTAAAATAGATTTACTATGACATAAGTCTCTTAAAAATATTATTGATACAAAGTTATCATTAAGTTTTTACTAATTGTAAAAATAAACATTTACTACGTACAAAGCTTACATAGCGGTCACATTGTTCCTTTCCTCTTCCCTCTATCCCATTGTACTGGACTGCACGCTTCATAACTCGCACTTCTGCCTGGCTACTTCACGCGATTGTCCTCGGACCTGAACAGCCAAGCTGTTTTTCTCGTCGCTAGTTCCGGCTCCGCGTCAGCTCACTTTGGAGCGGCAGTTGAACAAATCTGTGCTGATTGGCTGGACGGCACCCGAGGGAGTGCAACAAGCAAATATCGAGAGCTACCATGTCTATGTGGATGGGGTATTGAAGACAACTGTGAAGGCGACTGAGCGAACCCGTGCTTTGGTAGAGGGCGTAGATTCTAATCGAGTGAGTTTTTTCCCATAACTACAATTAAGGGCTCCCACACAAAACTGCGAATTCGCATCGCACCGCATCGCAAATATCTGCGAATTCGCACGAACGCAACGCAAGAATTTCCGATCTGCTTCGCATCGCACATTCCTGCGATTTTACGTCATCCTTGGTGACACCATTTTAGTCCGCTCTGAGACAAACAATTAAAATGTCAATAAATACATTTTGTTTTACTTTACCTGATAGTCAGTCCCAGCATTTCCAAAGGCATAACAGGAATTCTTCCCTTGTACGATCGTTATTGAAGGCATGGTGATAATATACTCAAAAGCTCTTCAAATGAAGATATGCTCATTCTAAAATAATCAAAAAATTTATCTTCAGTTCTCAACGCATAGTACTTTTGAATAAAATAGTTCCCATCAGAGTTCATAATCGTAATGAATGGATGAACCCAGAATCTTCTTTTTCTTTTATATCTATTTAATAATAACAGCAGTGCAATAATCTTTTTGCGATCCATCTTACGCTTCTTAAAAACACGTTCAGTACGGCTGGCTTCGAAAGAATGGTCGCCCTATCAAACGGTTTGACGCACTAATTCGCATCGCATCGCATCGCAGTTTTGTGTGGGATCCCTTAGTTATTACTAAACTTTATAGTAGTAATTTCTTTACATGCCGTATTGAAATAATACTGTTTAATTCGTCTTAACAGTAACTAAGCAATATTAATCAACGACATTTACTGCGATTATAGAACAAGTCTGGTCTCTAACGATATAGTCCAAATCATAGGACGTTAAAAAATTACAAAAACGTTAAATCTATTGAATTATCTTGATTTGATCCCATAAAACTAAATTTTCTGGCATTTTTTAATTATAGCATTCGCCAAAATAGATAATAGTTTTTGCATTTTAAGCCGCATCGGATCAGTGTTCGATCTGTCACGGCCACACGCCGTACATCTCGTGATGCCGCTTGTACTATGGTAATTGGTCGAGATACTGCAAACATGGGACCTACCTGCGTTAGAGCTAGTGGGGTAACGTGCTCTCAGGCCGTCATATCCTGGTTGCCAGCAAATTCTAATCATCAACATGTCGTCTGTGTAAACAACGTCGAAGTAAGTTAAACAGTATTTAAATTTAAAGTTAGTAAATAGTATGTATGCTTGTTTTCTGTATTATTTTTATATTATATGTAACTCACGTAATATTAGTATTAATATTTTGAAAAGATTACAATGAATATGATGTGTGTATGTAATAATTACTTTATCTAAAAGACAATTTAAAATAATCCATTGAGTTATATTAATAAAATAGTTGTACATAAGATGGCCTTTTGAATGTCATTTTTATTTCTTACACGAAGAGTCAAGATGCTATAATGCGTTTGCGTGTCACAAAAAGATTATATATTTTTACAGTCGGTGTCAGAACAGTTATTTAAATTTTTATACAAATTGAAATATTATAAGTTGGAACATATACTTGTAAAAATTTGAACTTGTAGGTTCGGACTGTAAAACCTGGTGTCTATCGTCACACTATAACTGGTTTATCACCAAGTACGCAGTATCGAGTGACAGTCAGAGCCAAACATTTAAGAGCCGGTCCTCCATCTGGAATACCTATCGAAGAAGCTCCAGGAGCTTACACAGACTTCAGGACTCTTCCGAAAGGACTTCCAGATCCTCCAAATGAAATCATGGTAATTTTATTTCAATTGACAAAACGCATGATGTGGTTCGAGCATGCTTTTGTCGGAGTTTTCTCACATTCCACACTGAACTTCCCGATCACTACTTACAATAAGATTCTACCTGTTTATTAGAAAGTTCTTAGCTTATTTGACGTAATGATTATAGGTACTAATAAGTTTAAGCATATGTGTGACCCTTGTTGGATTAAAATGCGTAGGAATCTAACATGTAAATAGAAGTAATTACTTCCAGTTTGAAATGTTTGACAGAATAGCGGACGCACTCGAAATTAGCATCCTAAAGTTCACGACGTGTGTGAATAAACCCTACCTATACTCTTTCACATAACATACACACCCCGTCCCGAGTCACAACCTCAAGCACGAGGCACAATGGGTATCTCGAAGAAGTCGCGTCAATCGCAACCATAAATCCAGCGCCAGGAAATTTATATTGACGTCGCTCACTTCGTTATTAGCTTAGCGTACCCTGTGTGATGTCGATCCTCCCTCGATGTGGCTTATTAGTAACTCTGACGAATGTCATAAACCAATTGGCCTTAATGTTTTGCTGGATTGTTGGTGGTGATTGGTGCGGTGTCGCAGGTGGAAGCTGGGCCGCAAGATGGTACACTGCTTGTGACGTGGCAGCCAGTGCTTCGACCTCCCGCTTCAGGGCCTGTAACTGGATATGCTGTTTATGCAGACGGGAAGAAGGTGACCGACGTAGACTCTCCGACTGGTGATCACGCTCTCATCGATATCGGCAAACTCCTCGGCCTCAATCCTAAATGCGTCACCGTAAGTTTCTGTTTAGCTTAGTGTGGCTGTTCTAGCGCTATGTAGCATTTATTATACGCTTCATACTTTTACAAACACACGAGTACTTACTATACGCACATTTTTAATTAAAACGAATTGAGATATTTTTTATTAATAAATATATATTTTATTCCTTGCAGGTAAGGACTAAGTCGCGCGACAGCCAATCGAGCGACAGTGCTCCAACTCCGATTCCGCCAGCTGTGTTGCGAGGTGTCGTATCTAGGGTACAGAGAGGGCCTCCAGGTCAAGTTCTTAACCAGCCAGTTCCACCTGGTTATAGAGCGCAACGCCCGCAAGCTTATCAACAGCAACAACAAGTTATAGAACATGATGAAAATCTTTCCGATAAAGAAATATTTCCAACGGCAAATCGTCATGATCCTCAACAGCAACAGGCTCAGGTGACAATTTAATTGCATTTTTAAGTAAACTGTGTATTATTGTGTCTTATTTTCTCAACCAATGTATTTTCAAGTTTTTATAAATTTTAGTGATCTTATGAATATTCAATTTTAATTTTCATCGATTTATCCGAATCTGAACAATTTAATTTAAAAGTAATTTCAATATTTCTTCAAACATTTTTGGCACAGCTCGTATTTGTTTAGTTCGCAGATCAGTGTTGTCTATACTTTGTGTGTTATTATTATTTCGTACAATTATTAATGTTTTGTAATGTTCTATGTACTTATTTGGGCTTCTTTACTGTTAATCTCATTGACGAATATCTCTTCAGATAGCTATCATTGTACAATTGTCATAATTTGCTAAAGACAGAACTAGCAATTTGATTAAAAAAGCATGTTCAAAATAACTGTAATTTGTAATAAAATCATTACTAATGAAAGTATTATTCAAATTGCTAGTAACATGTTATCAGTGTTGCAAACTGCACTCTTTATACTAATCTTCTGTGATTCTGTCGCTGATATCTCTTCAACGTCAAGTAGCTCTGAGCCGGTCTAAAAGACCAGATGCTCCAGTCAATTAACTTTTTCTGGGCGTGACATATTAATGTTGAGTGAAGATGATATTTATCAAACGTTGTGTTACGTAGATAAATGTCATCCCATGCTACTGTCAGTGTGTGATGTTTCCGGGACCCGTTAATTGCCTGGAGGTCTGGTGGTACCACGCGCGTCATAGCTATGCACTCGGCTCGAAACGTTCCAAATTGAATTGCATAATGCTTGCAACTAGATGAGTAGTCTCTAGTGCTATTGGCCGATACTACGCACGACACCTACAGTACCCTACTTAGAACATATAAAGAGCTTGTACTTTGTGACACAGACATCAAGCTCATACCTATATATTTATGTCATCACTTAAAATGAACTTTGCCTCTTTCTCTCACATAACTGTTACACCTTTTCGTAGCCCACGAGCGGATTCGGCACAGGGCTTCTAAAGAGTATATTCGACAAAATAACCCCTTCGGTAAGGAATTTTTACACGTTTTTTTATTTATCTTTTATATTTTAATTTTTTGATCTTTATACACCTTATTTGATTTAGCGTTATATTTTGGAGTGTTTTTAGTTATTAGTTGGTTTTTGTTGATTTTCACATTGTGCCCGTTTTAATAGTATCATTATATAAGTATTTTATATAATATTGTAGTCATCGAACAATACATAAACAAAATTTGAGTATGCTTTTTTATAAATATCGTAGAAAAACAATATTACTGTAGCAAAGAATAACATTATAGCTAACGTCTAGAATAACTTACAAAATTATGTATAGAAGTATTTACATTCACTAATAGCAGAATATCCATAGCTTAATAGTTAGGTTACAAAAAAACATAATACGCTAACAATTTATTATAAACAGCTTTTCATTGTTTAGCCTACATAGATTCCTACGTACGATAGCTTGAAATAATCTAGAACTTCTGATAGTTTATTGGTAACTAATAATAACATTCAACTCACAAGTCATTAAACCTACAATTAAGCAAACACGCAATACATCGATCATGATTCATTCAACCACACATAAATATTAACATAGGTTATACAATCTTCAACTCAAAGGGTACGCTTCTATGCAGCGAACTTTTATAGTAAAACAAGCTTGATAAGCCAGCTTCACTTCCCCTTTGCAACATCTCTCAATGTCTTCTTCTCTTTCACTTTCATTTCACCTCTATGCTTCGGCAATTTGTCAATGTGCATTCCAAATTCGAGTCTCATTCATAATATTTAATTTTTCAAATGTTCCTAAATTCTAATTGACCATGGTATCAGCATTCGGGGATACCTGCCATCGAAATCACTAAAGAGGGAGCCACGGAGCAGATAAGCGAGGAGGACGACACTTCGCGGCGGTGTCATCAGGTCTGCGATCTCTCCTTGCCATCGATGTGCTCTTCATGTGCTAACACTCTCACTTTGCTCTTCTAAGTGTGTCGAATAATATTCACGAACTTCCAATTTTCGTTGTCTGTGTACGTCTTCACTGTCTGACACAACACAATCACGTCCAACACGACCCAATTTTTGAAGACACTTCTCACAACCGCAAGCCCAAGTTAGGAAGAATTATAACAGAAGCACTCGAAACAACACAAAAACATTTAAGCATGCGCAGCGTGTTGTTGTATGACTGTTCCTGCATGCTGTCTTGGCTTAGATTCTTAATATTAATGTTTCTGCTCTTTCCGTGTCTTGGTTTATGAAATTGGAGATCAAAACTCTGCTTTTTAAGACATGAAAGTTTTTAAAGTTTCTTTAAACGCTATAAGCTGAATTTGGGAAACTCCACAATTGAAGATTTGATTTCTTGAAAAGCTGCACGCAAGCTTTTGTTGTGCATGGGAGTTGTCTAGTTTCAACGGAATGAAATGTAAAGGAGAAGGTAATACTAATTGCTTTGTAATGCAAAATAATGGCAGGTATAAATTATGGCTAACCGCTTAATGAATTGCTGATGGCTTTATTATGGAAAATCTAACCTTATTAATGTATTGGTCCGTACGGACGTCAGCAGCAGCCGTCCCAACCTGCACAAGCGTCGCAGCAGCCTTCGGGTCAGCCGTACCCGAATACACCAGCCTTCCATGGCACGCAGCAACCCCCCTTTCAACAGGGCGCCCAGTTCCCAAGTAATCAACCTAATCAACCACAATATCCCGGACAACAACAGCAGTATCAAAATCCGCCTCCAAGAAATCATCATGAAAGGGGACGTCCTCCTAACCCTCACCAGGTAATTGAGAATAAAGTTTAAATTAAATGTTATAAAACGTATACAATATTAATTAAAATCATTTAATTCAGATACAGCAGCAAGCCCAACAAGGTCAAATGCCGCAATACGGTCCGAGAGGTGGTCCTCCTCCAGGACCACGAGGACCTCCTCCGGCTGGAGGGCGGCCCCCTCCACAAGGTCACCCTCAGTCAAAGAGGGGTCGTTATTTCATCGCACTATTCGACTATGACCCAGTAACTATGAGTCCCAACCCTGAGAGCTGCGATGAAGAATTGCCGTTTAGCGAAGGAGATACGATTAAGGTATTTGAGTCGATAGACTTTGGTTCATAAATTGACACCACCAACGAATAATTAAGAAAATATTTTTTGTGGTCGGAATATATCTGCAACAATATTTCGAGCGATTTATATTTAAGTATTACAGGTATGTACCTACTCTGCAAATTACATTAAACTCAAAGCATTCTCATAAATTTGTGCAATAACGATTATCGCTAATTGGTTCTCCTTTTAAATTTCAGGTGTGGGGTGACAAAGATGCCGATGGGTTCTACTGGGGTGAATGTCGAGGTCGGCGTGGCTATGTGCCCCACAATATGGTCGTTGAAGTTTCTGAACAGGAGGCAACTGGGCAGGTCTCCGCAAAACCTAGAGATCGCTGGACAGACGCGTATGCCAACCAGCCCGTACGTCGGATGATAGCGTTATATGACTACGATCCGCAAGAACTTAGCCCTAATGTTGATGCCGATGTAAGACAATTGATATGTTTTAAATATAAGTAACGGTCGGTTTTATTAAATATATACAATTGAACCATCGGGAAAGAATCTGTATCTGACATATTATAACTTATTAGTGAAACTTAGTGCGTTTTCCAATGACAGCACTAGAGCGCATTATGCGGCATAATGCTCAACGTTGAATGTTCCAACTACAGCAACGCTTCGCACAATTGAGCACTCTCATTAATCTATTGTAAGAATTAATTTTTTACCATTGTAATTTCAGGCTGAGCTCAGCTTTCAAACTGGTCAGATTATACACGTATACGGCGATATGGATGATGATGGGTTTTACATGGCTGAAATCGAGGGTGTTCGAGGTCTTGTACCAAGTAATTTCCTAACAGATGCCAACGATCAGTATGCACCTGCGGGACCAAGTGGTCAAGGTTCGTCATATGTTTTGGAAATTGTATCTTCCCCTAAGTGTCCATAGAGCATTTTACCATAAAACACACAGGGCTCGGTGCTTGACCATTAAAGACTAAATAGCTTATTGATTGAAAGGGCCAAATCAATCTCATATCCTACTTTTATGTTCCAAACACAAACATTTTATTAATTTACATTGTATTAATGTTGCAAAGCTTCAAGCGATTCTTTTTATTTTATATTGCTCTAAGAATTATATCTATTAAATTCTATGAAATGAAATATGAATCTATGAAATTTCCCATTTATAGAACCAATAAATGTTATAGACATTAAAAAGAATTTTTTATTTAAAGTGCTTATTATGAATACGTAATTAAAGGGCCACCTGGGGGTCGAATGGGGCCAAGCACAAGCGCGCCAGGCGGAGGCCCAGGTCGAGGAAGGGGAGTCCCTCCAGGACCAGGAGCTCGGGGTCCACCACCGCCTCCTAGAGATAATGTAGCCCCAGCACAAAGAAACCACCTCCGAAAAACAGGTATAGATCCTTTAAGTTTCCACTGTACTGTACGTAGAGCCGAACGGCTTCTCAATATTTGCTGTTATAGTAATTATTCTCTTTATTAGAGACATTAAATTGTATTAAGTTTAGGTAAGTCCGGCTGACGATCAGGGTAAATTCTGATCACTAAGAGCTTTGAGTGTTTCATGTTTGCACCTTGGACTTGCTATGTGATTACTGAAATCCGCCTAGCTACTTCACTCTGATTACCTCTCTCATCTTTCCCGTACACTATCTAGCGATTGCAAAAGGACTCGCTAGGCGAGTTGTAGATTTCCTTACCCTTTCGAAAACGATTGGTCGGTTACCCTATGAAATTTTTAATCCTTTCTATTCATCCGTTCTTGGTCCGTAGATAAACATTCCCCTTTCCGCTTCCCACATCTTAATCTGATTGATTTTAAACGCGAGTCCGGTTGCAATCTACGGAGCACAAAGACTCTTGGTGTACACTTTGCTGAATAACACTATCTTGGATTACACATTCACAACATCGTCAACCTTAAACACGAGGGGACTGATAACAGATCACACGAACTTATTATGACAAATCTCAGCGCTGAGGGCGTCTTCGTTTTATTTACTGTGTTTCCTATCGTCTGTCTTCTGTTTTGTTTTATCACGGCTCCTTGTTTTATTAAGATTTGTCATGGCACGCAGGGTAGGCCGGTTAATACACGCAACATAGAGCACAGAGTCCACGATGTGCGTGATGTGTGATCCAAGATGTAAGTGGTTGTCTGTGGTCACTATATATGTTGTGTGTATTGTCTGTTTGCTAGATGCCTGCCCTCTTCCCCCTTCTCAGTTAGACCACAACACAAGCGCCAGTAATCCAGAACAGGCGAGTTCTCAGGTAATGCCGTTTATAAAGTTTGACCCACAACAATACTTTCGATATGCAAGCGCTAGCCTCCTTATTTTTAACCACTTTCATATATTTAGATTTATGTTCACTTTTATTTTTGTTTTCATTTTCTGTCTATTAAATTAAGTTTCATCTACGCCCAGTAGAACGGGGTGACGTTACCTTTAGCATTTTGTACGATCCAAACGACTCATTTAAGCTACACATTAGTTATCATGTCATATACTGAAGCATATCATACGATACTAGAACAGTTATTGACACAGGATTTTACTTCACTTACATCTTACTTTTCATATTCACAATATCAAAACAATCGCAGGCTTGTGAATGTGGTCCCACTTGAATGCTATTATACATGTGAGAAGTCATATTACCTATTATGTTTAGAATAATTTAAACGGATTTGTATGTAGTATTCCTTAGATGACTGATTCATATTGTTCATCTTACACAATCTAGAATCTTTCTACGCTGTATGTGATTTCAAAGCATGTGTGTGATTTTAGATAATTACTTTCACGTATTTAGTTGATAAGATTTTATTAGCTTAATGCTAAAGTTTACGGTTTATAAATGTTCTTTATTTGTGTAGATAACAAGGCAGAAATGTAGATAATAATCCGTAAACTTAAAGCGCATTTTTGAGTACCGATTAACTAGTATAAATTAGAGTTAATGATAAAAAGAAGATAAAGGACACGTATCTTTTGCTTTTGTATGACAGAGCATGAGATAGTTGCATTGCATGATAATTTTAAAGCCAATAAGATTTTTACCTTTTCCCCCAACTGAATCTGATCTGATCTGCGTGTGCAACTAACAATAATATTATGTCTTTAAGGATATCCTTATTATAATGATGTGACGTTACATATTCACAGACTTTGAACATCACAATTCAATAGTTTAGAATTATAGATCATTAGGTCTCAAAATTTCGAGGCTACTTTTTCATTGTAGGTTTTTCATTTGTATGCTCGAAATAACAAGAGGTTCGTTTAACGCCTTCTCTTATCACTTACACTTACACTTTGTGCTTTCACTAAGACGAGGGCTTGACCAATGGAATTAATGTTTGTAGCTTACTTAATTCTGGATTAGGTCCTGTGTTAAAAAAATAGCAAAATGCTTCTCACTGATAAAGATTCCTTTGGCGTTAAGCTATACCTTCAGGATGTTATTCATCATCGAGTAAGTCCGGCAAAAGAGCAAAATTTTCGTTTGTTAGCTTAGGCAAAAGAGTTTGGCATAAGCTTATAAAACTTCTATGATTTTCGGTTACCATTAAATAGTTTGACTTACTCCATGATGAAGTTCCGAAATGTAAGAAAGAGGCTTAGGTGTGTGTGTATGTATGGTAGGCGAGGGGGAAAGGCGTGGGGAGCGTGCCGGCGAGCACGACCGCTCGCACGAGCGCTGGTAACGTGAGCTCACCGCCGGTTCAGTCTCCGGGCTCAGCCGCCACGCTGGCCATGCCCCCCGTGGGAACTACCACTGCCGTCAGCACGTCGCCAGCGCGCCGCGGCGGGCCCACCGTCGTCCCGGCGCCTACAGCTCAACCCCTTCAGCAGCAGCAACAACAGCAACAGCAACAACAACAGCAGCAACAACAGCAACAACAACAACAGCCACCCACCTCACAGCCCAACCTCATGCAAAAATTCACTGAAATGACAGCCCCAGGCGGTGACATACTCAGCAAGGGAAAAGAACTCATCTTCATGAAATTCGGCCTCGGCGGCAAATAATGTCGGCGGTTCGGTCTTTAGGGCCCTTTAATCCATTATGACGTCGCAGTCATTTCAAAGGCGACCTTCGAAGCGGAAGATACTGCTGTTTGCCCGGCAACAGAATTGAACTCGATCAGAGTTTTTTTTACATGTAACCCGTTTATAACCGTTAACGTATTGTAATAATGTAAATAAATTCAATAAACGCACAGTTTAGTTAAAATGAATATTCAGAATGTTAGTGCAGTCCTGATACGCACGGTTGGAGTAACCCCTCAATTAGTCGTATTATAATGTTTTCTAAATCTTCAACCTCTGGCCTCTGTTAGATTAGATCATAAGTGATTGTTTAATTCATATTTAACTAGTTATAGTGGTCTTATCAGTGCAAAATGAGTCTACGAACTTAAATGTGCGCAGTGTCACTATACCTAGATGAAATATGTATTTCTAAATATTTAGTTAAAATCTATTTTATACTTAGGCGTTATTGAATATCAAACGTCATTTGTTTCTTAATGTTCGTAGCTTAGTAGCTACGTGTCCACATTTTTTTGTCTATCGCTAGGTTATATCCTTATTAATATAGAATTAGATGTTTCAAATCTATATCTTTGTTCTGAAAAATATATATATTGTTGAATGTTATCCTCATGCAGTCCACAGCAGTCGAAGAAATCTGCAGAGTTCGGCCATTCCTAATGATGTTGTCATTATGTTTCAAATGTTTATCGTAATGTTGTAAAGATATATCAGCTGAGACTCTGAGGCCGCAAATTCAGGTGCCGAATTGCAATATTATTCAATAGAATAACATAAGTTTAAGATTATATAAGTAAAACACATTAAAGTTCACTTTTCTCAAAATATTCTGTGATAGTAGACGTGATACCATCTTTGTCATTCATGTAAGATACAGAATCATTTTCATGTAATAAATTCAAAAACAGAAACATTTTTCTATGGTTTCTTGTTCTGCAGATAATAATTTTTAAATATGATTTGAACGTTGCCCAGAAACTTGTACAAAGGTACGAAGTCTATGGTGTATGGCATTATTTTAGAAATCTTATCATTGAACTCCTGTTCTATATCGATGAAATCCTGTCTATGTTTTGTTCAGTAACCAATATATGTAACCTCATTTCGATAAAACGAGTATATAATTGTCTATGTATTATATAAATTATTGAAGATTATTGATTAATAACCTTCGTGTTTCTCTTTTAAAATTAAATATACAGTAATATCGATTAGTAATAAAGGCTATTCTCGTTTCAAGCCTAAAGACTGCTTGCATGAGTTATATTAATAATTTATACATCTTTTATACCCTTGTTGGTATAACATATATTCTAATTTTAAAATGAATTTAAACTTTAAATTCTGAAGTTCAATCAAGCAAATTATTATTCTTATGTATGATTTATTGTCATATTATAAATACATTGATTTCAAATATGTAGTAAACTTTATAAAATAATTTCACAATATGTGTTTATAGAATATTCACCGTCCATTAACCTCTACATACAATTTAAGTATGACATGTATGGTAATTCGTTAAAAAATCAATGACTTGTTATAATTATATCGGTTTCACATTCTTCTTGACACAAGCATTTTTACAATTCACCGTTTAAAAAAAATTAAACTTTTTATTACCTTGCTACAGTAAAATATGTAATTGGAGAGTTTTATAAAATTCACATATAATGTAAGGCATCAGTTGTACCCAAAACATAATAAACAATTTGGGGCCAAATATTACTTAGTTACGATAACAACTTATAGCTGTTTAACAATCCACCTTAAAGATTTACTTAAGCTAAAAACGAGCTTGCTATGCCTGATATTTTATAATTGGCCTTTGCATTTATATAAAGTCTAAAATATGACAATAAATCGTATATAAGGTTTATAATCTTAAGAGCGTTTCTATGTATGCGTTGTTCATAAGAATGGTAAATCAAGGTTTAGTAATGGATTGTTAGATTTGAATCTAATAATCTTTTTTACAACATAAAGGTAGGTAGTAGTACCAGAGCGTGATTTTGAAATAGCAATTAAGTCTGAAATAAAAAACTTCTGTATTTAAAATTCAGTAAGAGTACCACAAATAACAGATGTTATATCTTATTCGAAAATATGCGCGTCGCTAGTGTACAGAATATAAACACCTCTTGTGACTTTTATTTTTAAATTTAGAACAAAAATTAAGGCTTAGTTCATATGGCCGCGCGGTACAAGATCAATATAAACGGTAATTATCGTCTACATTACCGCGCGGTACCGCAAGCCAACGCGCGGCGCGCTCCGACCCGCGCGCGCAAGATCTTGAACCGCGCACTTCCACGTGGCCGCGCGCCGTACAAGTTTTGCAAACCTGTATTACAGACACATAGATCGATGCAAAATGAGTACCGAAGATGAAATTGTGCCTATCGATTTTCTTATCGACGAAATCGAGAAAAGAGATGCAATTTGGAATCTTCACTGGATTTTAAATCATTTTCAATAGAATCGTATAAAAAAATCAAAGGATGCAACTGACATCCGGAAATAATTAAAAAAATTATCTTCGTGTAACCTCAAGTCGGGATACAAAGTGACAAACAGGCTGGAAGAAAGTCTGACACTTAAAATTGGATGCACCCAGTATCGTCTTTGTCTTCTTCTGCGACGTCTCAGTTTTCTATATAAAATCCATAAGCAAATTGCCTCCTCCACGTCCATTGTCAATCAATGTTGAAGCAACACTGCCGCGCGTACATATACCGTCATGTGAATGCTCCAACCGCGTGGCGACGCGCGGCTACGCGCGGTCATCTGAACTTAGCCTAAAGCGAAGCAGAGAAGTATTGTAAAAGAAATTCGAAGGTATTAGAATCTTTTAACCATTACTTTACCTTGATTTCTCTCTTTATATACTTGTAAATATTTTCGGTAAGTTTGCTTGGAATGTAGGCGAAAACGAGATGCTCACTACGTACAAGGGATACTCTACTAAGTATTTTAGCTTCGTATCTAACCAAAATAACGCATATTTCAATCTTTTCACGTATATATGAGACAGTTAGCATGCGATTCCTAGTAATTGATATACCTATATAGAAAAAGTTTAGCCGGTCTGCTTAGACCATAATCAATGAGAAGATAGTACCAACTACCTATAAATGCGAGTTGCGGTTTTTGAGATAATAAATCATACATAATAATAAATACGAAGTACTTAACGAAGGAGGCCATAGTACACAATAGAAGTAAAAAAGGACGAACATTAAACCCTCTCAGAGATAAAAAGAAGGGAAAAGCTATATTAATTTGATTCACCTCCTACCAATGAATATTATGTTGTTAATAGATCTTCTGCTATTAGGTACTATCTTTCTCGTAGATCCTTTTATTGTATATTATAATGTATATACAGTGGGTATGTGCCTGGTCTAAACGTTATCTAAGCTCTAACATATCTTATTAGGCTGTTTTTGGTAAAACTATAACATTACAAGAATTCTACAATAATATTTTGACGCGATTACGCTAGTTTTCGTAGTACTATGAGCATTTTTGTTAACTTTATGATAAAGTATTACACATATTAAAACAAAACTTCATGATATTTGCCACAATTTTCCCAAAGTTATGTTCTATAACGCTTGTAGTGTTTATAGTTTAATATAAAACAGCTTGTATATCAGTACTAATTGAAAATTTATATAATTAGGAAATTCATGTATCTACCAGATTATTGCTACGCACACTGCACATTGATTGACACATTATTGTTTCTTGGAAATACGTTGAAAGTGAGAAAAGCGTTCTAAAAATGTATCTAATAATTACCATACTTAAAAATTTCTTCATCAATACGAAATTCGTGGCAAGTTGCCGTAGAACCCAGAACAAACCAACAGTGCCCGTAGCACTACGCTCGTAGACACATTACAATCGAGCAATTTATTTGGGTCTCTTAAACTTAAAATTATTAAAGTACATTAAAAAAATTGAATTTTTCTGGCCCAAGTTAATTGCGTTTACATGATACAAATTCGCAAAGATGAGATGAATTGGGCACAGTACCGAACCTCCAATACTTTTCTGTACTAAGTGCGTACTAACGGCTGACTTTTCTAAAGTGAATTTGTGGCCAAAGGCGTGGGGAACATCATGTAAACCATGATCATCGAATTATATAAGTTGAAAAAAAAATTCTTAATAATGTTTTATCAGAAGAACGAAGAAGATTAGCTTTGAAATAATGTGGTGTATTTTCAAGGACTACGTTACGTACGACCTATTACAATGAATTTAATTAAATTTTGTTTCATGATGTGTCCTTTGCCTTTCGCTAATTTTAAATACCGGTAAAAGTTGTTCACTTGTTTATATGCGATGTTATAAACTGTATTCATATCTTTGATCACATGTACCTATGTATCGTTATTTATACGAAATATAAATCATTATTGTATATTAATCGTGCATTCTTGTGTGCATAATTTAAATAAAGAGTTGTATATTAAATTTAATGAATAAACCTTTAACAATGTACCAATCAAATATGCCGAAACAAAATAAATGATACAATTGCCGCTTCTTTATTTATTGAATTTTAATTAAGAGCAAATCTATTATCCCTTAAACTATTAATACTCTGTCAACTTCATTGTGCTGACTTATGACTACCAAAAGAGCAGATATCTATTGAAAGTCCCATTTCTTTCTATAGTATATATTAAAGAAATCTACACATCCAAAAACGGGTGGCGTTGGAATTGTTTTTACTATGTTCGCACTATATTGAAATAGGACAGTTTATTAAGCATTATGCCATGAATATAATGGCGGTTAGCACTTATGGTTTGTCCTTTTCCGCATAAAAAGTATCAAATATTTAAATAACCGAAATACGTAATAACCGAAATAACATTAAAATGAATTTGTAATAGTTTTACCTTATTCCTAAGACTAATTTATATTGTGGGAAAATGGGACAGAGATGTTCATAGCTTAAACAGTGTACCTAATTAAATTTCCTTATTCCTAATAAGGAAAATAATATTTAAACTAATTGGAATGGTATCAAAATAAAATTATTAGTAAGTAGTTAATTTAATTACTAATTAAAACTAATCATGCGTTCCAATAAATATTATATTACGGACTATTTTACGAATATTGTCAGTTGTAGTTAGGTACATCAAACCATTGATGTCGAGGTGGGCTGCTATCATCAAATGAATACTCCACACACTTGGTGTTTAACCACCTAAAAAAATATTTTTAACATTAATGATTAGTAAAATATTATCTTAGTAACTAAACGCGAATGTAAAAATATTTTTAAAGACCTACAAAACTAATCTGAAAATTTTCTGTTTTAATCATATTAATTATATCAATAAGGAGTAATAAGAAATATAAATCAGTCAGAGATTCTTTTGCAAAGGCAACATTAAAAGAGTAATACATTAGTTAATTTTATATACAAATACACTTATCACCAAATTGTGTTTTTTGTCTTTGAGCGCGAGTAACATCCAGAATAATATGTCACATACGCGTCTCAAATTAAATCACATTCACAGATAAAATTATTTACCACGGGCCGCTCAAACTGTAATGCATTTTATTGTCAAAATTATTTAAAAAAAAACATCTTATACTTACCCGCCTCTCTTTTTACAGCCGGTTATTAGATAATCTTCTTTATAACACTCAGTTCCCAGCAAATCAAAGTATACAGTACCTATTTTGTTAGCAGTTTTTGTCTTAGCCTCTCGTAAACAATGGCGGAATTGCAAATCACAATAGCAGGCTAACCTAAAAAACAGAGTTAAAATTTTACGGCATTTGTTCATAAATCAGTATAATTGCACCTAAGTAACCGACTTAAAAAACAAAGGAGTTAGTCAACCCATTATCAGAGCCCATCCTATGCTTTCTAAAATAAGCTAGGGATGCAATAACAGTGCACTACATAAAGGGTGCAGTCTTGTAAAGCTCTTACTTATATTACAATAATATAAATTTAAATAGTGCAGGCAGTGTCCCAGAAATTTATTTTTTCTATTAAGAAATCTCAATAATGAAAACGAATAAAAAACATTTCTGCGCAAAATATCTATAGTCACAGCAGTCAATCTTGGCAATGATCCACTTAAACCCTTTCGTAATGACAATTGATCACGGCATTCTTATTTAATAATAATAAAAGAGATTATAAAAACTTTCGTGCGGCCTCCCACTATCAGCACCCGCATATTCTTGAATTAATCAACTATAAATTGACGATTGAAGTCAATGTCAATGTTGATTACTGCACTTGTATTTGTTATTATTCTAAAGAAAATTGGCTTTAAAACTGTTTTATATGAATTGGTAATTTGCGTGCAAGTACTTAGATTTGAGACCATTTGTTGGTTTTAAATAAATTATATGGCCTGGAATCTAAGTATTTCTTTTTAAAGCCACACCAACAAGGCCACAAATAAGAAAAAAAAAGAAATGGAACAAGTCACACAAACTGAAACGGCGTGCACAAATATAATTTTTACAAACAAAAGATCACTCATCCTGCAATTATATTATTTATATGATGACTATACGTATATATAAACTCAATGGATTCCGTATTTGACTGTGACAATCAAATACGGAATATATAGGCTAGTAATGTCTAATATGATAGGACGCCACTACATTATACCCGCATAGGGAATCACAAGATTATATATCTACTGCTTTCAAGGGTTTTAATATTGATATATTTCCTACACGGAAATACCATTGTCGAGCATATTACTGTTGTAACAAGACCAGAACCCTGACTTTCAGGAATCGGAATGTTGGAAGGATTCTTCAACCACACCTCCAATACCAAATCTTGCATAAATATTGAAAATTCTTTTATACATTTCAACCATCAGTTTAAATACATAAATTTCCAAATACTACTTAATTGACTGTACGACTATTAATACATATCAATTATATCTTTAATGACCTAACAGATTTTCATTTACATCTAATATTTTAAGGTCTTTAAAAGCCGGTAGTGTATTTATTTGCTAATACGTTTATACACTAGGTATCTTATTATATAAACTACAATTATCAATATTATTTATTATACTACGTAGTATAAGAATATTGTATAATATAATATATAATTATTATCTAAATAAAATAATATTTACCACATTATGGGTCAATGCGTCAGATTTCTGAACCCGTTAATTAAAAATTTTCTTCATTGGCGATTCAGTGACTGACACACGTCATCGTTTTTTTAAGCTAACAGAAATCCTTACGTCGTTTTTCTCTATTAGTAAGTTTAATTGCATAATAAGATAAATCATTATAAGAGACGTGTATAACCGAGGTTTGATCGCACGACCTTAGGATTGGGTACCGCACGTATAACTAAGCCCATCACTCATTCTAAAGCTATAAAAATATTTCCATCACACGGTACGAACAATCGACTTACCTACTGTAAAAGGCTTTATTCGTAAGATTGTGTTTTGTTTCCCCAGCGGGAATGTAATCAGCACAGTTATCATGGTCCCTGCAACACATATCTGCCTCCGCTTCAGGTCCCAGATCATCATATCCATCTGCTATATTCCCCGCTCCACACCATTTTGTACCTTAGAAGAAATTTTCATTTATCATAAAATAAATTGCGCTGTAAATCTTGGTACTGGCTTCAGATTTCTGTATCTGTTCCAAATACTTATACTAATTGGGCTAGTAAGTTTACTAAAGCGGCTGAAATCTAATTTAGCAGTGGGTCATCGGCATTGATTCTCATAGCAAGTTGGTGATCAACCTTCTAACTAAACAACTTTTGGTTAACATACATTTTATATATACGAGCATTGCCAGGTCAACGGATGAGATGTATGGGAACTGATATAATTACTATTTAATAATTAACTTAAATTTAATTGCTCATTCAATAATTGAAAATATTTAGAATCTTAAACTTATTCTAATGGTCGATTTACTGTTTGTTACCGCTAAATAGAGGGAAATGGGAAGAGTTGTTTTCAAAAATAATTACACTGATACCAAATGACTGTAATACTCGTATATTTTTATAGAGGCAAGAAATTTTCACAACTTGTGATATCGCTTTCAAAGGAAAAACTATTGAGAAATTATTCAAGAGAATAAGAATAGATAAAATATTATAAATTAAAAATGTTTTTATTATATAAAAATGTAATTAATATCAACATATTAACAGTTTAATATAAAAAAACTGTTAATATCAATTGTGTTCAAGAAAAACTCTGGACATTGCTCTAAGCAATTTACATTAACACCTTCCTCGTAAATTTTTGCTTCTTAATGGCTTATAAATTTTTCTGCGTCTATTTTACTTAGCCGTCTATGCCTATCAACACTAACAGATTCCAGAAGCTGGGCACAATCCTTATACAAATCCATATGTGATACAAAAACAAAAAAATCATATCTAGGTTTCATTGATGAAAAATAACATAGAAATGTATGCATTTCGAATTTCGTTCATAAAAAATACTTAAGAGGAGTGTTAGGAGTGGTCACGTGTTTGGTTAGGCCGTGTTTTCACAGGTATTCCGTCTGGAATGGTAAAAAAACATCGCGACAACAAACATTAGTTTTTTTACGACGGTAAAAAATCGACGTGCTGTTTTCTAATAACAAAAAATAATAAAACAAATGCAGCTTGAAAGGATCCTGAACTGTATAAGTATATTTTTTATTAGTATGAAATTTTTAAATTGACTAATCGATTCCAAATGAAAAAAATGTGAAAATTTGTGTATTTCTTTTAGACGACTTAGATTATTTATTTTAATTGTAGAGTACGTAAAATAAAAAAACAATATATAAATACAACGTTTATGATATGACTTATTATAGAACAAAATAAAAACCAACCTGGATAAATGAGAGTAATCCTTAAATCGGCTAATTCCTTTGAGTCGATCACGCCATCGTATCCTTTCGCGAAAAATTTCCGTTTTAAAATTTTACTTTTTAAATTATTAATAATCCAACCGTGACTACTTTGTAACACGACTAGAAGTAGAAACAATTTAATCATTATTGTTGTAATGAAAAATAAGAATCACTTAATTGCAGCACAGTTGATGTTCTTAATGATGCTACGGCAGCTATTTATTTATATAGAATAGTTAGTGGATGTCTGTAGCGCGTTTATAAGCGATTTTGAAAGATTAGAACATAACATAAGATATATAAAAACATTAATGAAACACCCAAAGTATATGTGCCGTAACTAGAGAAATATCGTTTCATACGTGAATTTTTTTGTAATACTTATTGAAATAAACATTAAAATTTTGTTAGAGGAATTATTTAAAAAACTAAATAACATTCTTCTTTTTACATTAACCACCTTTAATAAAATCGGTAAATATTTTGTATGCCTGGCAAGATTTTGGCATTATCTAATATATAAAATTCTCGTGTCACAATGTTCGCTCTCATACTCATATCGAAACGGCTCGACCGATTCTTATGAAATTTTTATGCATGTTCTGTAAGTTTGAGAATCAGCTACTATTTATCTTTTAAACCTCTAAATGTTAAAGGTGGTCTAAGTTTTTATTTCTATTTTATATAGAGAAAAATTCACAGAAAAACCTAAAAAAATTTCATTCCAGAAATCCAAACAGTCTCTGGGGCATAGCAAAATGTTCCATGTTGGTATTTACTAAAAAGTAAAATAAGTAAAGTTACATTAAGGAAAAACGAAGTTCGCGGGGACAGCTAGTATTATATATATATTAATTTTTATGGCAAAATAAGTCTGAAAGAATACGTCAAAAACCAGCTTCGTTATTGTTATTTAATAATTTTAATGGAATACTCGAAATTGACATCCTTAAAACGCCTGGCAAAATATCCAAGCGACATTTCATAGAGCTCAAGTATTTACGCAGTTTTTGAGTTGAGCAATGACGCAGGCTAACCGCTCACACTGACGCTTAAACGATTGATAAGCGTTAAGCGCCTTCACGCAGTGACTGTTTCGTTTATGTATATTAACTCTGCGGAAACTCCATTAACAATTTACCTTAAGTCGATAACTTAAGTGAATTAGGCATTTAGTAGTCGCGGACCGATAAGGGTATCTTAATTTTCATATGGCTCAATTTGAACCATTGATGAAAATAAAAATAAATAAATCAACTAAAAATAAAGAGAAAAAACATAAAACCTACTTTCATTCAAATCCCGTCGGGAGCTTTGATTATTTCTAGATATTAAAAATTATGAATATCTTATTTCCAGTTAGGCTGTTAATATACTAATTTAAAAAAGTAAAAGTCTCAATTTCTTAATTTAAAACTAAACAAACGTACTAAATAAGCGAGCAAGATTTTATTTATTGTAATAAGGTAAACTGCTTTTACAGTATTGGATATATACAAAAATATTATAAATTAATAATGTCTAAAAAATGGGTTGAATACTTTCTATGCTACCAGCATAGGATAGTACCACCAAATTGCCAGCTCGATCCTGTGTGAATTATAATCATTTACAAGTACAATTAATAGATACATTTAAAGGGGAAAACCTTTACTTTCCTCGTTCCTAAAAGTATAATTAAAAATTAATTATACGTCATCTATTTTGTATATATATAATATGGAATGCCCAAATTTTATCCTTTCAGTTCCAACCGTCAATAAAGTCAGTAGACTTTTAAAAAATTATAAAAATAATCATTTTAATCACGGTTGTAGGATTAGCTCAATGTTTTCCAAAGAAATTAGGAACAAGTAGAGTGCCAAGAGATAAACGTATGACGTTCCCAGGTAATAAATGTTCTTTTTATAATTAGTGCCAACCATAATTTTAATAAAGATCTTTTTCCCCAAACCCTATCTATGGAACCCAGAAAATGTAATAAACTTAGCATAATTACGGGACAGTATTACTCCCAAACTTAGTACTAATGGTGGTTTTTAAACCTCTTTTATGTGACATGATTATGTTGAATGGTAAGTGAGCCTATTTTTCTATAATTCACGGCTTGTAACTACTCTTTTTTATTTTTATAGGTACTAACTGGTGCGGCGCGGGAGATACTGCATATGGCTATTATGACCTTGGGTTTGCATGGGAAGAAGATCTATGCTGCAGAGAACATGATCACTGCCCCGATTTTATCATGCCTCAAGAAAGAAAACACGGCCTTCGCAACCCTTCCTCATATTATATTAGGTTTGTTACGTAGTTCAATAAATCTAACTTGCTAGTTCAGTTTAAAAAGATTTGATAATTTTTAAAGTAATTTTCTCTTTATTTGAGTGATTATCACGCAGTTGTCTTTTAACTTAAAGTTGGTTTGTCTTAAAGTCAAATATTAGCACCATATTATATAAATCGTTAACGACGAAACGATCTTTTGCGCCGTGGAGGCGATTAGGCTCTCGCTTTTACCAAACGAATCGAGCAAAGGTAAAACTTAGAAATCATTGTCGCTTTGATGAACCACATAGTCCAAAAATCTCCACTTGTGGCAACAACATTGTATTGTTTAAATGCCGGCTCGCACGTGTCGACTTGGTATACTACCCGTATATTACAGGCGGCAATCTGTCGTGTTACAAAAGTATATATGATATATTTTTGTTATTCGAGAGAAATTATATCTAGGAACTTTTGGTTTTGAAACATTTTTATAGTCACAAGTAAGTTATTATTTCTGCGTATTTAGGGTTATTAAAAGTCTATATATAAATACATACTCTAACTGCACCGTATCTAAATAAAATATCCATCATCAATTCTTTTGATTACAAAATTAACACAATAATTGACAGAAAGAGAAAAGATGCTATTTTAGTTAAAAGAGTGGAAACATCCAATCTATTTAGTTTTATATGAATAATTGGGTAAAAATTATAAGTGTATTCATTATTTCAGAATGTCCTGTGATTGCGAAAGGAAATTCTATCAATGCTTAAAAGATATTAATTCATTCACAGCCTTTTTAATAGGAAAGTTTTACTTTAATATTTACAATGCGTGGTGTTTTAAAAAGGATTACGAAAAGTCTGATCGTCCAACAAACAGGTGCGTGCGTTAAAAACATATCCTAGTTTAAGCAGTTCACTACATCAAACTTAATAGTTAAAAATTAAATTACTTTGTGACGAAATTCATGTTTTGTTACGAACAATTTTTTTGCTAACTTATAATTCCTCCCTTTGCTCCCTTATATGAAACGTTTACTAAATATTCAATGTTGGTAATAATAAATAAATAGTCTTAATAATGGATAATTAATTACCCTTTAGGTGTGAGAAGAATTTCTAATACAACAGTGGTAATACATGTTTCTTTTTAGGTATGACTTTAGGCCCCAAGTGTATCAATGGATTGAAATGCCATCCTATTAGTGACATTGGAATTTTCAACCCGCACATATGCTATGTATGTATACCTCGTGTGTTCACAAGTTTTAAAACGAAATTATGTTTTTCTGGAAAAATAATTCTGCAATATAAGAATCTGAAGATTTTTGTTATAAATTATATTATATTATACTTTTTATGTAATTATTCAAATATAGCAAAAGAGACAAGCAGGCACAGAAGGTACATTTTTAAATAAAGAAAATTTTGCAATGTTTAATTGGTTTTTTTTAAATCTATATTTGTGGTCTGGTCAAAAAGAGTATGAATTTGATTGCTTTAAAAACCTAAATCTTTGAGACTGTCATTTCAATTTTAGATTAATTAAAATGTAAATTTAAATTAATTTAAATCGATTATTTATAACGACAAACAGTGAATTGTATTGCCGACTAGCCATAATATTGTAAATAAACGAAACTATATATTGAGTAAAACTAAAAATGATAATGTAATTTTTAGAGTTATATAAGTGTTTTTATAATTATTTATAAGTGTGAAGTCAAAAGTAAATCCGTAGTAAAGCCGCAGAGCAGAGCAAATAAATATTTGTAATGAAACATTTTCTTTGGGCAACAAGCAACGACAAATAAATAAGCAACCTTCAATTATTTCCGAATAGAATAGCATTTTTTTATTATTATTTTATGTTCTGGAACTTGAAACCATAAAGACATAAACAAATTTTGCTAACAATGAAATTGACTAGAATTGAATTGAGAAATTAACCTTGTGGCTGACATATTTTCTGGCTTAAATAATTCTGTGAACATTGATTTAATTTCTGATAATAAAAAGGATGGCCAAATCGCCGTTTTTGGACCTTTAACGCTGAAATTTGGCAATTCTATTCGGTAGGCAGCACATCGGCGTACTGGATATTAGTCTCCCCATAGCCTTCACCAACTTTCATGTCTCGAAAAAGTCTATGGCCCTCCTAAACGATGGCGAGTGCTCGGACAAACTTGATCAGCTACTTAGAGCGGTGCCATTTTTGAATTTTGGCCAAAACATTAACTGAATTATTTGGAATAGCACGGTGCGGTTGGCGCTATGCTGAAAAATAGTTTATATAATCTCATTCGGTAATATTCTAATTATGAAATGAAATACAGTCTTTTATTGGCATATTTTATTTACATACTTCTTTAAGAAAATTAAAAATTAAATTAAAGCATTGTTCTCCTAACAAAACAATGCTTTAAAATAATATTTGAAGTTATACTTCTTTAGGCGCGTTATGAAAAATTGGTGAGAGTGAAATTTTACGATCGCGCGCACCGTGACACAAAATTATCAGTATGAAGTTTTTAAGCCGGGCGCCGATCGAGCGCGAATAATACAATCTACAAGTAAAAAGAAATATAATATGCGTGAAGTTAGCAGCTATGCCAAGAATTTTGAATGACCATAATATAATGACGGAGGAGGATAAGGAGTTTTAATTATTTTTTCAAAGAAATTTAGCAATGCTTTTTCATAAAGACCTATTGTTACTTAGTTAAAAGGTTATGAAACATACCTAGTTATTAAATTGAATGAATACTATAATGAAATAAAAAAAAATGTTGCGTGTACTTATTATGGTGGTTGATGTGCTTCGAATGAAATTTTGACACATGATCATCCGCGCGTTGTCAATTGAGGTAAAGGTCAAATTAACGTAGGGATTGTTTTATAATTATGTATAACGTTCTATTTAAACGTTTTACGTTAAATTAATTGATATCGCTAAGACTTGCACCATCTAATGTATTCAGATAAGAAAAATAAATGATATAAAAGAAAATAATTCGATGTTTTTGTTGAATTTCAATTAACTATTTTTTAATAACACAATGGTTTATCAATAATTATTTAAAATAATGAAGATATCACACATTATAATAAAAAGAAAATTAAAATAAGTTTAAAAAGTTTGGTCCCTGTGGCAGTGTACCTACTTTTAAATAATTTTCCTTTTTTTTAAATGCAAGAACATTATATATTCTGACCTTCATCTGTAGACTGCTAATTTCCACTATTGATATGGCGATGAAACTATCAGGAGAGTTTTTTATCTTGTCTCAACAGGCAATAATATAACAGTGTAATAATTGATTGAAATATTCTTTACCTCGGCACAGTCTAACAAAATGGCTCGGGGTTGCTGCACGCGGCCGCCTCGCGATAAGTTTCCTCTGCGCGGCAAATGCCTCGCGAGGCTGTTCGCTCTGTGTGGACGCGCCTTATATTGAATTTTCTAATTTTGGCGACAATTTATTATTTTGACAAATGTTTAAGATTATTATTTATTTCTGAGATTATTTTTATTATTATATATGAATTGATTGGGAATGTGGAAGTAGACGAAATTCAAAATGGTCGAAAGTAAGATGGCCGCCATACAAGGGCAAATTGTGTTTCTCGCGCGACCGATGATAATTGATTTGTGTCCATTAATCGACCCGTAATCGACTCGAAAATACTTCCAAACTTCTGGTTTCCACTTTCCATACAACCTGAAATTTGACGCCTCAAGAAAACGGTGATAACTGGGTGAGTGATATCGATGTGAAACTGATCAGACACTTTTGAAATTTAGTCTTTCGTAGGGGATATAGTTTACTAGTGCTCCAATACGACAATAGACAAAAGTTAGAGGTGACTTTGAGTTATTGGTATCGAGGAATTTATGTTTTATTGTGTTTTAGTTAACATTGTTTCTAACATCCCTAAGTAGAACAAATGTAATGAGTGACTTTGGGTATAGCCCTCAAACTCACGGGTTGCGCGCATCTCAGTGCTTCTTTTTTCCTTTCTCTCGTATTTAAAAGCATTTCAAGTTTTCACAGGTATTGTGATTGCAGAATTTATTAGGAAATATGACCTTTTCTACCATTAATATTGCAGGTGCGAAATCCTCTCCTTTCCTTCGGGAATGTCACCCTTTCCTCTAATTCCTAATTCGGCCATTAACACCCCACCTCGATTGAGATTTTAGCTGATAGCGGAAAGTATTGGGCTAAGTATTTGAATTTCATATTATTTCAGAAGTATTGCCTTTGCGGAAAACTCTTCTTCGTTTAGATAATCTGACCTTCCCACATAATACAACACAACCCACATACAACAGTAGTTGGTATCTATAACTTATCAATATGTTTTGTAGTTTATTTCAAAAGTGTGAGCCACAGTAAAAAAATAGGTAATATGGTTGAGCTATTAGTGTGGACTGATAAAAAAACACAAAAAACAACAAAATTAAGATGTATCTTTAATCAATTTATTCAATTATATTTAGGAACATCGAACCACTGATAGACAGTTTCCTTGGTGTCGTCTAGCTCGTATTCCAGACATTTGTTGCTCCAAACTCTATAAATTTAAATATATTAGTAGGTACTTTGTTTATTTCATCTTGTAGTTGAATGTTGAATGTTTAACAAGGAGGCTTCAATTACAGATACCTATTACCCGGTTCGCATTTTCTTACAGCCCACGATGGGATGATCTTTTTTGTAGCATTGAGTTCCTAAATAATCAAAATATAAGCCTCCGACGACTGATGCCGTAGTTGTGTAAGCTTTGTGTAAGTAAGCAATCACGGAATTCCATGTCACAATGGCAGTCTAAACTGAAAATTGATTTACAAAATTTTAATTAAATAGCTGAATCGTATACAAAATATTTGTCGTTAAGTTTATGTCGTCATTCAGGGATTCAGTGTTGAGAAAGCGCGTATATACAATTCCACTTTAAACGTTTAATTTATTATATATGTATGAAAGAAGGATGTTGTGCGCTTCCTTCGACTTAAAGGGAGGATTTTCGACAAGCCTAACCACTGACTAGCCGGCCCGAAGACCCCCGTGGCTAAGGCTGTACATTATTATATCCTTAGCAGTCTTAGCGGCAATAGCGAGTTTAAGTGTGACGTCGTCGCTATTGATTGTATCTGTACTCGTACGAAATGACATAACTGACCGACTCATCGACCACTTTCAAACGGCTACAAATTCCCTGCTTGAAAGTTTGCTTGCAACTCTAAAAAAGGAGATTCGGCCCCACATGGAATACTGTTCTCACCTATGGGTGGGAGCTCCCCATTACCTACCAGCTCCTTCCGCTTGACCGTATTCAACGAAGAACGAATCGAATCGTCAACGACCAGACGTGAAGTGGGAGACGTGGGATCTCTCTGCATCTTCTACCGCATTTACCATGGACGGTGTTCAGAGGAGTTATTCGGACTAATACCTGTAGCTAAGTTTCATCATCGGACGTCAAGGCAGAAAGAACGTACCATTTCTTAAAAGGCCGGCAACGCACTTGCGAGCCTCCTGGCAATGTGAGTGTCCATGGGCCGCGGTATCACTTAACATTAGGTGAACCTCCTACCCATTTGCCTCCCGTTACATAAAAAGAAGTATATTGTTGGTGCGTAGGCAGTGTCGGCATTTATATAACTCTTGAATTGCGGTCTCTCTTAGAGCGATAATAAGTAGGTATAAGGATTATTAAGACAAAGTAATGTATTAACAACCATATTTAAAATTTTCGTTGATAATTTAAATTAAAAAATTACGCAGTGACAATTAAAATAATGGCAATATTATAGATGTTATTAAGTATAAGTTATTAGCATACCTATAGTATTATATAACCTATTGTAGCTGGTGGTCGACGTGCTTCGAATGCAATTTAGACACATGGTCATCCGCGCGTTGTTAATTGAGGTAAAGGTGAAATTAACGTAGTGATTGTTTCATAATTATAACTTAATCTCCGACTCGCTTAAATGACTATTTCGTTAAAAATAATTATTATCGCTAGGACTTGCACCATCTAATGTAAGTATTGTAATAAGAAAAAAAATTTATATAAATGGAAATAATTAGTTTTTTTTATAAAAGAAAGTACTCATTAAAAATTTCAATTAACTATTTTGTAATTGCACAATGGTTATTCAATAATTATTTAAAATAATGAAGATATCACATCTAACAATAAATAGTTTGACCTTCATCTGTATAATGGTAATTTCCACTATTGATATGACGATGGAATAGTCAGGAGAGTTTTTTTATCTTGTCTCAACAGACAATGATGAAAGGCAATATAAGAGTATAATAATAATTGATTGAAATATTCTTTACCTCGGCACAGCCTGTAATACAAATTCTACTTTTAAATTTATATATGAATATAAAAAAATATATATTCTTGTTTGTAATTAAACTCCTAAACGGTAGGACCGATTTTAACGAAATAATAATAAGATCTTGTAGGTGATTTGTCATTATTTTTGTTTGGATTTTGTTAAATTCCAATCCTATTGCTTGGCTAAGAGAATAGAGTTCGTTTATCATTTCCTCTATTTGTATGGTTGTGATGTTTTTGAGAATAAAACGATGTCATCAGCAAATCTTAAGTTATTTAAGTAATTACCGTCAATAATAATACCTTTTTGTGTTCAATTAATCTTTTGCATTAAGCTTTGAAGTACTGTTATAAATATGGCAGGAGAATGTGGGTCACCTTGTCTAACCCCTCTTTTAATGGCTAATTTGGTTCCCCCTTTTTTTAGTTTGACTCGACGTACACTTTTATATCCTTAACTAGTTCAAATATAATATAAGTACCTTGCATGGGGCGCTGGTAATTGTTATTGTGAAAAATGGGATTGAGTTGTGGTGCCATTTGAAGAGCGATATGAAATAATTGCTTTTGTTAAGTAATTTTCTAGAGATATTTTTTTTTGCTATAACTTCAAATGAAATTGGAGTTAAACGTTTTGATACTTTTTTTCATTATAGCGGCTGATTCTGTGTGTGATACATGCAAATATAAAAAATTATCCAATGATCAAGGATATTTTTTTTAAATCTTACTGTGGCGAATATGGGGTTCGAAATTTAGATGAAAACTCCAATTACTCTGTTCATAAGTTTATTAATTAATCAAGAACTTGAAAATGGTTCTAAATACTGCACATGCATAAAAAAGTCTTCATCGGAAGAGGAAGACGAGGAAGACGCAGTATTTATGATAAACCTTTGCTCCTGCATCTCAATTAACCGATCTTGTTTTTCACCGAACTGATTTTCAATTTTTCTTACATGTTCACAAGAGTTTCGCCGTTCATCGATCCCTATTTGAGAGAAAGCTTCTTCTGTTAAAGATTTTATATCACTTGCAGGTCTATTGACGTTTTTAGGCGCAACTTTCTGTTTCATTATTCCCCAGATTAATTCTATGAGGTTTAACGTACAATGATATGGTGGGAGCCTCAAGACTTCGTGGCCGTGTGATTTTAAAATCTCATCTATCTGATAATTAGGTTCAGACTTATGATTTTTCACTGCTTCCAATAATTGACATTTACGCCAATTATCGTCGTAAGGGATATTGTTTGATTGAACCCATGCTTTTATAACAGCAATACGGTCGGCTTGTGCAGGCGGTTTGTTTAATTGTACAGATTGGTACTTGGCGTTGTCCATGACAATTAGAGAAGGTTTTGTAAGGTTGGGAATCAACTTCTCCGTAACCCATTTTGTAAAGATATCTTTATTCATATCATGGTGGTAGTCGGCAGATGTACTCTTCGACCTATACACCAAACAACAGTTTGGCACATTGTAACAATTTTCTCCACCAGCATGTACAATGATCCATCTAGGCCCTGCCGAAATACTTTTAGATGGTCCTGCAATATCTTTATTTTGCCAGTATTTGCTTACTGAACATGAACCGTGTATGTAGGTTTCATCTAAATAAACCACATCCAGCTTATCATCGGCTTCTCGATTCTTTTGCAAACGCCAAATACTTGAATCTGTGTATCTTTATGTCATGTCGCCCCATTAAAATAATCCTTTTTGATTGACACTTCACAAATTCGAATCCGATGTCTCAAAATAAGTCTGAAGACAAAATAAGATTGTTATTTTTAGATTACTATGTTTTTAGATTATATTCAAACTGAAAGAAAATGAATTCATTTTTGTTACCTTAATGATTCTCTTCCTCCATTGAAATTGATTTCCTCCCGAAGAATTTGTAGCAATTTTATGACAGTGGGTATTTCTTTTCGTACAGTGTAAAACTCATTCATCTTGTTTCTGATCCAAACTAAATCAAAACTATCCAAGTTTATTTGTTTTTTGCCACCTTTCCTCTTTTTACCGGGCGTACTAAATACTTCTCTGTTAGATCTGCTTTCAGCAACAATTCGTCTTATGATAGTATTAGAAATCCCTGAAATAAACCAAAGTTTAGTATAAGAACATAATATCTATATATATATAAAAGAAAAATGGTCTTCGTTTGAGGATCCTTCACGCCTAATCACGCCACTGATCGTATCGACATGAAACTACCACCATTCGATGCGAAATTTTTCCTAGATGGTTTATGGCTTATTTATTAAATTCCAACGTTCCTTCATTTTTTTATTGCTGTTTTACTTTTATGAAAATTTATGCATACGGACTTCACCGCGGAAACATTCGGGGAGGCTTCCTAGAACCTCTAAACGTCAACATCTGTTAAAAACTCGATTTTCGAAATATTTCAATTTTCTTAGCGGGAAGTTAAAAAGAAGAATAATAAAAATATGAAAAAAAAAAAATAATGAAACATAAAATTTATTTTAATTCGTCCAGCAAAGCGGGCGCGAAACGGCTAGTATAATATACACGAAAAATCCAATAAACCAAAGTATCAAGACCTGTCATTCCTACTAACCAGTCAACGCTTGCACATGGCTCAATATCGATGATTGTGTATGTTCTGCACCTTGTCGATCAAGTATTCTTTGATAAACATTGAAAACAATATTTCTTGCTTGCGATCGAAGAGGTTTCTTCGACATTTTCACTATATTATTAGGAATTATATTATAAAGGTAATTTGAAGCCAAACCCAAAAACAATTTATTCCTCGAAATTTCAGTTAACAGATGAATTTTTTTTTGTTGCCATATGAAAATCGCTAATTTTTTTTGCCATCAGATTATGGTAGACCTATATATTGTGTAATGTGTAGTATTTTCTTTAAGATTTTGATGTATGTGGCAACATAAATATAGGAGTTCGGACGCTAAGAAAAGAAGAAAACAGACGTCACTCAGAGGAGACTTGTAAGACGAGAGAATATATTATATGTTTTTTTCTTGAGCGTTTCTATGAGAATATAAATTATTTACTCGTGTTTGTGTTAAATAAACCAATTAACAAAGACAACAATGGGTTGTAATTTATAACAAGATAGAGCTTCCCATAAATCTAATAATTAATAAGCCATCAGCAAATGTCATCACTCAATAATTGCTTGATAGCTTACAGATGTCATTGTCAAGTTAAAGTTATCGCAGAATTTTCATTTACTGTTTATATTTATTATTTTACAACAAAAGCAAAAATATATTGTTGTATAATAAACGTAATACATATTACATACTGCAGTTGAAATTGAAAACTTAAATATTGCTATTCAAAATGGAGAATCTGAAAAATATATGGAAGCCAGAGTGTATGTGTAAATACAATTACATATTATGAATTTTGAAAGTACCCTTTTATGTTTTGTTATTGTGTATATTTTTAGTATATCGTATTCAAATGGAAGCTCCACAGCCAAAGCGTATCATTTGTGAGAAATACCCTGACCGGCCAGAATTCTATGGTAAGGAATATCATGGTATCATGGGACACAAGGAAGCAACATATATTTTGCAAGACGAGCCCAATGGCGCTTTCCTTATACGAAAAGGCAATGAATTTAATGATTTTTATACACTCACATGGAGGTAACATCACACAACAGGAGCTTCTTCTAATCTATGAAGGTACATTAATAAAATTACTATTAATATGTGCTAAATTGATTTACAGATTTAATGATAAGATACATCATTATAAGTTATACTATGATGGAAGCCACTATATTAGAGACAAACGATATGATACAATTTATGATTTAGTTGCTGATGGGCTTATTACATGTCACATGGAGTTGAAAGCTCATCATATTCTTGAAATGATAAATTCAAATGCTAATTATACTGAAAGTCCTTATGTCACATTAAACAGAAAAAAATTAAAAACATTATCACAAATGCATCAGTAAGTACAAACAACATTATAAATGCTAATTTTGTAGTTCTATTATTACATCTTAAACTGCTAAACTGACTTCATGCCACTATGTGCAGAATAATTGACCCTTCATATAATAAATAATAAGTATAGTAAAAGTTATCACTGATCATGTTATTAATTTCATATTATATGTTACAAATTAAACATTGTTTCATATTTTACCATAGTTATTAATTGTTTATTTGACCAACTAACCTATTACAACAGGGCATCAAACAGATCTAGCCCCATAATACAAAGAGCTGAAAAATTAACTACAGAGCTGATAATCAAGCCACTGTTCAACCTGACACCAACATTAGAGGATCCACCACCATTATATAAATATTCCAAGTCACATAGTTTTAAAGTACATACCTTCAAAGGGCTTAATTGGTGTGAATTTTGTGCAAATTTTTTGTGGGGCTTTACTGCCCAGGGTGTAAAATGTGAAGGTAAAGTGTGATTTCACTAAAGACTGAGTTTTCTTTTTTATAATAAAAGGCACGTTTGACCTGAGCCAAAATCAAATAAAAAAAAAATTTGATGTTAGTGAAGTCCTTTATAAAAAGCAAATGCATTCTATGGATTTATGTTTCACTTTCAGATTGTGGCTTTATAGCACATTCAAAATGTTCAGAAAGAGTTCCAAGCCACTGTGTTCCAGATTTAAAGAAACTCAGAGGTGTATTTGGAATAGATTTGACAACATTACTTAATGCTCATTCAAGCACTTTACCATTTGTTGTAAAGAAATGTGTTAATGAGATTGAAAGTAGGGGAATAGATTCAGAGGGTATTTATCGAGTATCAGGCTTTGCAGATGAGATTGAAGCACTGAAATTAGCTTTTGATAAAGGTAGGTTTTATTTTTTATAAATTTAAAAATATAATTTGAATTTGGGGATTATTATAACAAATGAATTAAATGTTATGATCAAACTTCAAAATGTAGGTTCACTTAGAATAACACAATATTCTTTAACTAAAAATAACACTCAGATTAATTGCATCAAAAGTTAATAGCATAAAATTTATAAAATTTTTGCAAATGTTTGAAAAAATATTTTAATATAATGATATATTCATTAGATGGTGATGCAGCGGATTTAAGTGTATACAGTAATATAAATGTGGTCGCTGGAACACTCAAATTGTACTTAAGACTTTTACCAGTTCCTCTCATCACTTATGAAGTCCATCCAAAACTTATTACAGCAATTCGTAAGTATATATATAATTATAAAACTATAGTATTTCTTCTTTGCAACCAGTGTTTTCATTGCTATTGGACTATGCAAAACATAGAATACATTACATATAAAAACACAATACATGCATGTGCATCAATCACAGGTGTGCACAACATTTAAAGGGAAACATTAAAATGATAAAAGAGAAAAGAAATTATACAATAAAAATAAACTAGATTAAGAATTACAAATATGCAATTATTTAATATGTTTCTACTTTGCAATTGTTATTATTGGTGACGGAACAACAATAGCTGCAGCATCTTACTTGACAACATGAAGACATTCATAAAATGGATCAGCCTCGTATGTACTCAAAGCGACGTTTACTGCAGATAGAGATCTGTTTAGAGGAGCATTAAAACTAATGTTGGTCCTCACTACCCAAACGTAAAAAAGGACTGATGTGTTTCTTGTTTCTCTCTTCAAGAGAAAAAGAAAATTCACGTGATTTAAAACCAACTTATTTATCCTCTATATTTTTTTTTATGCAGTTGGCCTAATTTTTAAATATAATTGCCTGTTGTAGCTTTGCTTTCGTTTTCATGACCAATATTTGAAGTTTATCTTCTATAATTAATGTAAAAAATTAATAATCCCTTGGCATGAAATAATTTCTATTACTTTTAGAAATGAAGAAAACACCGACTATTCAAGTATCAGCGTTACGAGAGTGTCTGGATTCTTTGCCATCTGCACATTTTAACTGCTTGCAGTACATGGTCCAGCATTTACATAGGTGAGTGAAAACCGATGAGAATTAGATTGGAAATTAAAAGTAATCTGTGATATTTAAAGGATTTACATATAGATTACATATTGTTTTATATTTTATTCAGAAATTCAGATATTTTTAATGAAATATTACTATTGTCTAAGCACAATGCAATTCAATCAAATAAGCTACACTGAGCCATTTATGTTTAGTAATATAAAAATAATAATATTACAGAGTATCTCAACATGCAGAAGTAAATAAGATGTCTGCACACAACCTTAGCACAGTATTTGCTCCAACATTGGTTGCAACACCCCCTGGAATCACTGACTTGTCTTTTGAAATTCGAGCACTCCAAGCCCTTATTGAGTATTGCCCACAAATATATTATAATAGTAAATAATCTCATAATTATTGTTATTATCTTTGACCCCAAATAATTTATTGTTTATTTTACATTGGAGCTAGATCTTTAAGTTGTCAAAGTATTTTGACTTTAGTATCCACTAATATAATATTATTGTGCAAGAATTTTAGGAATATAGAAATTTAATTTAATTTTACAATTATTAAAATATATCACTTCTATATAAGCATGTAAATAATATAAAATTAAGTATGACAAAAATTGTGCTTGGAAAACTTTATACAAGGGTCATTGTCAGATTTTGCGCAGGTAACCGCAACTAAAAATCATAAAATTATAAAAAAATAAAATTGCTCAAACGTGAGCATTTACATCGTGCATTTACATACGTGTAAAAAAATACAGCTCTGTTATCATAACGTTTTAGTTTTTATCGTGAGAAGAAACAAATCAGTCCCAAGTATTTTGGCATTAATGTTAACTACAGTCTTAAGCTTAAATATTAATAACAATAAACTTTGTCACCGGCATTTACCAATCAATAGTTTAACTTTATAAAAAAAAATAAGCAAATATTCTTTGAATGGTAACTGGAAAATTAATGTTACTAATTTTTCAAATATGTATGTCTTATAGCCTTATCAAAATTGTGGTTCTGTTAGGTTCTGGAACAATAGCAAGTAAGTTATCGAAAGACACAAGATAAAATATCACACTCAACTAATTTGAATTTTGTTGCAGTATGATCGATTGACTTAAAAAACATAACTTCACCATCTTCTACTTCAGATAAGGCTTTACTCAGATATACATAATCCTGTTTTAAGGTGGAAATTTTAACCAAGACACAAACACCTAGTTTTATTAATTTAGTGACATGAATATTTTCCTTCTCGATCAAAGCATCGTCATTTTGTTTTGATTTGCCGGGTTTTTCTGACAAATAAGTGCTAGACGGTTTTTCTTTCAATGATATAAGAGGAGCATCATCATCGGAATCTGAGCTGTAGGCAATGTGGTAAAACCCTTTTGGTTTGGTCGCTATTGAAAAAGATTACTTATATCAGACAGAAAACTGTTGTCGGAAGTGGAGTTGATTGTTCCACTGCAGGTTTTTATTTTTTTAACGGAACTTAGTGCTTAGGATTGACGCAAGAGCAAAAGCTACGCTGACAAAAACTATCCATGAAAAATCAAACCTATCTCTTTATTTTAGTTTTGAATGTTTATTAATGAGATGTATTGTGTACTTAATATTATTAAGAGGATATATAGTTATTACTAATAAAACAATAATCACAGTTGGGTTGGCTGGTTACCTGCGCGAAATTTGACAATGACCCACAAATTAAACATCTAAAAATATTATTAAATTTTTTACCTAATGCATACTTTGTTGTTGTTTCTTTAAATGAGCTTAAAAATTGATTTGTGTCCATCAATTTATTTCAAATATACCATACATTTGTATAGAAAATAAAACCATGTATTCATATGGAAGTTTTTATTGTTACCTTTTCTTCCTTTTTTGAGGTATGTCTTCTAAACTATCACTTTGTTGAAATTTCTTTAGATCTGCACAAAATAGCACCTGTAAATAATAGTAAGCTCTTTACTATATATTATATTATAAAAAGGAGAGTTTTGTATAGTTTAACAAATAAACTCGAAAACCACTGGACTAAATTCAAAATTTATTTCACCATTAACAAGATATATTTTCCCTTACTAAATAATTAATCTTTGCTGAATAATTTTGTACTTTCAGATTTTATAAAATAATTATGGAAACAAATAGGTGGAAAATTACCGTGTGCGCCCAGCCAGCCATATCTCCATATAGATTTCTAAAGTGATCACCAATCTCTGTGTAAATTTTTTCAGTAACACTTTTCTTACCCTTCAAATGAGGGAGATAGTTTTGAGCAGCTATTTGGTAAACATGCGTATCAACTGGCAGTGCATCTAAATGATTTAATGACATTAAACAAATGCAATCTGCAACCTGAAAAGCAAACTATAAGTTTTTTTTTGTATATAAGTATTATAATAACATGTATAAAGTATCATGGAGCATGTTTATCCCTGAGGTATTAGTAAGAAACAAAGTATTTTTAGGATATTTTTTACCTTAGGTCCAATTCCACATAGCTTCATAAGCTCTGTTCTAGCATCCTTATACATCTTTACCTGTAAACCCTTAAACCATTCTTCACCACCCCATTCAACTATTTGATCAGCTGATTTCTTTATAAATTTGGCTCTATATCCAAATCCTAGTTCTCGAAGTTGTGACTCAACCTAGATTGTTATTATTATTATTGAGTTAATCCTAGTTATTCCAAAGTATAAATAAAGTCAATTTCATTCTTGTTACCTTTGGCTGTGCTAATTTATCTACATCAGGAAAAGAATAATATGATATGTCATTAACTTCACAAATTTTCTCACCATAATGTGTACATAACTTTTCTACCATACTTGATATCCTGAAATAGTTTAGATTCTACTATTATTCTATTATATACTATTATAATAACATTGTATTATTATACTATTGACATTGAATTTACCTTGATATATGGTTATTTTGACTACAAATAAAAGAAAATAGATTCTCTACTGGCTCTTGAGCTAACATTCTAATCCCATAAAACTGTACACAAGCTGATTTAAACAAGTCATCCTTTTCTGACCATGTTTTATAATAGTTACTCAAATCAACATCCAGACGGAAATATTTTTGTAACAAGTTCTTGTAAACATCCACATGCTTGATTCCTTCCATATCTGTTTTTTTTAATAATGATCCAAGAACTATGTACTTCAAACAATCATCTTCCTCTTGGAGTCTCCATACAGTTTTGGCGAAAATACCAGTCCATATATTTTCATTTCTGTCAAAAGTCCATCTGGAAAATAGTGATACTTTAGGATTTATGTTTTCAAATATAGCATATTAGCAGCTGAGCTTACATGGAAGCATTACCTAAAACTTTGGCCTCCGTTTAATGTACCGATCAGTTGAAGCTCACGATTTTTAATAGGAATTTTATTCCACGACATTGGACTTAGCATTTTATTTCATAAGGACTATGTTAAATTCTGTTTTCAAACACACAAGACTATTTTATGAAACTTCACATAAAAATAACCCCTAGCATTGATGATAGTTAATTAAAATATTATGTAAACAAATAGACGCTTAAGAGCGAATGCGCGCCAAAAGTCAAAACGTCGCACGCATTGATGTTGACAGTGACACTCGACAGTTACTGAAGAGTAGTTCAATGTAAGGCAAAATAACTGAAATTACTTTTATCAGGACAAACATAATATCACTTTTTATACAATGATAGAAAAGATAATCGGCGTGGTGGTTATGCGAACTAATATAATTTTTTAAACAATTTATATTTTTATAGTTAATATCAAGATGAATACTGTCTAACTAAAATGACGTAATAGTGTTGTCAACAAAAAAAATTATATATCGATTTTGTAACTTCCTTCTTCAGTATTTTTAACAGCCGATAGATTAAACGACGCTTCTGCTTGACTCCTTAAAATATTTAGTAACAGACCAAGTCCAAAACATGATAATGTTTTTCTAATCTTGATTTTATTTGATTTAAACTAAGTGAGTAGTTTAAAAATTAAATTTTTCTTCATAATATCATAATAAATTTTTCAATGTCTCCTGCTTATTTATTTATTTAGGAAACAAAAAAGTTACATCTCTATAAAATAAAACATAAAATGAACACATTGGATACATCCAATCCATCCAAAGAGTTTCACTGATAAAAAAATAAGATCCAAAGCAAAACCTGACAGCAGAACGTTAACTAAGTAGACAATAATACTACATACACTAAGGCTATGTTCACATGTAACGCGCGTTAAAGCGCGTCAACGCGCGATCAAATTTGAAGAGAGTTCAGATGATGAGCGCTAATGCGCGTTGCGAGAGTACTCGTCAGTCTAGTTCGGTAGAACGTAGAAGAGGCTATTATTTTGTGGTTATATTATAAAGAAAAATATAGAAAAAGAAAACGTACACATTGGGTTCATCCAATTTTGAAAAATAGACCCAGTTTGTTATAAATATAATTACGAAAATTAACAAAATTACATGCGTGATGCGATCGCGATGAAAGCGCGCGCTCAACTGAACAGCATACGGACATTACATTAATATCAAAGCGCGCGATCACCTGCGTCTAGAGCCTTTTTTCTAAGCGCCGCGTTAACGCGCGCTCATGTGAACAGTTGTATGAAAATACCACAATGTCTAGTCGCGCGATTTGAAAACGCGCGTCAAGTTTTTGCCATCTGAACATAGCCTAATACAACACAAAATGTATAAATCAGGACAACGACAAACATTCTAGCAGCTATAATAAAGAAGAAAGATACAAGACATTACAGGACATTAATAGTTGTTTTAACTTATTCTTAAATGAAGCATTAGAGGAGTGCGAAACAAGTTCGATATTATTGGCAGAATCCAAAGTAGGACACATTCTGTGAAGAGGCTCGCGGAACCCAATGTTGGTTCTGGGAGTCGGAAGGTTAAAGATCTCTACGCTCGCACAGAACGTGCAGGAGCATCTAATAAAGAAGAAAGATAAAAGACATTACAGGACATTAATAGTTGTTTTAACTTATTCTTAAATGAAGCATTAGAGGAGTGCGAAACAAGTTCGATATTATTGGCAGAATCCAAAGTAGGACACATTCTGTGAAGAGGCTCGCGGAACCCAATGTTGGTTCTGGGAGTCGGAAGGTTAAAGATCTCTACGCTCGCACAGAACGTGCAGGAGCATCTGGCAGGAACATTGAATGTTATGAGTTCGAGAAGATCTGAACAAGTTAGTTCAAGTACACATATTTTTCTTATAGTGACACAATCTATCAAATTACGTCTACTTCTCAAAGAAAAGTTATATTTTTTAAAAGGTCCTTGTATTTAGCCCTACCACCATTCATGCGATAATTTAAAATACGTAAAATTTCTTATGTACAGCCTCCAGTTGTGCGACATATATAGCGTAATGGGGATTCCAGATTGGACAGGCGTATTAGGCCTGAACTTTATTATATTATAAAGAGTTTTTTTTGATGATGTACCTATGTACCAGAAAATATATTTGTTCTGTAGGTACAGTTAGTGTTTCGATTTTACATATTCTCTATCAAATAAATTCCTTTTTAACAAAAGAAAAATAACTGCCATCAAATTTAAAAGTATTATAGAATTTTTTTATAACATTTGTATTACTACAAGCGGAGGTGTCAGGGAAACTTTCACGTGGAATTTTCCTTTGGATTTTTGTAATCATATTTTTAAAAATTAAGAAAAATTTAACATAAAGATGGGCGTAATACGTAAATAGAAAAGGAATATACGTAGTCGGTCCCAAAGTTCTGTCATAAATGGAAATAATGATAAAAACAAAAGTACTGATCAGTTTGTGATGAGTGATATATCAATTCTTAGTACATTAATTAAGGAATAAAAAAAGCATAAAAATATTCGAAATAACCTCCCTCATTTTTAATACAGGCCCTTAAGCGTCACGGCCAGTCGTCTATCGCAGCACGCACCATATTCGTGTCGATTTCAGTCACTGGTTTTTTTAAAGATGACTTCAGATTCTCCAAATTTTCATGAGGTTTATCACAGACCTTCCTCTCTAAGCCCTGTCATAATTTCTGGTCCAAAGGATTAAGGTCCGGACTGGAGGAAGGCCAATCCTCATGTCTAATTAAGACGATGTTTTGACGCTCAAACCAGGCTTTAGTGGTCTTGGCTTTGTATGCAGACGCAGAGTCCTGCTGGAACACGAAGTGATGTCCCGCAAATAGGGTGCTGGACATGTCTTTGACAAGGCGATACAAAACCGTCTCTTGGTACACTGTAGCACTGGTTTTGACCCCCTTTTCGAAAAAATTAACCTCAGTTAGCCCGTAATAGGACACTCCCAACCAAACCATTACTGATGATGGATGATGTCCATGTTGCACCCTTGGAACTTTATTTTCAGCTTCTTCAGAACTCCTAGCGTACACTGTATAATTCTGTTTATTGTACTTCTCTTCAATATCGAAAAATTTTTCGTCCGTAAAGAGGATATCACGGTGTCGGTTTTTCGCGTACCGCTTAAACAACACCCGCGATCTCTTAAGCCTTATTGCTTTTAGACGAGCATTAAGTAAGTGCCCACTCTTTTTTGTATGCTCGTAGACCAAGATCTTCATTTAAAACCTTTTTACTGTTTTCCTACTGACACCCATCTGCAAATCCATCAACTTCTGTTTTCGGACAGGATTTCTTACTATCCGCGCCTTGATAGCTTTGATTACTGCTGGTGTTCTTGCAGAGCGTGGCCAGCCAGTTCTTTTCTTGTCCTCAACACTGGAGACTTCAAGGTACCTATCAATAGTACCGTACACAAACCTAAGCGTTATATTCAAATTTTTGAGCAACTTGAAAATGGTACTCGGCGAGTGTCCACAGCGGTGCAACGCAATAACAACTATTCGGTTTACTTTCAATGTCCACTCCATCGTGAAAAATTACGGAAAGTTATTGTTTTTTGTTTTAAAACAATAATCAAACATTCCAAAATAGAATGCAATAATTTTTTTATAAAATCCTGCTCGAAATGTAGAAATAATGTGCTAGTGACAGAACTTTGGGACCAACTACGTAGTACGGGTATAATCATATTTTTGAACTTTGTAGTTAGTTCCACAATAACAGTGCAGTGTGCCGATTTTCCTTTAAATTTTATTTTACTTATTAAAATATAAATAAATAAAATTAAGGCTATTTTAAATTAATCTTTTATTAATATTATAAATATATATAATAAAATGGCAAGCCTATCTAATAATAACTTATTAATTAGTTAATTACTACTTAATTTAGACATTTTATCTTTAATCCATGGAAGATATTGAGCAGCATCAGTAAACACTACATATTCGTTAAGATCACAAGTGGCATCTCCGTTCTGTGAAAGGAGGGCTAGCGATACAACACCACGTAACTTCCAGCGACCATTGTCCAAGATATAAAGTCCACCACCAGAATCTCCTAAACAAGGCCCGGATCCTTTCTTATCACCTGAAAGAAAGATCACAGCAAATTATAATACCTAATAATTTTTACGTGATTACAGTGTTGGCCTAGTGGCTTCAGCGTGCGACTCTCATCCCTGAGGTCGTAGGTTCGATCCCCGGCTGTGCACCCATGGACTTTCTTTCTATATGCGCATTTAACATTCGCTTGATTTGTGAAGGAAATCGTGAGAAAACCAGCTTGGCTTAGACCCAAAAACACGACGGCGTGTGTCAGAAGTGTGTGGAAGCTCACCTACTTGCTTATAGATTGAAAACTGATCATGAAACAGATACAGAAATCTGAGGCCCAGACTTTAAAAGGTTGCAGCGCCATTTATTTTACTTTTATAGGTTATGAAACCAGCGTGTACTTTACTTTTAGTGAAGTGATTTTTTTACGAATTTAAGATTTTGTATTTAAATAGTTATTCAGATAAATACAGCATAAAGTTTATCCCGATTAACAGACATATGTGACCGAATTATGTGCGTATCTACGGCCTAGAATAATTGTGATACGAATAATTTACCTAAATTAATTTAATAAACCTCTGGTAATTTATTATAATAGACATACGAAACAAAAAACCAAAAACAATCAGCATTTAGTCCACAGGGTCAGACATGATAAATTATAATTTTCGTTTTAAGTGTTTCTGCCAGCATCAAATAAGCAAATTTTTTTTGCAAAACATACCTGCACATAGAGTTTTCTGTGATGTCAATCTGTGGAATTCTGGTTTACTGGCTCGACACTCCTTTGTGCTGACAACTGGAATACGGACCATAAGAGGCTCGCCAGTACCGCCTGCGCCTTGTTCATTCGCTCCCCAACCTGCCACCTAGTGACAACTCACAAGATTATTAATTATGCTATTTACTAATGCACATTTATAAGGCAAAGAGGAGACTTAGTAGTTTAAGTATAGCCTTCAATCCTGAACTCATATGGTATATGGAAAGATTATAGAAAAAGATGCAATCTGACGTAAAGAGTTATAAGGGGTTGTTGCGCTATTACAGAACATACAAAAGTTGTTTAGGACTTATGTATATTACGTTCAAAGAGGGGCTGTACTAGCCAGTACCTATTCTAATTTTGAAAGTTTTTAAAATGTTAAACTTGTTGATATTTCGTGAGATTTCAATGTAACATTACATTCACGGTACTTTTACCCTAAAAATCTTTTCATAATTCTATAATAACAAACCGCCCATCCTGTCCAGAAACATTAAAGCGCTTTATTAGTTTAATTGCACACTCAAGCGCGAAACCTATTGGAATTGAAGCTAAAATTCTAATAATACACAGATATTCGTTTTCTTGATACGTAATAGGTAGAATTATCTTACCACACCTGTGGTGCCAACTATTCTGTTGAGATCCGTATTTCCACTCCAAAGACACGCTGGTTTTATGTTAGTGTTAAAAGTCACAGCTCGCTCTAATGTCATTACCAGGAGGTCATCTAAAAATAATTTTCAAATCATGAACTTTTATCTAAAATCCCATTTATATTTTAGTGAGATTGAAACGTATCACAAAGATGGACCAAAAATGCGGGGAGAATTATCCATTTAAAATATCGATTACGTAATATTATAATTGTTATCAATCAGGTAATTAACTTGTAAATATGAATTCAAGGTTAACATATTATATTCACGCAAGGAAGTTTGTAATAATAGATGTACTTTGCAAAGGCTCGCAAGCCTATAAAAAAAAGGAAGGAAGTTTTTTATCTCGCACTCAACTTATTATTGTTACAATCATTACTTACTAGCAAGAGTTGTCTTATTGTATCCCTCGTGTATGGCAGCGTCACTCAGCTTCCTGGTAACTGTGATGTCGTCTCCCCAATCGTCTTCCAAGTTAAACACGCCAACTTTAACGATTATGTCTGTCTTTCTGGACTGCCCATGCATGCAATGTGCCGCTGTAATACATTTTTTTTATGAAGTAAAGATAATTAAATTTCCGTTGTCTAACAAAATTTAATCTTATTTGATTTCCCAAATGAAATCTAATTTTAAAAGATTGGTATACCACCTAAAAGAACTGTATGTTATTGCGGATAAATGTATTTGCCTAAAAATACATGCATTACCTGTTACCACATGTTGATCCGAAACCAATGTCCCTGAACATATGTAAGAGATGCTGCTCGCTCTCTTCTTGTAGATGGCAACAAGCCAAGGCCACTCTCCCCGCTGATAACTGCTGCCTTGGAATATCAGGGGCACAGTGTTAATTGACGACACGCCACATTGTTTGGATTCGGTTTCGTCTCTATTTAACGGTTCAGGAGCTGGCGGTGGTCTGAAAACATGGTAAAATGAAAAATATTATAAATTCGGCTGTAATTGATATTTTGTAATGATATAAAATATTATCTAATTCTATAACTTTTGATACATGCCTTTAAACAAACAGAATCCTTTTAGCTTAGAATGTTATTGTTTGTTTCATTGTTATCAATTAAACTAACTACTCTTTTTGCATCAGACATGTGATAAAAATAAATCAGTGGCGCTACAACCTCTTTAAGTCTTGGCCTCAGATTTCTGAATCTGTTTCATGATCATTTTTAAATCTAATAGGCAAGTAGGTGATCAGCCTCCAGTGCCTGACACACGCCGTCGACTTTTTGGGTCTAAGCGTGTGTCAGAAGTGTGTGGCGGTTTCCTCACGATGTTTTCCTTCACCGTTAGAGCAAATATTAAATGCGCACATAGAAAGAAAGTCCATTTGTGCACAGCCGGGAATCGAACCTACGACCTCAGGTATGAAAGTCGCATGCGGAAGCCACAAGGCCAACACTGCTCAGACATGTGATAAGTCACACTATTTGTTTTAAATTTAAAATACATTGTTTATAAATTTACCTAGTTGTAGGCTTTTGTGTACGTCTAGGAGGCGTAACGGACTGTATCGGCCTAACATCTTCGTTTGAATACTGATTTTGGTTGAGATAGTCATTATAAACTTCTGGCTCGGAATAAGCTGGCGGGGGTCTTGGTGGCTTCGTGGTTTGTGGATGACGTTCGGGGTCTCTTTGAGGGTAAACATCTTGGGGATACACTTGAGGTGGCACTTGCGCTGGCTTTGCCGGTTCTAAAACTTGATACACTTCATAATCAGGTTGACGGTAGGGAGGGCGTGAGAACTGTACGTTTTGTGGTCCACCTGTAATAGGATTTGATTTGTACCGCTCAGGACAATTTTATGCAGATCATGGGTCCGTCTACCAGGGTGAAGAGTGAAAAGTTTAGGAGGTACTACGTATTATATGTAATTATCAAAAAGTAATCGAAAGGATTCATGAAATTGACTATGGATTATAATTTACTACGCGTTTCGTGTTGTTTCGTTATTTAAGCTACCGTATTGCGTCGATCAGTTTTGCAGATTGACTGTAAATGAAGCCGCATATGTACGCTAGTCTAGATTAAAATAATTCTCGTTATTCTCGAATATATGTCAATAAATTTTCTTTGGGTTTTCCAACAACTACGCAGTATACGGAAAATATCACTTATGGCTTATGAGTAAACCTGTTTCTCTGGGATGTTTCATGCATACCAAATCTTAGTTGTCACTTGAGTGAGTTGTAATAAAATGGAGATCCCAACTTCTAACGCTCAGATTTCAAAGCATCAGATCGCAATCTAGTAATGAGTGTTGCCCAAATAAATTGAAAAACCGGAACAGATTAAGAACATTAAATTTGGATATGTGTTTTGGGATACAGGTCTTATCACCAAACGATCTACCGGACAAGCACATATAATTTTTAACTACTGCCTTGCGATTCTGTAACTCACTTTTAGAACTCTCACAGCGGTTTTCGCAGCAGCGGTTGCGCTCAAATCAGTCGTGAAGCAGTCATTTTACGATTTGGCGAGTTACAGAATCGCAAGGCAGTTGATCCGACACTCCTGTTATATAATTACCACCTTCCATAATAAAGGTAAGACTATGTTAGTTAGTAAGTTAAGATTAACCCAAGGGAACGTTCCCTATTAAAACACAAGTTTTTCATATCAAATTAAACATTTTAAATGCTTGTAAAAATCATACCTGGCTTAAAACTGGGTTGAGGTGAACCAATACCATTGAAGTTGTTTCGGAGAAATAATGAATGCTGCAGAGTAATTGTAGTCACGTATTGACCGGGACCTGGGACATCTATAAACCATATAACTTTTAATTTAATATATGACGGCAAAAGCATGTATCGATTCAATTTCAATTAATTGTAAAAGTTTCACTACCAACGAGTGCATGAAGCATTTTACCCTACAATTTACATGTAACTCGACGAACGTTTTTTCAATCTCTTAATTATTAGAACTCTACATTAGATATAACCCACCTCCAGATGCAAAGCATAGCGGAACATCGTTAGCTGATATTGATGTGAGTCTCGGTAAAGGCGAGCTGACAGGAAAATTCACACGATATTGCAAAGGAACCCCGCTATTATAGTCTTGAAGGAGGTTTAGTTCTCCGCCATTATGTTGAATGTTGCCTACATAATTCTGAAAGTAAATTTCCAGCATACAGAATTAAAAATAGCAAGAAAACAGCACAATCTACCAAAGTGGATGATAGAATCATATTCAATTGTATATAATTCACACATACAAAAGCTAACTTTAAAGTTATCATATCAAATTTGGGCATACGTATACATGGTCCATAACGATCTTTTGGATTTTTTGTTCGTATCGCCACAGGAGGCCCAAGTCCTTTAATTTATAATATCTTAATAAAATAATCCTAATAAATTAATCGACTTCGATTATTTTATAAGATCTCATTATATATACATATGTAGCTATTTATCAAAACCCGTTGCTTGGCATATTAATGTTATATGATGTATGTTATGTTATATATACATATACGTATATGTTGTTGATGATAATATATGACTCTTCCGTGACTCGTATATAAGGGTCAAGTACGAGAATCGCTAAGTTTAAATCGACTGAGGAAATGAATTTCGAAAGTGGGAAATTCCTTAATAACTTTAGCTACTTGGATATGTACACAAATATATGTTTTTATTTATAATTTTATAATCATGATATAGGAATAACTAAGTAATTTGAAAACCGACATCGTCAAGATTATATACAATGCTACAACATATTATTTTTTTGTGAACACCTCCTCTATTTTGCATTATATTATTAAATCACTTAAATATTTTTATCATATTCAAACAATTTCGTATTTGTTCGCACGATGTTCTACTGCTTAATTCGGATTATATTCATAAGCTGTTGTTAAAAAATATGAATGGAACTTTCAGAGACCTATCTTATACTACATGAGACCTAAAACTCAGTTTACTTTATCATAAGTCATTCTATGTCTTAACAAATTAAAATTGTATAAAAAAGAGATGCCAATGAATAAATTTAAAAAGTGTGCCAATTTTACGTAGCTTTCACTAAATAGCATGCATATTGCAGCCTTAACAAATACAGGTTTCTTACAAGTTCATTGTCTTGAACGCGTTGATCGAGGGGCCCGCCCCGTTGAGGAAAATACGAGATCATTATCATAACTTACTGTTAGCATAAGTTAATGCATATTAACTTAAAGAGTCGATGCTTATGAAATCCTTTAACACTTTATTAAGTGCCCACCAAAGACGTTTAGTTAATACATGAACAGTAATGGTATTATTTACTCTAATAGTAAGTAGGCAATCTTATATAAACAGGTAAATAAAGATATAAGACATGACTTTCAATTATTTTAATTAGGTATAAATGCTTATAGTATTGTAAAGAGCGCTAAACTACCATAAGTCAGTAAGAGATTTTTTTAAGTTCCGTATCTCACATTAGAGCAGTTTATGTACCATCGATTATTTTTGTAAGACTTGTGGTTAAGTTTTCGAAAAAGTGTAGTGGCGAAGAAATTCTGAACCTGGAAATACATCTACATCCGCTACATCCGCTTATCACTTAGCTGGAGACGATATTAATAACGAATTGTCTGTAATTAGGGCGCTTTAATAAGACGACAGAATAGACCTTTTGTGTAAGTCTGTTTTTATGTGTTAATCAGTCTGAGTGAACACAAATCAAGTGTTGAAAAATTGTATAATACAAAAACAGCTTGTTTCTATGTAACTGAACGAAACAAGTTTGTAATACGACCCTGACAATAGAATCGCTTAGATCGTCAAAGTATTTTTTATGAGTAGGTATACCAATATTATTTGTAAAAACATAATAAGCTTCGATATAAGTTTAATTAGTATCCTACTTGGTTGATTTTGCCAATAATGTGGCATTTTTTTAATAACTTGATACAGGTTTGTCTACGGCAGACATAGTACGCTTATGAAAATGACCTATAAACTACAAGTGTAGGGGGGCGTGGGGCTAGTTGTAACAATTTTAACAAATAATTGAATATCATGAAGAATATTGGCTAAATTACTACTAAATAAACTTTGATCGATACTCTAACTATTTATCTATGAAGTCGAATCGAAATATTATCAAATCTACAGGTAACTATCTCACAATTATTTTTTTTCTAAAAAAAGAGAAGTGTTACAACTTACCCCGTGGTTGGGGCTAGTTGTAACAACAAAAATGACACCTTCAATCGTTTAATTTTTTCACATCTTGGATCATTTTATCTCTTAGTTCTACCTTACATCTTACCATCGCAGATTTGTTAACTTTTCCTTCCCCTTTCACTTTTCTTTATCATCTTCTTTTTGCATTTTCTTCATCTTTTCTTCATATTCTACTCTCAAAGCTTCATTTTCAGGCGTATCAGTCAGAACAGCAGACTTCCTTTTGCGTCTGCAATTTATATTTGTTTTTCGTGGTGGCGCCTTTGGTAATGGTCTAACTTTTGATGGGAAAAATTGATTTTGACCAGAGCAACTTGGAGTTAGTTTGTTCGCAGTTTCAATGTGGCGTATAATTTCTGTTGTGCTGATATCCACTTCAGGAGCAGAATCTAATAGTTCTGGATGTTTAAGACTCAACGATAAAGAAATTCTCACTTTCATTTAGAACATTTTCTGATTGTTATGTAGGCTCTGGATGATCAGTAACATAAGAGAGCGCAAAGTCACTATCTTGGAAAATATCAACATTCAAAGGCCAAATACCAGAAGCTTTAAGTCCACTGATAATGACTCCTTCACTACACTTGGGATGTCATAAATTGTCATCGTTTTTCCTGGATTATTATACATCCATGCAGTCTGTGCTCTGTTCACGTAGTTTTTAAAAGGCCCGTAGACTCCTACATACATAGGTTGAAAATTGTGGGAGCAATGGGAGGAAAACTATAACATGATAACATTGTTTTCTTTGGCTTTTTCGACAACTGAGCTGACACTACTCACAACTGAGAGACAACATTCACATGTGAGCCATGATTATCGAGCAGTAACAGAACTGGCTCTTTCTTGGTAGGTTTCGCGTGTTTGATAAAGTGATCTACAAAAATCAAAAATTCTTTATCAGTCATCCTCCACCCTGAAGAATTGCCAGCTCCAATGCAATCTTCAGGTCCACCGCGAATGAACATTTGTGAGTATTTAAGCCGGGGAAAACTGAACATCGGCCGTCAGTAACTTACAGCAATCTGGGGGCAAATTGTAACATGTTACAACAAACCCCGAGGTTTTGTTACAACTAGCCCCTTGATAGAGTTCTTAATATTTATCACGATAACTATTAAATTAACTTAGTAATCTTGAAAACTGTTATACAACATCATAAATAGTTATATTTTAGCATAAAATAAAATACATAAAACTTCAAAGTTACGAAAATAGTGAAACTAACCAAAAATTTACGTTAGTAAAATTATAGGTTTCCTGTCAACAATTAAGCGTTTGCACACACCCACTCACTGAGCCGCCTGGTAGGACCCTGGCTGTGGTAAAGTGGCGTGGCACGTTATAAGTTGAAGATTAGGTAAAAAAAACCGTGAATAAAATTCAAATTCCTATTGAAAAAGGTCTGTTACTATTTACCCCTGTAACAACAAGCCCCGCGCTCCCCTACACGCGACATAGTGTGACGCAGATAAATCAGAGTGGGAATTCTCACCGTCGCGTCGCTATTTATGCAAATATTTAAAATATGTAATAATAATGCCGATGTTATATAAAAACACACGTTCTTGTGAGTTTCATAAAGATTTTTCCTTGTTGTGTTGTAAGGAATACTATAAAAAACAGATTGAACTCATGTTATATAAAGTTGGTTTAAGAAATAGTGAGATTTAGTTAGGTATAGCATATTTCATTCATATTCTATTATGAATGAACCGTTTGTTGCTGCCGACAAAATTAAAAACTACGTTTTGTATTATACTTTTATTTCTCACTATAAAACTACTCGGTTGTCTAAAGCGTAACAAAAAAATAATTTTCTAGTCTTTATACTTAAACCAGTTTTAATATAAGGAAATATTCATAGCAATATTTATCTGCATGCAAAGCAAACATAGTATATAGGCGCCTAAGAAATAGTAATTGTTTGTTGAGATCTTCATATTAATTCGCTGAATCTAGTGTTACATACTCATTTTCTTATCGACGGGTGGGCAACTCAGACATGAATGACTTTAATAATTCTGAGAAACTAACGCCAATACCAAATTTAAAAAAAAGGTATACAACAGAAAGACTGCCTTTCGACCAATGTCACCTTAACTGCGAATTTTTGCTTTGGTCAGGTAAAAAACATTAACGAATGCGTTTCTTGCTTATCTACATATAGATTAAGTAACTAAATTTGTTAAAAAAACAAATTTGAGATACGCGTCTAGGTAATATTAATAATATTATGACTCATATTCTAACGCGGTCTTTACGCGACGGTATATTTGCGAGATTTGAATTTAAAATATTTATGGTATGCTTAAAAAGTTAACCATCGGATAAAAAGTAACAGATCGATCTCTATCCGCCAATTTCAACCACGTTATTTTAAAATAAAGTGCAGCACAATTGCAAATCCGGGGCGGCACAATAGTTTTAAATAAGTAAATAAAAAGTAGGTAAGTACTTAATACTCACAGTAGGTAATCTCGCGGCAATTGTCAAATTAACTTTTACCGTTACCGACGTCACTTGTCCAATAGAAGGCAAATTTATTTCACCATAAGGTCCCGAATTATCTGACTTATATTCAAAAATATTCGGACAAGGAGATTGAATGTACTGACCACACACACATAAGAACTCAAAAAATATCGCTAAAAACACAATATTCCTTTCTCGAGACATAATTATTAATATTAATAATAACGGTAATTTAAATAGGTATCGTCTTTATATAAATTTAAAAGCTTTAGTACGTCTTTTCAAGACCTTGGACCGACTTACACTGGACATAATGTTATTTCTTGTCTGAACAACAGTTTTTTTTATGACGCGGTAAACCAATCTAAAACCCGCTTTTTATTATTTATACATATTAGCGAGGGTATTTTTGGTGGTTATTTGACAGTCTTTGACTCATCAATGAAAAACTTAGTCTATAATAGTAACCACATTATTTTATTACTTAAAAAACGTGCATCAATAATTGCCTCAATACTCAAGTGATTATTCATATTATTTCTAATATGTGATAGTGAAAGCTATTTTGTATAAATAATTAGATATTTATTATTTGTAGGGGTTGGGTTCGATAACGATGCACCCGAATCTGATGATACTGATTATGCAGGAGTCTCGGGGGACCTTCATTGGAACACCTCCAAGTGATTTTAGCTGCCGGAAATGCGTCAAAGAATTTAAAAAATTTTTTTTAAAGTTTTGTGAAATGTATTAAAATTTGTAAACAATCCACCATTATTTACTTTTCTATTGGTTATAAGAGATGTGAAATTCACGTTTTCTATTGGTTATAAGTGATGTGACATTTTCGGTAAATTAATCGGATCGATTATTTTCTTATTTGTTACTTTTAAAGTTGAACCTAATCGAATCGATTATTTCCTCATTTGTTAATTTTAAAGTTGAACCTAATTTAAACATTACTTGTCAAATGTACATACATTACATTAACTTTATGTTTCAATTAGTGTATGGTTCCGAAAAATTTTAAATTATTCAAAAAGTACCCAAAACCGAATCAGAGCACCCCACTATCCACGTGGTCTTGTCTGCCTTACCCCTAGAGTGTATATAAATAATCGGAGGCGCGGAGGAAGAGCAGCCCCCACCCGCTGTAACAAAGCACAGGCATTATGCAAGCCGTAGCGGCTAAGGCTGGTCGCCGAAGGCGACCAAAAAGCCGAGGTTGCGGAGGCTTTAATAAAATGCCTGTGCTTTGGTACGCAAGGGTGGAGGGGCTGCATTTCCCGTAGCGCCGGAGCTGTCCAAAAAAGCAATAATTATTTAGATCGGTTAGGTTAGGTTAGTATATTCGATTAGGTTCAACTTTAAAAATAACAAATGAGAAAATAATCGATCCGATTAATTTACCGAAAATGTCACATCACTTATAACCAATAAAAAAAAATGGTGTATTGTTTACAAATTTCACAAAACTTTAAATTTTTTTTTAAATACTTTGACGAAATCCCGGCAGCTAAAATCACTCGGAGGTGTTCCAATGAAGGTCCCCCAAGACTCCTGCATAATCAGTATCATCAGATTCGGGTGCATCGTTATCGCACCGTTACCCATGATTTTAATCTCGAGTAAATCCATAGACGTTTGTCCACGTAATTGATAGTATAATTGCGCTAGGAATAACAATACGCGAATAGCAAGAGAATGGTGAACGAAAATAAAACTCGGCAAATAAATGTTGTTCTACAACGGGACAGTGTAAGAGCAAACATCATGTCAACTCGATTTTGCCGTATTATAGTGTGAAAAAGTAGCTTTTAACAGGTGTCAAACGACAACAAAAAGTTTTTATTTGTTGTTTGTTTGAGGCTTTCGTCTAAAAAGGAACTTCTGTTGAGCCTAGTTGAATTTCATTCTAATATTATAGAAAATAAAAATCTAAAAATAAATAAATTGCTTAAACGTTTCATTATACAATGCCAGACTATTAATTAAGTGCGTTGCGTTGACTTGAAATTAAAACACAGAATACATATTTGTGAAATGACAGAAATCAGATGATTGGACTGACTGACGCCATTAAATTATTCTAGGAATAGCTGTTATACCGTGCGAAACGGCGGTATAGTAGCAATTCCCGAATAAGCCCACTATTCTTAGAATTTGTAGTTGGTAAAACGTAAAATTGATTTACTCTCGATTAACTGACGATTTATTCTAAGATTAAGACTTACTCTTGTTTGGTCGAATCGACCCTAAGACTTACTTGATTTCATTCGATGCTACTTTTAAGCCTAGCAGTATCATATTTACAAGCATGGCCATAGAATAAGTACCACAGGCACCACAATAATAGTAAATTTTCATCCGGACAAAATGCTTATAACGAAATGTTTATTGAAACAACAAATTCTCTGTCATCAAACATTGTGAAGGCAAACAACTAAATATAAAAATTATACAGTTAACATGCTAGTTACTAACAACATGCTGCTTGGAAAGAAACGTATACTTCGTAGGAACTCTACTTGTTCCATACTCCAGTGCATTTTTAGACTTATTATTCTTTTTACTTTAGTTTATGCACAGTACAGCTATCACAGTATTCCTTAAAAGTTTGCCGATTTTTCTTAATTGGAAAAGAAGAAGAAACCCATAATTTCTTGAGAGAATCGACGGTTTTTTTTGTTATCAGCCTAAATAATCGGTAACTAGGAAACAATTCCTAACTTCGAAACTTACTTAGAATATGTTACGTCACGAGGTGAACTATTTTTTAATGTAAAAATTCCGCAAACTCGCATTTCGAAGGAACGCCATTAAGAAAACGGTAACTAAATAAAAAAGAAATGTAGGTTTTTGTAAATGCTGAAACTTATATAATTTTAATAATATAAAAGTTTTGGTGTGACTCACTGTAATTGGATTTGCTGTATTTGACTACGATTGCATACAAACATTCTAGTCACCGATAGTTAAAATTTTGTGTTCTTTTATTACGATAATGAGTTGGTTTTTTTTCATAATTCTGTGATGCACTTGTGCTGCCGAGGTATAAAGTGCCCACATAAGGACTTAAGCAGGTTTATAAAGTACTAGAGTCTGTCTAATTAAAGAAGATAATTGAATTATTTGAAAACTTTCGGATGGCAACACAGAATGTCATTGAATTTCTTAGTGCCAATGGACTTTGTATCCGGCTAATAAATAAATTAAAAAAAAATTGAATTTCTTTGGTTAGTATGATTTAATTTCTTGATACTTCATGAAATTACTCATTTTTATTTCTAATATATATTTTTTCCGAATAGTTAACAAGCATGCTAGCCTAAACTTTGTTTTATTTTATAGAATATTTCGTTTCTTTCGCAGGATTTGATTATTCCGAATAAAGTTGTGTTTTATAATAAATATAGTTTTAGTTTTTCAAGCAATGCTCATTTTAAGTATCAATAGTAAAAGATTAAGTACGTATAGTATTTAATTTCTTAGAATTACAGTTACTATTAATGTAAAAAATAATAAAATAAAATCAAGTATCAAGTAAGTTTAATCCACAAAACATATCAAACTTTTAGGGATACCATACTATTTTTTTTTAATTTGCCGCGCTTTTTCGTTATCTTCTTGCATTAGCCAGACACTATAAGGCTGGGGGGTAAATATTTTTTTAGCGTTGGTAACACTGAAATCTGAATTTCCATGATGGACGTTTTAGCGTAGGGTTTTTATTTTCGGCGCAAGATGAAATAAAAATGTTTATTTGAATGAAGTTTTTATTAGTTTAGTAAAACAGAAAATGGTAACGATTGTTGATGATTTAGATTTTTTAACGGTTCAAGAGGCGATTTTTAAAGATGTCAAATATTACCTCTCTGGCGATGTTTCGGAAAGGGTTTGTTTTTGTATTTTTCTTGTTTTTATTTTTATTGAAACCTTGAATATGTGGTATAACTGGTCTTGTGAATTGTTATTACAGACTATGCAGTTACTTCAGTCCGGTGGAGGTGAAAGCACGAAATATTTTTCTGACTACGTTACTCATCTAATTTGTGGTCAAAATGCTGCTGATACAGACATCGATGAAGCTGGTGACATCTACCAGATTCCTGCTGTGACTGAATATTGGGTCTGGGCTTCTGCCAGATTGAAGAAGTTGGCAAATCCAAATCCTTACTGCCCTAGCAAGAACAAAATATTTACAAATGTTGTTGCTTGTGTATCCAAAGTGAGTCCTTCCGACGCGAAGGCTTTATTTGCAGTGATAACTTACCATGGTGGCAAAATTAAGTTAAATTTGGATAGTAAGTGTACTCATTTAATTTGTGGTTCAACAAGTGGTAAAAAATACATTGGTGCAATATCTTTTAGTAACAAAGTGAAAATTGTTACTCCAGATTGGGTTTTAGAGAGTCTACAAGCAAGACAACTTATAGAGAGTGACAATTTTCACCCTAAGTTATTGGTTGTGCCAAAACCTCTTAAACCCATGGATCGCATTAGTGCAATCACAGGTTTTGATTTTGAGGAAGGTATTGCTAAGAACGAAGTTCCCACACAAAACATGTCGGAAAATAAAAATGATGACACTAAAGCACTACTAGATAAATTGAAACAAAGAATGCCTTGGAACCACAACCCTTCCACAGCAAACTCTTCAACTGTATGTTCAAGTAATGTTAGTTCTATGGGATACACTAATGCTGTGAATACAAGTAGCATTGTAACTAAGTCCTTGCCACAAGGAATTGTATCACAAAATGTACAAATACAAGGTGGACAGGCTAATAATTCACAGTTATTGCAAAAATTTGGCCAAAACTCTAATATGCCCCAAGCAAATATTGTTCAAAATCAACAAATTAATATTCAGCAAGGTTACTCTCAGGTTCAACAAACCCAACAACCACATGGATTATCGGCTATTCAAATACAACAACAGAAATTACTGCAACAACATCAACTTAGGATGCAAATGTTGCAACAAGGATTTACACAACCAAATGTATCACAAATTAATCAAAATATATCTAAGCAAATACAACAGCACTTACAACCAAACCAACACCATGTCCAACAATCTCAAACTGTACAGCAACAACAACAACAAAATACAACAATGACATCGGCCCAACAACAAATTGAGAATATTAGTCAAATGTTAAGTCAAAGTGCAAATAACATGCAACAGGCCCAACTCAATCAGCAAAATATGGCTATGAAACAGAGTTTAACATTGAGTCAACAAAGTGCAGTCCAAAATATTGCACAAGAATTAGCTCAATCTACTCAAAATTTACAACAGAGCCTCCAAAATGCTAAACTAAATCAAAACCTTGGCCAAGGTCAAGTAATAAATCAACAGCAGTTGATGAATTCTGGACAGCAACATGCATCACAAAACCAAGGAATGATGCAACAGCAAACTGTTCAATCTCTTACAAATCAACAACAAAACTTGAACATGGGTGTTCAGCAAGGTCTTGTTACATCTCAAGCTCAACCACAAGGGCAGTTAAATCAACTCGTCAGTAACACATCCCAGCAGTCAGTTATTGGTCAGCAAATTCAACAATCAATTCAAGGACAACAGAGTGCAAATATGTCCGTTCAGGGATCATGGAGACAACAGAATATTCAAATGGTTCAAAATGTCCAAGGCCAGCATCAAATTATTAGAAGTCCCTTAGTGCAATCTAGAAATTCGCAAAACCAAGTTATATTGCAGCAGCAGATAATGCAAACTCAGCAACAATCTCTACTAAACAACCAACAATCTCAATTGAGTCCACAACATGGTGTTCAACAATCACAACAGATTTTGCAACATTCTATTGGCTCTCAAGGGCAATCAATAAATCAAACACATCACCAAATATTAGTTCAAAAACAGCAGTTACTAAATAGTGGAGGGCAACAGCAGCTTGTTCAAGCTCCTCAGCAAGTGTTAATTAATCAACACACGGGGCATCAGCAAATATTAGTTCATGGGAACCAGCAAGTAACATTGCAAGGAGGGCAGCAAATAGTTTCTCAAAGCCAAATTGTTCACCAAGGCGGGCAACTGGTAAACCAAGGAGGGCAAATTCTAAGCCAAGGTACACAGCAAGTTCTAGCTCAAGGCGGCCAGCATGTAATCTCGCAGCAGGGGCAGCAGCATCAGGTAGTGATAGCTCAGTCATCTCAGCAAATTGTGTCACAGCAACCTGGGCAGCAAATTATTGGACAAAATGTTGGACAAGGCCAGCAAGTTTTATCTCAAGTGCCCCAATCACCTCAGCCTAGCCAGATAGGAAGTGGGGGTATCCAGCAAATAATAACCCATGGTGGCGGTCAACAGATAGTTTCACCAGGAGGACAACAAATTGTCCCAGGTGGACAGAATGTTTCCTGGCAACAGCAGCAGTACATACAACAAAGGCAAACTATTGGACAACCCGCTGGAGTGGGACAAAGGGTAATTTTAGGATTTTGTTGTGATATTCTTATAGCAAAAAAGAATTAAAGTAAAATCCAGCTATGCTTGGTATAGGATTGTCTCCTTCTAAATTTGTTAAAGAAAGTCCAATGAGTACTTTCACTGTACTGATTGCTATTATACTAACATTTTGCAGTTTTACATAAAAATATATCAAAGAGTTGCATTACAATAATCCCGGTCAACAGATTTTGTTCTTATAATTCCTTCTCATGTTGTCAAAATTGTTTTTTCAGCCTCTTCAAGTCTCTTGGACAGCGGGGGGCGGTGGTCGTCAGCTCATACATTTGGATGCGCAGACGCACGCGCAGTTGCAGCAAATGGACCCCCAACAACGCGCCATGTTTGTTTCGCAATTGCAGAAACGACGCCAACTTCATATACAGAGGGCTTTAGCTCAACAACAGGTTATTTATTTATTAAAAATTAATAATGAATTCATTGAAATAATTTATTTATGATATTTAGATAAATCAAATGCCAAATAGATTATATCTATTTATTATCGATTTTAATACATAATTAAAATGTATGAATTATTACCAAGTTGAATAGTGCTGTAATTCATTGCATAATTTTAGATGTAAATGGATAAAAACAAGTTTCAATCTCAAATCTGTGAGCAGCTAATATGGCTATACTTAGTATATGTCTATTACATCTAATGATAGATTATTTAATTTCAATTATACATATAGTAGTTTATATATGGTGCCACTTGACTATAAAATACCCGACTACTTTATCCAATGGAGACTATTTTTCCGTAACTATTCATTCTTCTACATAGCTTTTTATTATAGCTATATTTTATGCTTAAGCTATAAAAATATTTTTTAAAAGAATTTACGTACTTTTAGTAAATATTTTGGTCGCATGTTGTATCAATAAAATAAATTTACAGCAACCAGTAGTTTCGGGTGCGCCTGCGACTCAGAACGTGACATTCATACGAAGCCCATTACCGCCTGGACTTAATCAGCAACAACAACAGGTATTTTTTAATAAATATTTAGTTTAGTTTTGAACTCGCACATTTTGTATCTATGTCACCGTAAAATTATTTCTACTTAGCAAATCGCAATAATGTTATATTTTACATAATCATGAGAATAATATAATATAGACATAATTGTAGGCAAAGCAATTTGCTACAAAATATGTCTTCACAACTTTTTTTTTTTAATGGCTCTGGCACGGTTTGTGCATTAGCCAGCGTCAAGAATAAGAATTTTATAATTCTTGTTTTTTGTGTTAGAAATTCGACCATGTCCTCCATGTACGGTTTTAGGCACTCGCCCGGTACCGCACAACCCTCCCAAAGGCCGAGAACAAATTTAAATTAAATTAAAACTTGCCCTCGAACCGGGAATCGAACCCGGTACCCCTCACCTAGCTGCCACTTAATAAGACCGCTAGGCTATGAGGCCCCTACTGTCTCACAACTTTTTGTACGATGAATAGTTTAGGAGATATAGCCAAAAACGTGTTTTCACTCCTTTTTCCAAGATGGCGGCCGCGGGACAGGGGCGCCAACCACACACTTGGGTTAAAGCTTGTATTGCCCCCCTACATGTTCCATAAAAAAAATTGCGTCCTGTAATAAATGTTCAGCAAATGTAACATTTCAATGGACTATATTATGTAATATGTATGTAATGATTTGTAACCAGAATTAGGAATATTTTTGTCCCTCACTGCTGTCATGGACAAATGGTTGTATTGACACATGTCAGGGTCTAAGAGATGTCAGTTTCTTTCAAAACAAAAGTCGTCATACATAATATACCAATTCTCAGATACAATGGCAAGTTCAACAACCAGGGATTCGAACGGCCACTTTACCTGCCGCTACGCCTACACAGACACCACAATCACCAGGTAATATTGGCTACACTATAGATACAGCGTTAACTAGCATTACTTCTAGGTTATAGTTTTTTAGCATTAAAATGATTGGCAAAACAACGTGGAAATAAATATATGAATTTGCAGTAATGCTTTATTACAATATCGGCATTTCAAATCAACTTCACTTAGTAAACACTAATAGAAAATAATGCGATTAGATTTTCTTTATTACAATCAAGAGGTTGATATATTAATTATTATTTTAATTGTATTTAAATATACAGAAATTTATGTGATGGTGGAACACAAGTTCGTCAGAATTTCTCCGTCCACCGAAGCCGCTATTAAAATACTTAAAACAAAATTATCTACTATTTTTTTAAATTATATAAAAAAAAAATTCAAACAAGACTCGTGTATTGTTATATAATAGTATCATAATTTTCACAAAATTAATACTAATACTGAATCAAGTTTAGTACCTATTCACAGTGATAAAAAAAAGTTTTGTCAGATATGATCCAATTCAAAACGAAACAATCCTACGGATTCTTAAGTCAGTTAGAAAAGTGTCATAAAACACAATAGATTAATGAATTTTTAAATTATCCAAGTCAATAAGGACAATGTTGAAAATTGATTTTCATTAAAATAACAAACCTTAAAATTAAAGCAAATAAACGAGAAAAGCATAGCGTTTTTAAATTATTCAAATATCACTTTTCAAATTTTGTTATTCAAATGCTCAACGTCAACGAAACCACATTATAATTTCAATTCACCTCATATTCTAAGAATTCTCGAGAATTTGAATCGAGTTACCATTTCACGTTGACAACTCTGACTTAAAAGGACTTATTAAAGTTCCCATTCAAGTATATGAAGTGCAGTTTAAATAGAACCATGGATTTAGATGATATTGACTGTAAGTTTTAACTTAAGCATTTTGGTTTTTGATAAAAATCTTGCTCAACTCGTATATTTTAAGACCTGTTTGAATAAGGTTTGTAAATTTTTGCTATTGAAGAATTGTGACATATTTATGTGTATTCATTAAATAACAACATTCGTTTTGTATGAAAAGATATGAGTAAATATAACGAATGAAGGTATTCTTACAGAATTATTATTTAGTCAACATTATGACGTGGAAAGTAATACAGCTTTTGACAGCTTCGATCTTATACGACTTAATCCAAAATCGCATTCGTTAATTCAATTTATATTCCGTACAACGCGTTTAATATTAATCGTTGGACTTTCCTTCAGTTGGTGCGGTGGGCGGAACTGTAGGAGCGGTAGGTGGGGCTGCAAATGTAGGTGTGGTCGAGACGCAAATTCAGCAGTTGCAACGTCAGCAACAATACAGGTTGCAGCAGTTACAGGCGCAGAGGGAACACGCCCATCATCAGGCAGCCAAGCAGGTTAGCTGAAACAATTTTATGAAAAGTTCACCAAAGGGGAAATCCGATGCGTCTTGAGGGCGCTCACCAAAAGCGCTGGTTATCACTTGACTCTAGAAAAACCCGCCTGTTCCTTTGCCCCTGTTCCATATAAATACAACTTTTGGAATTACGGACTTAATTATGAATATTACAGGTGGTGCCAGTTTCTCAGCATGTCGTAACGCCTCTTCAGGAACAACAAGTTGATGCCATCCTCACGCCCACCACTCCTGATCAGCAAGGTATAATTTGAACAGGTTTTTCCTATTTAAACGCGTGTTACTAATTATTTACAGTTTATTTCTATAATTTCAAAGTGTAACTCGAGATAGAAAATGCATTTTTCAATTAGCGCATATAACAGCCACACGTTGTAATAGAGAAATAAGAAAACATGAAAGTCCGCACATCAAACTAAAATAATGTATCGCAAGTTCAAAGGTGCAAGCGCCGAATATGTCCTCCAAATGGTTCTGCCAATTGACTTGACGATTTAAATCATTATTTAATAAATGTAAATATTGCATATTAATGCATTGGCGGTAGCTAACAGATCCTTATTACTTAACATTGTGTTATAGGATTTAATGATACACAATAAAACGCGCCATTATTTTGTTTGATGATTTAATACTGTCTCATTTTAAATTCTCGCCCCAGACCCGATATTTACAATTCATTTTTGTAGGCGCAGGAGCACTGTTAGTAAATCCGAAGACCAAAACGGCTCTGGCCAACATGCTGTCTATCCGTCTACAGGGTACAGCACCTCCCAACGAGCATGAACCATCTGCCGCTGGGACGCTTAGGTAAGCTTCTATTTGGTACAGGATAAATACATACTATGTACCACAGCTTTTCATTTCAAAGGTTGAAGGATTTTAAACTTTATATGACTATGTAAATATACTCTACATACTTTTAACTTCTTGTAATTAACGTGACAGTGATTCTAACTACGCAATAGTTAAATAAATAAAATAAAAATACCTTTATTTTACTACAAAGATAAAAAATAATGATTTAACTATAATTATTTATAAAGAAAAAAAAAATAATACAAATATTAGCAGGAACCCCTTTCACAGATTTAGGCCTCCTCAAAAGCCTAAAATTTTTGAAATCAAACTTCTAAAACTGATAACAAAAATGGACGGATATAAATGCGAATGTAAAATTTTAAATTTGCACATAAAGTTGAAAAGCTTACTTTGAGTTGCCATATTTACACAATCTATTGCGAACTTGGTATTTGCCAAATTTGGTGAATTATTCATAAAATTTACTTATTGTTTTATATATAGGTATATATTTTTAGTCCGTTAGTCAGTCCGTTTAGTTGTTTTCGATATAAAACGCATCTGAATGCTCCGATGAGTTTTTTTTAACAATAGATGTCGTAAATATAGCAACGTAACTAAATCACTAATATCAAATCATATCTTATTGTGGTAGTCTGTCACTAACCTCCTGGTGTAACTCACTTGAAACGTCATCTTTGGAAATATTAAAATGAATTTCCTTTTCTATTTATTCGTTTTTTATGAATCAAACTCTATGTTGGGACACATGTTAACATTGATTAAAATACAATTGAATTACTTTTCATAATTTTTCTATAGATTTGAATTATTCACTATTTAACTTACATGTGAATGTTATACAGGTTAATGACTGCTGCGCACGCGGCGGGCGGGGCAGTGAGAGCGCCTGCGCGGCTTCTCTTGGGTGCAACGCATCATCCGCACACAGTGCCCACCCCTGTGAGTTAAAACCCTTACGCATAAGCCCCCTTAACGAGTGCAAACAATGTTTAATTACTAATAATTAAACATTGTTTCATGGAACGTTTAATTTTTTTCACTTATAAACCGAATTTAGTGATGATAGGGTTTTATTATTGTAATTGACCACGCACGCTGTAAAGCACGCGAAACGTCGGTTAAATTTAAAATTATGAAAAATAATTGTAAATACATAACTTCAATCCGGTAAAAAATTGTTTTATTATCAAAACTTTTCCTGCCAAAACACGAATTAATTATATTATTCAACGTATGTGCTTTTAATTCGATTCGATAAATAATTCGCGTTAAATAGAACAAATTGCAAGGGGGGCAAACGGGCAAGAAGCTTACCTGATTTTAAGTGGTACCTCCATGGGTACTTCGACTGCCAGAAGTCTCGGAAGTGTGTTGTCGTCATTTAAATTTACGCTCTAATGTAAAGAGTACCTTATTCCAGGTGGGTACTGCAGTTCAAGTAGGCAACAAAGTGTACGGCAGTGTGGGTGTCGGGGGGGTGAGGGCGGCGCCCCCTAGGGCCCAGTTTTATGGCCACAATCCTAACCTCAAACTTCCGCCCGATCTGTTCCTATTGGGATGCGTCTTTCATGTGGTGAGTTTGTTCATTAGTTACAAATTATAATATGCATGTTTATTAACAAATTCAGCTAAAAACTTACGTATATATATACTGCCCATTCAACTAATGATAATGTCATCCCTGTTATAATAGCTATAAATATGTTTTCGATAACCGAAGTACAGCAAAATCCACTAAACAGTGCCAATGTGTACTCCTGCCAGCTAAGATCTATACAAATAAAAATGACTTGATAGACAAGTAATAAACAAAGCGTTTAATACTTGTCAAAGGATAAGAATTCAAATCATGCTTATAGAAAGACATCAAATAACGAATTATTTAACAACCAATTTTATTACCGGTTATAGTGAATACGTAGTTAAGATACGTAGATATGCTCTCATAATGTTTTTTTAATTTTAAAAGGAACTTAGTCTCAGTATTTGTGTAACTTTAACGCACGCAGTGGAAGCTCTAAAAACTATTTATTTAATGCGGACTTGACAAGTAGCTTATGACAGCATTAAACCAAATACTCAAGCACTTTATAGTGTAGATGTAATGAATGTATTATTTATTCAAGGTCGAATACCAGCAGTCGGTGGGTAGCGAGCGAGTGTCGCGTTGGACAGAGGCCATCCAACGACGGGGAGGCGAAGTGGAAGCTGGCTACTGCGCAAGAGTCACTCACGTGCTCTGCGAGACGCAGCGACATGGAGTTGTTATGCAGGTTAATCTTATTATATTATTATTATTAAATTATTTAACACACAGAATCACGGAGAGTTATTATTTCAGAAAATAGAACATTTACCCAAAAAACAGAAAATATATATAAACTCGTGAGACTGTAAATTGAATAATAAATAACTCAGTGGCGCTACAACCTTTTTAGGTCTGGGCCTCAGATTTCTGTTTTATCTTTTGTCAATCTTGCCTATTAAGTAGGTGACAAGCCTCCTGTGCCTAACACACGACGTCGACTTTTTGGTTAGACCCAAACAGTCAAGGTAGGTTACCTCACGATGTTTTCCTTCACCGTTCGAGCGAATGTTAAAATGCGCACATAGAAAGAAAGCCCATTGGTGCACAGCCGGGGATCGAACCTACGAACCTCAGGGATAAGAGTTCCACGCTGAAGCCACTAAGTTAACAATACTTTCAGACTAGCATATTAAGTGGATAAATATTTGATATTATGGTTAGACTAATGACCACATTAACGCTATCTAGCGAAGTCCCAATCTAACCTAAATTAGCTTTTTTATTTACTAGCTATTTCCGTACGTTGGCTTAAGGCCGGTGCACATCATAAATGTGCGCGTGGAGATAATTCAATTACGTTATACAAGGTTTTTGCATAACTTTAACCATTTGCGCAGCGAACGCAACATAAGCTTTCAATATGATATGTTTTTTCCGGTTTTGCAAATAATTATTGTTGATGCTTCGGTACTATTTGTTGTTGCGTGATGTTATGTAGCATAGTCTTTCTCGATAAATGGAATACCAAAAACCGGTTTTTGATGTGAAACATCTATAGCCGCACGTAAAACCGTAATTACTGGTGTGGCGACGCGTTACGCGACACGCCACGCTATATGATGGTATATATGTCAACGTAAAATTGTAAAAACCGTTAAATTGTAATCTATCTCGCGAGATTGTAAACTGTCGAAAAATTGTGAACTCAACGTACTGCTTACAATTTAACGTATTATTATTCGGTAGATTGTAATCTATCGAAGTGAAACCGTCAAATTGTGAAACGGTACGCACCTCGCGCGCTGATTGGTTGAACGGATTATGCCACGCGCTGATTGGTGGAACGGAGTATGCCATGGTGGCGACCATATTTGTTTGTTAATTCGTTTGTTGTCGAATGTAAACAAACGGTGTTTTGGTAAATGTAAATTGATGTCGTCTTGAAAGTAACTCACAGCTTTAGGATGTTGAAAGTGAACGTGAAAAGTTATATGAAATTGTTGTGGAAGTAAAATTAATCTGTGATTGACCAAAGAAGTGCAGTTTGAATGATAATTAAGTTAGTGTTGGTCTCCAAACATAGTCTAAATTACATACATTTTCCGTGTTTTAATATTTTTTATTCGCGTGAACCTTTGTGATCTCGTATTTACAATATCGGATATTGAGCCTGTCGATCAACAAAACTCAGAAATATTAGGTATTGTTAATAAGGAAGAATTTACCATAGAGTTACAAAACTATTACAGCGGGCATAATGAAAATAGTAAAAAATGTAATTGCAAAAAAATAAAAAGAAAGCTGAAATGTTCTTTGTAACTCCAGGTGCCACAACTCGTTGACGTGCAACAATAATTGAACATTTTTATTGGTGCAATTTACTTTCTTATTTTTTATATAATAGACAATTCTGTTATGTTTTCAAAAACGTTCATATGTTTTCGATTTGTTTTTTTTTTAATTTTGATTTTATTTTGTGATCGTTTTTTTTCTAAAAGAAAATTTTAATTTGTGTTTGAAGAGAAAATATTGTTAAGTTTCTGAATTTTTTATTTTGATATATTTTTTTTTCATCATGTGATGTCAGAATTATTGATTACCTATTAAGTAATAAATACTAATTTTTGAAAAGCATTCATTTTATTTGACCGATACTCATGTTTCATTCCTAACTCTATGGACATATAACGGTCTACTATAAAGCCGACCAATCAGCGCGCGAGGTGCGTACCGTTTCACAATTTGACGATTTCACTTCGATAGATTATAATCTACCGAATAATAATACGTTAAATTGTATGCAGTACGTTGAGTTCACAATCTTTCGACAGTTTTTAATCTCGCGAGATATATTACAATCTAACGGTATTTACAATTTTACGTTAACATATATATACAGTCTTTATGCAGTAGTGTGTACGGTGTGTGTATTTCGAAGTCACTGATTAAGTTTTTATTAATTAATTAAGTAGTCACGATTTGAAATAAATTCGTAAATTTTTGTATTTAATGAAAATAAATGTTTATTCAATAAATAAGTCATTGTTATCTGGAAAAAAAATCGTTATATTTTATTTTATCATTATGACATATTTAGTTCCTATCACAATCTGTTCTTTTCTGCATATTACTTTTCAAAATAATGTCGATGTTTCACATCTGCCAGGCGTCCCGTGACAGCTCACATTTTTTTTATTCGTACCTACATTTCCTGAGATTAGGGAGTTACAAACAAACTAAAAACATATTGTATTAGTCTAGATTTAAGCGTCTTAACCCAACTTATATATAATTTACCACTCACCAATTCTATATATAGCCAATCTTATTTTAAGGTGTTTTTTTGTACTTGCAAACTAGCTTACAGAAGTAAGCGACAGGTTAGGTAGGTATTTGGCTTAAATTTGGCCGCTGACCTAATAATATATAAGACTACTATGTGAAAGCTGTCTTAATTAGTCATCACATATTCAGGCACTCCGTGACGCCAAGCGTTGTGTGACAGCATATTGGGTATCAGACACAATGGAGCGTAGGGCAGTGGCGCCACCTTGGCAAGCAATACATTTGCCCACTATGTACTCCGCGAGGGAGAGACCGGCCAGACATCATCGAGCTGTGCTTTCTGGATGGAGGAGAGATGAAAGACGCCGGTTGGCTTGTTGCTTGAGACAAGTTGGTGCTAAGGTAAGAAACATTTATATAAACTTTTTGAAGTTATACTTCTTTAGGCGCGTTATGAAAAATTGCGAGCGTGAAATTTTACGATGCGCGCGCACCGTGACACAAAATTAACAGAATGAAGTTGCCCACGGAAGATGCTACGGCATTGGACATAATTTAAAAACAACATTCGAATAATAATAGAATTTATGTTACACTTAATGTAAGAGAATAATAAGAAATATTTATTTATTAAATTTTTTACATGTAAACTGAACTTTATTGACTATAATGACTCTTTTTCCAGTCTTTGATTATTTAACTGTAATTAATTATTTGCATGCAATCAAAAACTATTTTTAATAATGCCAAAGAAGTATAACTTCTTACGCGCGTACATAAGTACACGCACCCTTTTTTTACATGCATTTTTTCATACTATAATATTTGCCCATTCAACAATATAACTAGCGCTTTTAAATTGATTTGCGGTATATGTTTTGAATTCAGCTCACACCATACATGACGAGAGATAACACGGTGTTAATATGCAAACGCGCGGAAGGAAACAAGTACAGACGTGCGCGCGAGTGGGCCATACCAGTGGTCAGCGCAGCCTGGATCACTGATCTCTTGCTTGGCAATATGACTGCGCTTTCGCAGGTAATTTAGGAATTTTATGATGTCCAGAATAAGTATTATATATGTATTGTTTAAAATCCGGTGTTCTATTTAAAAAAAAAAAAATTTGGCAATATTCATTCAAGGTGATTGTCGCCTGTGTTTTATATAGCTGTACGTCTAGAGTTAGGTTATGAAATATTTCCCATTCCTATAAAGTTAATGCTAATTCATGAAATAGCTGCACCGTAATAATATGCAGTCTGTTAGTAACAACAACTTAAATTTATAGTAAGAATATGTAAATATTAAAGAAACTTAATGTCTCAAAAGATTGTTATTGTATATGTATTAATTGCGTAAATATGCGCTATTTCAGATTGAGAATGCAAAATATCAACAGTTTAATTTAGCGAGCCCCTTCCGAATGGACCACGGCTTGGTTTCACATCTTATGAGTAAGTATAAATTGTAAACTTCTGTGTCATGGGTTATTGAAGTCTATATATAGTCTATGCCGATTTTCTGAAAATATTTTATATCAGAAAAATTAAATGTGTTAATATTTTTTTAATGTGTTATTATTTATAAATGGTTATAGAAATTTTTGTGTTAATGGTTATTCTATTTTCTTGCAAAACTTCAATATGGAAATATCTGGCTCGAAGGACCACAACGAATGTTAATATTCAGGGGGTGGGTGGGTGTTTTTAGGGCGTATTAATAATTATAGAATGTAGGACATATTATGTTCCACATGCGTACAAATATATTATTATATATTTTCTATTTAATTATATTCCTGACTTGATTGTCCACAATCTTGACTAATAAACAGAAAGTACACTATTCGTACATTTATTCATTCATTTAATTACAGACGCGTGGAAAATGCCAATAAACATAACGCAAGAATCTCACGAGCGCGCGAAGCGGTCGGCGGCGGCGGTGGGCGAACGCAGGGCCAAAAGGCCTCGCCTCGACGCGCCACCGCCCCTGCCCTCTCACACCGCACCGCCTGCCCCACCTCCTCTGCACCTCGCCCCGAGGGTGCTTTTTTCCAACGTCACGCCCGTGCAACAGGCTAGGCTTGCAGCCAGCGTCAGGTACGTACTCTTTTGTGTGTGGATAAAGTATGCGAATTTTCATTACAATGGTATGGACAAAGATGTATCGCTTATCCCTGATTCGACCTGCTTTTATTGTATGTCTGTTGTAACAACCAAATTTAATAACTGTACTCAGCGACATATTGACAATTCAATTTATTTTTGCTATTTAAGTAACTCAAATCTTTCAATAAGGCAGTGATCATTCTTAAAACAATAAATGTGACTAGCGGTCAAGCAATGGCTTTATTTATATCGTATACTCTTTTTAAACTAAATATACTATCGATTACGTAGTATTCTTTTTACTTGCCCCCATATTTTTATAAATAAGAATATTGCACTTTCAGTGTTTCCACATTGCATATCGACGAGAATTCGAACAACGTTGACGAAAAATATTCTGTAGAATATAACAAAAAAGAAACAGGTTTTTTTAAGATTTCTATTTTACAGTAGTGGTGTGGGGTAAATAGAAATGTGTTGTTTTTTCTTAAATGTCCTTAGAAATTGTCCATTAGAGGTAGGAACTATTTTGTATGTAAAATTCTGAGTTGAATATTTGTATCGCAAATACTGACTGCTAGAAATCATAAAATTCTAACTTACCGTTTACCGTTTTAAGGTCCATTTATATTTATTTATATGTTAAAGCGGCAAAAATAAATAATTTCTATAGGCTTTTTTAAGAAACCCGAAGGAGGAGGTTTTCATATCGAACGAATTCCTTTTCCTTATCTATCGACAAAAATAAACTAAATGCAATTGCGATGTTTTCTTCATTAGCAGATGACAAACACCTCGTGTCTGTCTTCTGTATTCCATTTCGTAACTCAAGTTTCTTGTCCTGAGCATTATCAAATATGTCATAGTGACAATACTAGATTTAAGTTTGACGTTCTAGATTAATGGCCTGAGATGTAAATGGACCATTATGGACAGAATTTCGTTACAATTTTATCTACATGTATGTGCAGATAGGCAATTTAACCCAAATGTGACTCGTTTAAACTATTTTATGCAATTGGAATGTAGATAATATTTCGTAGTTTAATAAGGTTTTAACAATTAATTATGTATGAAGTATCAAATAAACTTTAGCTTGCGACTTCACTCACATGATGACGCTGAGATTCAACCTCGCCTTCTCCTCTATAAACATTTGACATAAATCTTCAGTATTTCTGATTTAGACAATTCTAAATGATGCTTCTTGAACATTTTTTTAAGTTGACTTTAATTTTAACACGTTATAAAACGTGCGTGAATTCGCATGCATATTTCAACGTACAATGTTTAGTTTATGCCTTACCTCTTTATTTTTCTTCAGACAACTCGGAGGATTAGTGGTCACATCGGCATCGGAGGCAACTCATCTCGTGATGGAGAAGCTGGTCCGCACTTGCAAATTGGTCAGTTGTCTCATCACTGTCAAGCACCTACTTACCACCGAATGGGTGACAGAGAGTCAGAGGCTCAACAAATTCGCTGATGAGGCGAAATATGCTCTTCGCGACGAGGACTTTAATAAAGCTTTCAAGTGCGATGTTGACGAGGTCCTCCTCAGCGGAGAGCAAAGGAAGAAGATCTTCGAAGGCATCACGTTCTTCTTAACGCCATGTGTGAAACCGGCGAAAGCCAGTCTCACGGAAATGATAGAGCTATGTGGTGGAAGAGTAGAGAAGAACCGTAGATCATATATTTCCATACAAGAGATTCACAACCAGAGGCCGTACAGCTATCTCGTTCTAACGGTTCCAAATGACCTGCATTTGGTGTATTATTTGCTGCAGACGGAGAAAACATTGAATGTCGTTTGCAGTACTGAAGTGGTCCTCTCGGCTATTATGAGGCAGAAGTTGGAGATTGGCGAGTTTTTGGTTAAAATAGACTGATAAGGCGAAATGTTGCGAAAATGCTTTACATTTTTACTGTATATACCACATATAGATTTTTACTTTATACGTGACAGAAATTAAATTTAAAAAGTATATTTGATGAATTTTGTGATGCGTGTGACAAAATTTTTCTTGAATTTTAGTTTGCATGCAGATACATATTAAATTTAAAACCTCTTTATCCGGGGAATGGACCACAATGATGTTATGTGAATAAATTAATAAAAAATAATAAATTCACGTTTTTATCTGCCAAAGGACTTTGTTTTAAACGTAATGTACATTGTTTAGAGTTTTTCAGAGAAATTAAAAGCTTTTCATTGTTAATTTGTACGCTTATGTGGCGGATTTTTAGTTTATACAGATTTTAAATTTTTTGATTATTTTGTTTTTATTGCAATTAGTAAATGTCTGATAAAAAAATAAATTTGTGTATCTCTTCAGAGAACACTATACAGATGTTAGAGTAGCGGTTAAGTAACATTTATTTTTATGTATTTAGTAATTTTTATAAAATTTTTCAAGAAAATATGTATATATATTGGTACAGAAATCCATGAACATAAAATAAACTATTTGAAGTTAGTACATATATTGTTTTATTTGAGAATAAATCACCATAAATCATTAATGAACTTTTTAATATTTCACAAAGTATTCTCCTTATTGATTTTTTTTACATTAATTTTTATATTTAATCTTTTTAGAATTCAGGAATTGTTAATTAAGTCTAAATTTTGATATTGCATTCATTACAAGTAGCGGCACGAAACTCTAGCGCTGACCGTTATTGCGCAGAAGTAAAAAGTAAGGTACCTGAGGGGGGCTAGCGGAATGAAGAGCGGGCGCGCGTAGCGTCGATTGGCTCTCCAGTCGCATTCCGTCCCCCGCACCGATACGACGCACAGTGGGCTGGGATTTCAAAGTTTGGACTTAAGAGATAAAATGTATATTTATGGTATCTAGACATATATTTAAAACGTTTTTATTCTTTGAGTTTTTTTTAATTAACTACTAGTTTCGGAGATATAGCAATTTCAAATTTGTATGAAGTCATTACTTTTTAATTTAGCAATCTATAATAAACGAAACTTACATATTATGTATAATAAATTGACTAAACCAAGTATGTATTGGGATAATGCATACTTGTAAAAGATCTCTAAAAATGTGTAATCAATATTTGACATTTTTCATCACGGACCATCCTATGACGTCATTTGTTTGTCATCACCACCCTATGACGTCATTTCTTTTGATACTTTTTTTTCTGAGAATCAAGTGATAAGAGCGCAACAAAACAGACAGACAGAAAAAAAGACGAGCCAAAAGCTTTCATTTGTCTTCGGATGAGATTACGTATGCATATTTTGCGCAATTAAAAGCAGATGGGAATGAGGATATTGCAGAAATACTAGAACATTTATTAAAGAATCGACAAGATGTGCAAAAAGTTAAAAGGTGTATATCTGTCAAAGAAACAAAACCTGCGTTTTCTCCGGATGAGGCGTTGGGGTTATTTTTATCACTTAAATTGACCAAGTGGCAATACAATACATTAAGAAAAAGTGTTAACGAAAAAGACAACAATATATTTCCATCGTATTATCAAGTGCAACATGCGAAAATGGAATGCTATCCATCAAAAGACGCTATCAAAGTGACAGAAATCTCAGCCAGAATAAAGTTACAAGCTCTACTGGATATAACGACAAGAAGAATAATGCTGCCACTCATCATCGACAGTAAGTATAAGGAACTAACACTTATCAGTAAGTGGGGATTTGATGGTGCTTCTAATCAAGCCAATTACAAGCAAACAATCCAAACAGACGACGACACTTCAGAAAGTCAATTTGATGATTCAAGCATATTCATGGGAAGCTTAGTACCAATCAGATTGGTTTGCGACGAACAAATTATCTGGCCAAATGATTCCCCGAATTCATCATAATAGCGACACCATCCAATCTTTTTCGAATTTGTGAAAGAAAACCAAATAACCATATTGCAGGAAAAAAGTGCAATTGAGCAAGAAATTGCTGATTTAGTGGATACAGAAGTCGGGGAAATAAATATTTCACACTCTTTATTAATGACAATGATAGACGGAAAAGCAACATCAATTTTATGTGACTCTTCATCTCAGAGGTGCGACATTTGTAAAGCCGCTCCAAGTGAGATGAATAATTTATCCTTAATTGCGTCAAAACAGACTGATTGTAGATACGGATTGTCATCATTGCACATATGGATACGAATGATGGAATGCATTTTGCATATAGCTTACAGATTAACGATAAAGACATGGGCTGTGAAGGGAGACACCAAGTGTATCCTGGAAAGCAAAAAGAAAAACATACAGGATGCTTTTAAAAATAGAATGGGCCTTCTGATTGATGTTGTCAAACAAGGTCATGGCTCCACCAATGATGGAAATACCGCTGGAAGATTTTTTGCAAATCCAAACATTACTGCTGAGATAACAGGTGTTAGCGAGAACTTAATAAGGCGGTTTGCAATCATTTTAGAGGCAATTTCATCGGGCTACCATTGTTGATGATTGATGTAGTCAAATTTCATGAATATGCTCAAGCCACCATGCAACTGTATTTAGACTTATATAGTTGGTATTATATGCCTTCAAGTGTTCATAAAGTTCTAATGCATGGTGCAGCTATAATTGAAAGTTTTAGTCTACTACCAATTGGACAGCTATCTGAAAAAGCTGCTGAAGCTAGAAATAAAGATTTTCGTAGGTACCGCCAACACAATTTTAGAAAATGCAGCAGAAAAGCTACAAATGAACTATGAAGATATTTTAAACAATTTATTGACCAGCTCTGATCCACTCATTTCAACGAAACGACACAAATTTGGCAGAAAATATAAAACCTTGTCAAAAGAAGCACAAAGTTTGATCATTGAACGAGCAGAGACCTTTGATGATGACGATCAGGAAAATGTTGAAATAGCTAATGTTGATATCCTGGACACTGATTAAATTAAAACAGCTAGTTTGTATTTTTTTTAATTTGTTTTACTTATTATGTTAGGCTTTAAGGCCTAAGGGGGATACCACTTAGGGTGGTGAGGAATCGAGAACAAATGTTGAAATTGCGACCAAATCGGGGAAAATCGAGACTCGAGAGTACGCGTAAAAATAGGACAAATATACGTGTTATGCTCATGTAAAGTCAATTCCATGAGAAAATTTGAGAATTACGAGATTTTCACTGTTTTTTGTTTTGTTCCATACAAAATTAACTTTGAAAATGAATAACTCCGAAAATACTAAGTTATCTGAAAATTCGTCATTTGTAATAGTTTCTTATAATCAATAGAAAAATCCAACACAATGATAAAAAATTTAAAAAAAGAAACTTTTTTTTTTCAAATGCTAAGTCCACTACCGGCCCGTTTCGTTCCACTGTGCGACGCCCCGCGCACATCCCGTGTACAGTCGCGTCATTAATATTATTGTTACTGCTTAACACGTTTTGTTGTTTTTTGTTACTTTTTTGTTGTTTTTTATTTGTTTTTAAGTTTGTTTGTGACTTTAAAGTGAATATGCCTAGAACAAATACTGTTTTGAAAAGACAAGCCAGGAAAATGGTTTATGACGTGAATTGTTTTTTAAAAAGGGAATCTAACGAATTAATTGATTCTTTGAAACAAATCCAAAGTGAGATTCAGATTAATATCGTTATTTAGGTAATCATTAATCAAAGTGGCATATAATGTATTGCGTGCGCGACAGTACACATGCGCAGCAATACCCTCCACGGCCAGCGCTAGACTTACGTGCCGCTGCCTATAACATAAAGTATATGATATTGCATATTCCCAGTTAATATGATCTTAATGCATATAGAGCGGGCTACCTTGGCGTGATGGAGGCATAAAGGTACTAACTAATACTAGGTTACATTGGCCACGAAAATCCTGTTCATCCGGACATCATAGAAAACAATGTGTAAATCTTACCCCTGGAAAGGGTAACATTCCAATCATAACAAGGAAGATACACTTATTCAAACATATTATGCGATTCAATGTTTTTTTTGCTAAATTTCCTGGCTCTCGAAAATATGTAAACTGTGTTTAACTACGATGCCTTCGCTTTATTTGTTTTTTTATAGAACGGGGCAAACGCAGTCTCATCTGATTATAAGCGAAACCGCCGCCCATGGACACTCCCAATGCCAAAAGGCTCGTGAGAATTGGTACGCTCCTTTCTTGAAGGACCCTAGAGCCTAGAAATTCCATACAAAACGAGACTATCATGCTCCACAGTTGGTGCGTGGAAGCATTTAGGCTTAAGATATCTACTATTTCTTCCCAACATTTAATTTTGATATTACGATCAGAATACTCAGATGACGAGGCATCCCATAAACAGGGACGATTCTGAATTTCTACGATAAATCTCTCAGTATCGAAACTCATTTTTCGCTATTTTATTGCAATGAGCGCGAATTTGGTGTCTTGCTTGGCGGATCGTTGGCTACCAAGTGAGTGAGACGCAACTTGCTCGCATACATTTTGTTGGCGACGTCGCCAGGCTGCCAAGTAGCCAGTCTCCACCCAAGTGACCCGTCGTCGTGGCTACGCTTTCAAATTGGCGACGTTGCCAAACCGTCGCCAAGTGAGTGAGGTGCCATACATGTGAATACTAATTGTTTGGATACGTAGCCGGCGACGTGGCCATGGCGTCCCGGTGAGGCAGAGGCCTTATTGTTGCGGGTTGCATGGTTATATATTGTGGAGTTGGGTAGCTCCAGTGCATCAAACGAAAACGTCGTGTGTCGAAATAAGTCGTAGATTTCACTATACTTAGCTTCTATAGAAAAATTACTCATTGATCGGAAGTCTTGGGTTCGTTTGGGGTCAGCATAGTTCACTTGGTGATACTGTAACAGACTGCCATTTCTGGTATATTTATTCGTGGTAAATGGGTATAACATATTTTCTGGTGTTGTCCAAACAACATGTTTTGTTGTGTTAAAACAATGATGTTAAATGCTAAATAAATAAAACTAATGTACTACATGACAGTTTACATGTAGGACAAACTATACGAACAATCGAATAGTTAACACAATCGTGGGTAGTCGTGTAGTCGTAGTAGAAAATGAACTGATGATTCACTGCACTTTCTTGGTTTAATTTACAACTGAAACAATTACTTGTTTTTTTCTAGTTCCTGTGTGGTTGATCAGTTTTACGATTGTGAAAGAAAAGAAATGTATTTTAACATAATTTATTAAACATTACATTTTAATAGCTTGATAATATAACTATTTCAAATAAACATAATACTTCTAATGGAATTTACAGTCATATAAGTCTTTTTGATAACTTACATAATACTTAACACGAGATTACGACTTGAGTATGGCTTCGTAAGCCTGGAATATGCATGTGGCAACCTCTACCGTGCGGGATTTCAAGCTGAGGGTAGCCTCAGGGTTGCCAGGTTGAAGTTTTAGTTCCAGAAGAACCCAGATGTTGTTCGTCAGTTTCAGGGACTGGTAGAGCATGTCTTGCCCTTCGACGTTTCTCTTGGCGATGGTGAAAACGTTGTTCAGCGACATCTTGTGAGCGATCGTGTCAGCCGTGCCGACAAGATTGTTAATCGTGTGCTGGACTTCGTTCGCTGCTGGGATTTCTTTCCAGGTGGTGAGGAAGACCCTTTTATCGAGCTGTCCGTCTTCTGTGAAGAGGATGTGAGCTGGAATGAGGCAGGCGAAGTAGAACACGTCTATGTTGTTCTTGACCGCCACCTGAAATGAGATAATTATGCAATGCAATAAAAATCTTTAAACGTTTTAGAAATTGCCTATGAGTAACAAAATACTACTTCAAATACAAAAAACAACATCTATCATCATATCATTATTTGAATCCCGCATATACTATTTATATTAATTTAATTAGCACTTCATTACTTAAATAATGAAAAAAAAAATTGGTAGACCTGCAAGTTGTTGAGTGGCTCCATCCTCTGAACGGGTCCTCCAGTGGCGAGAGGTAAGGGTGCGTCAACACGTGCGCCTGCCCCCACCGCGCCCACTGACAGCGCACCTCCCGGGTATATGCCGAAACTAAAAAAAATATTTTTAACTTCTAAAAACTTCTGATTTATTACTAGCAATATTAAAACGAATTTGGTTTATTGGCAGTTTCATGTTAGATCCTATTTCTCAGAAACGAGTTGTTGTAATTTAGCACTTGTCAAATGTAAATAAGGGACAATAATACTTGAAAACCAAACTTATTAATTTTATATTACTGGAACAAATAACGTGGTTAAATGAAATTTACCTGTTCTTATTGAGTTGTATAGCGAACCCTGTCATGGGCTGCATGGCTTTGTTGGTGAAAGTCATCTCAACACGCGGCTGACCGCCTTGCCTACTGAAGGTACCCCAAATCTCCAGGCCTTTGAACAGAAAAATTATATGTTTTATGAGCAAACTAGCTTGGGTGCTAACCGTCTTTAAGGGGTAGAATATTATTGCAGCTACAAAGGTTTTGATGTGAAACATCTGTAACCGCACGTAAAACCGGTTCCTGGCGTGGCGACGCGTCGCCACGCTAAATGATGGTATATATATACAGTCTATATGCAGTAGTGTGTACGGTGTGTGTATTTCGAAGACACTGATTAAACGAATTAAGTAGTCACGATTTGAAATAAATTCGTAAATTTTTGTATTTAATGAAAATAAATGTTTATTCAATAAATAGTCATCGTTATCTGGAAAAAAATCGTTATATTTTATTTTATCATTATGACATATTTAGTTCCTTTCACAATCTGTTCTTTTCTGCATATTACTTTTCAAAATAATGTCGATGTTTCACATCTGCCAGGCGTCCCGTGACAGCTCACATTTTTTTTTAGATCTTGCAACGTCTTTTTTGTATGTGTATGCAAACATTGTGTTGGTTAGTAGCTGCTCATATTAGATGTGAGCTACGTTAAATATATTTATTATAGTAAGTATGTTTAACAAATGGTGACTTTTACCAGAATAATACTCAAAACAGCTAATTTAAGCGTAAGACCAACCAGGCTCCAGAAGATAAAACACTTTTTATATGGAAATTGTATTCGTTTTAACAACAAACTCCCAAGCGAAATTAGAGAATTATCACTGAATAAATTCAAAACACTCGTTAATCATAAATTAATCAATAAAGCTTTTTAAAATTTTGACGAATATTTAAACGATCCTAATCCTTGGGATTAATTTACTCCATTTCAAACAATTTGCATGACAATACTTGGCGATTAAAAAGAGTGGCGGAGAGTTTTTTACCAGTTCATCTCGCCAGCTCTACCTACTTGTTTACCTATATGAATATTGTATTTTGAGATTGAGTTTGAGTATAATTATATAAATAAAATGTGGACTTAGATTTGTAATTTTGGTATATTATTTTATTAATTGATAGATTTATTTTATATAGTATCAAGTCAATGTTACTATATTGCACTTTGTCACAATTTTCTGTTATTTTTCCATTATTCACTTGCATGATGATACCTTTTCCTTTATCAGCGGGCAGCCAGCACTGCTTGAGCGGCACAAAGGAAGCTGGAGGAGCGGCTACACCGAATATGTCTCCCAAAAGACCAGTTGTACTTGGGGCGGGAGTCGGCTCCGGTCCACCGCCCAACTGTCAATTAATTCAAAGACAATAAATAGTAATTCATTGTCTAATTCAGTGGATCTAAATATTCTCCAAACTTATTTAGTGAAAATCACATGAAAAACCGTTTTTTATAATTTTTATTAAAACGTTAAAATATGGCCGAGATATTAAGGAAATAACATTTCAAATTAAAATCAAAATTACAATAGGACTGTTCAAAATTTGTCACCATTTTTTGTTTTTACTCCAACTCACTTAAAAGACGAGACGTAATCATTATTCTGGAATCAATTTTATTTAAAGTAATTTATTTGTCTTAGAGATAAATTCTATTAAAACCCAATAATCGAATAAAATCTTACAAGTACGTCCAATCCACCAGCTAGCAAGTCTAGATTAGAGGCCGGCGCAGGTGCAGGTCCAGAGGCATTTGGAGCTCCGCCGCCAATGTCCATTGACAAAAGGTCACCGATGAGCGACTCCTGCGCATATGTTAAATATTACTGCATTTTTTTCTATAAATGATTGTGTACGTTATTCTATAGTGATGTTCATGTTGCACTATTAATTTTAGAATTGGTTTATCAGCAGACTCAGTTGGGTAAATAAAATGAGATCAGAATTGCTTTACAAAATTAAACAATAAATAATACGTTATACTTTTCTTCCACCCTGTTTTATAAATTAAAAAAAAAAACAAGTTAAATAAATTTTAACAATACCTGGTTAGGAATGACAGTGGCCTGTGGTACTGATTCTTCTCCGGTTACACCACGAGCTGGAAGAGACTTGCGCACGCCCGCCGCGCGACCTTCATCCAAACCATAACTTGTATATTTCATTTATATACAACATTTACTATTAAGAACTCTTATATTAAAATGAATTCAAAATATTACGCTCCTCTGATAGATGCATTTTGGAAATTCCTTTATAGGAAAGTCATTTAGGATCTCCAAATCGTCACTTTCGTAATAAATGTATTTTTATTGTATTTTGAAATCTAGCGTTAATTGTGCATGAACCTTCAGATTAGCAATTAGTTTGTTTCTTATTTTAAATTTTAGTTAGTTGTTGTATAATTTTTCGTTGTTATTTAAAATTTTATTTTTGTTAATATAGTTGCACTTTTTGCACTTTACCCTTAATATTTCATTTTCTTTAGGGTTGCCTAGATAATGTCGATATGCTACCTGTTTTATATGTACTTTTAATGTAACAAAATTCATTAAATAATAAAAAACAAAGTTATATACCAACGAATACAACCTCATTTATTCATAACAACAAGTAGCAAAGTTGCTTATATAAATAAGAACTCACCTTCTACGAAGGCTGTGGGCGGTTTATGATAGACTGAAGCCAGTGAGCTGATGTGGCAGATCAGCTCATCCAAAAGCGTCGGCTCCAAGAGATCCGTTTCCTCTGAGATCAGAGGCTTGTCTGCCAGCACCACTTCCTTCGCAGCAGCAGGATCAGTTGATAGCAATCGCCAATAGATGAAACCGCGGTCTCTGTTATCGTTTTGACGTAATAAAAAACTTTTAACTAATCTCGAGATATTTGAATTCAAACCGATTCCATTACTACTTTAAAAATAATATCGGAACATAATTAATTATAATAGTAATAGTATTAACTACTTGCTTAATGTCAATCGTTCAATACAGGTCTAATATTAAATCCACAGAATTTATATGACGATAGTCTTAAGGTTATTATTGTTTGGTTTTAGTGATCTGCGATTTTGGCGCCATTTTTTTCAAAAAGCTTGCAGTTAAAGGAATTTCGGCAAAATTACAAGCAATACCTTAAAAATGATTACCTGAGGTCTGGGTTGTCAGAGTCCTGTGTAGCGAGACTGAGTACGTGTTGCACGAGTTCTTGAGTGTCAGCGGGGCGTTTTAAGAACAACTTAACCACCGCTGTCAGAAGTTGCAGTTGGACCTATAGACATGATATATATCTGGGATTATTGTGGCGTAACTTTGAAGAGCAAGATTAGAGTTTCGGACTTAGGTTTCGACCAGCACTATCGAAAACAATAGTTTTATAAACTTAATCGAATATAAGTATTTTTAAATTCTAAAAAGCTTCCATTACTTTATTTATCTAAAGTCTTCAATTATTGTCTATGTATGATGCGTTGAAATGGTTTCAATGGTGTTATAATCTCATTCAGATTCGATTTTTTTTAATATGAAATGTCAAAATTAAACATGTAACTAGTTTTTTAAAATTAATTTATGTTACTTGTTAATGAAGATTATTCATGATATAATAATATTTATTAATTATAGATTTTATTCATTCAAAAACAAATTCACCTGAGCGTTTTCATCGTGGAATCCCTCGAGGAATGAATCTAACAACTCATCAGCGTTGTCGATACGCTCCGCGTACTCGCCCACAATCCATACCTGAAACGTATTTATTTAAACTTCATAGCACATTTAAAGAAAACTAAATAAATAAAAAATGGCCATTGCCTTTGGCTACGATGGCAGGCAACTGATTTTCATATTTCGATCTTTATTTATATAAGGTGATCGACTTTTACGAGATTAATGCCCATTTTCCAAGTATAAACTTTTTTCTTTCATTATATATGTATCAAAAACACTCAATTTTATATAATCATATATTTTTTCTCAGTGTTATTTGAAACATATAAATATTTTTTAGATACAATTAATAAGTTTCTCAAATTCTTGCACAACCTTCAAATATTAATTTTTTTTTTTTTCGTAGCGTCTTAACTGTGTTGGTTAAACAAATAGTCTCTAGTAGATAATGTTGCATATATAAATTTAGTTTTATTAAAATATTGAATATAATATGTTACCATAGACGCCCTGGCCTCTGGCTCATCTAAGGTGTCAAGATTTTCACACAAAGTGCTGATAATGCTCTCATATTTATTCGGGTACTTCCGAAATATATCTTTGATCACAACGATGGCTTCCTGCACCACATAGTTCACTTTGGTTTGAATTAACTCCAGCAAAGTTGATACGCATCGTTCGGCCGATGGCTCCACCTAAGATAAAGAAAATTATAATTTAAATATTAGTACAAATATAGTTTTTATTTCTCAATTTAGATGTATCTCTCAAAGGTTATTCAGAAAATTGGTTGTAGATGAGCTTGTGGTTCGTCCCTTAAAGGCCGGCAACGCACTTGAAAACATCCTGGTGCCTAAATAAAAAAATATTAAGTACAAAACAATTTGAGAAATACAAACTTTCTATGAGTGTTTTATATAAATCTAATACTGTTAATGGTGCTCCCACATTGCCTTTAGAAAATGTTAAGTAACGTTAGTAAACATTTGTTAGCAAACATTTAATCACAAATGTTAAAAAATGTTTTCATGTTAGAAAATGTTTAGTAACAAGTTAACAAATTATAACAAAATAAAACATGTGTTACCTTTTGTTTGTAAACCTTTTATAAAGGTGACGGCGGGCGAGCCAATACCAGATTTAAATGTTATAAAATGTTAGTAATCTTTAGTAAACATTTTCTATTAGTGTAGGAGCACTTATAACATGTAACAATTCCTATCAAAATGTAACAATGTTAGTAAATGTTTTTATGTTAGAAAATGTTTACAAACATTTTCTAACGGCAATGTGGGAGCACCATAAGAGATTTACTATTATTTGTATCATACCTTAATAGCACATCTACCAATAGCCCGAACGGCCTTCCTCACAAAGTCCACGTCCACCTCAGTAGCATACTCCTTCAATTCACCCAGCACTTGCGCGATATTCGCCTGCGACGCGAGACGTATCATGATGTCCAGCTTTTCCAACTTTACATATATAGGGTCGTTGTACTTCACAAAGAACACCTGGAAGAAAGTTTAGTTCTGAACATAAACATCAAATATTAACACTGACGTGACAATGAAAAATTCCGTTGCATGCGCTTTGTAAACAGTGAAAATTACACACAAATCATGTTTGGTGGCGGTTTTTGTATGGAGATGTTCAAATAAAATACTTTGTTTGAGGCTGGTTTTAATAGTTTAAAATATGAGCTTATAACTAACGTAAAATTACGGGTTATTATTACGGGTTGCGACGCTAACAAAAAACTAACTTCGCTTATCTAAGGGTTCACTAATCTAAATGACATTTATATTATCGGACATTATCGGGAACGAGAATGTTAAAATACAATTTAAAAATGTGGTAAAAACTAAAGGCCTCAATATTGTCTTACGCTTCTAATTATTAACTAAAATATTTATATGTAATTTAACTAACGTTAGTTAAACTATTCCTAAAGTAATAACTGTTATTAGTTTTTAAAACTTCAAAAGAAAATCGCGACGTATATCTTTAAAGCCTAGCTCATTATAATCTTTCTATGATAATAAAATTTATTGCTAATAAATACATCAAGGTTTTTATAAACATGAAGTCTTTGATATTTGGTTTTTGAAATTATTTATGATAAGGATTATGAAAAATAATACATTACATGTCTACTATTTTGAATTAAATTGTAGCAAGCTACAAAATTAATTTAGACACGGATTGTTTGATGTGCATGTGCATGGGTCTCAGATTAACACAGCTAGTGTAAACATAATCGAACAACCTATTTTACTACTACTACCCTCAATTTTCCGTATCTGTTTCTTGATAATTTGTTTCTTCTAAAATTCTAGTGCGTTTCTGTGCCTCAAGCACGCCATCGTCTGTATTGGGTCTAAGGGATGCCGGAGTGTTAAATGCTCACATAGAAAGTTAATTGGTGAACCGGGGATCGAACTTACTACCTCAGGGATGAGTCTCACGTTGAAGCTACTAAACCAATACCCCTTTCTGCTCTGACACTATTTGACATTACTAATTTATTTGGAGAAAACAAAATTCGTAATTTATTACATCTCACCTTCATCTCATGTTTAAGAATTTCCGGCCTCTTCTGGACAACAAGGTTTATGTTCCGAAGAGCCACGTACTGGACTTCTGGTTCAGCACTCAATAGGGTAACCAGGGGTGGGGCCAGTTTACGAGACAAGGTGTTAACAAGTTCTGTCTCATCAGAGAGCATTTCCATAAGTTTCATAAGAACCTGGTAAAATAAGAAAGATTATAAATGGCTAATGTAATGGCAATACCCACTATCTATATTGATTATTTTTTTAAACAGTCAGCTCTAATTTAAGAACAATATTTAGTTCGCCGGTAACGTACCCAGGACTTCAGGCTATTTATAGTTTGACGACTACAGCCACAAAGGTAATCAATTAATAGAACTCGTAACTTTAATTGCAATATTTGTAGGATCAAACAAAAAAATAAGAATAAAGTTTTATACTGAGGGGCCGTTCAAGTATTACGTAAGCACTATATAGGCGAGGGGGGGTCTTTGATTTCCCTATTTGATAATTACGTCAACAGTAATTACTTTTAGTAATTACTATTTACTTGTTTACACATATTACCCTTACATTGTCTATGCTTGAAAACGAAATGCATTTTCTAAGATTCCTACAAAAAATTAAAACGTATATGTACTATTATTTTTCAGAGCTTTGCTTACTTTTGCTAACAAGAGAAGGGGGGGGGGGATAAATTGCAGTAAATCTGCTTACGTAATCGGTAATACTTGAACGACCCCTAACAGTTTTCTTTTTAAAATAATTGTCAAGTATTCTACATCACACAAATTCGACAGCGTATGTACAGCGTTTTAAAAATTGAGATCTTTAAAAACAATTTTAAATTTAAACCGGAAATCTTAGTTTTAAAATGAAACCGCTATACAAACCTTGACCGCGGAAAGCACAACAGCTGCATTAGCGTGCGCTAGCCTCGGGGTTATTCTCTCGCAGATGGAGTGAGCCTCACGCGAGTCACGAGGGCAGTAGTTTGACAATGCATCGAGGATAAACACCTGACCCCACTCAGTGCATTCATTAAGGGCTGTCAGTAGTTTGTTAATGGTTGGCGCGTTCATTTCTGGAAAATATGTTATTATGTAAGAAGCACCTTTTGTCTAGTCCTGTCCTTCTACCTAACCATGTGATTATTGTAGTGCACGAATTTATGTAGCTTTATTACATCTCACATTTTTTAACATTGGTATGTATAGGGTTTGCAGCCTTTAATTTTATTATAGATTTTTATATTTATTGCACTGCAGTTAATTTTTTTTTTAATTTTTGTTTGCACTTATTTTTTAAAAATTATAAGGGAAATTTTTAACATAAATGTTAAATCATTTATCATGAAAACCAGGAGCATAATAATAAATAATGTTACACAATAAATACATGAAGGTATGATTTAAATAAACATAACTTACCAACTAATGGATGTCCTGAAACACTTGCTTCGTTAATCTCAGAGAGAGCTGCCACGGCATTAGCAACAACCATGGGGTTTGAATCACTCAGCAATTCCTTTAACTGATCCAGAAAACCCTGAAAATTTCCAATAAATGTCAATTTCCCGTGATTTATCTATATCTATATATTCTTTTGCAGGAAGCATATTATATTCTAAGTACATAATGTTTCTTCGGACTTTCCTAAATATCTTAAGAAACATACTGATATAGAAAAAGATTGTTATAACATGGCATATGTATATTGATTGGGACCTTAAGTATACACTAGCTAGTAACATATTTTAATGTACCTGATCCTCCACCATACTTGGTGAAATATCATACAACTTGGCAACACAAACAGCTGCAGTTTTCCTCACATATGGGTCTTCATCCTTCAAGCATTTTCGCAGAGGCTCACAAAGATACTCTGTGATTTTGTCAACCCGAATGCATCCCATAGTTCGCACGGCCAGTGCACGAATTAGTGGATTCGAATCTTCACAGTCCTGAATATTTTAAATTATTAGTTTTTATTTTTTTTGAGAGAAAGAAAGCAACACATCAATTATACTGAAGCTATTCAACTATAAGCAAGTATGGTAGAAAATGTAAAGGTTACAAAATTTTGTATGATATTTGCCAGATCTCTAACTACTTAGCATATATTTCTTGTTACCTATTTTTAGCAATTGTTCATAAAAAAATACTTATTTCAAGCATAATAATGTTTTAGTTTTATTAATTTGCAGGTTTATATTATATTTTTAAGTTTATTTAGTGACGTTTTTCTACCATACAATATAAAACTAATGCCAATGCTATACTGGAGTATTATGATGAGACATGATTTCTTGTATCAAAACATACATGTTCAGCTGATTTGTTGAAAATGTAGATTTACACATCAGTGCCGAATGAGTCTGTTTGGTGTTTGATCATGCAGATCTTAGAAATATACATGCATATTATACACCCCACCTACTATGTACAGCCAACTTCATCTTTAGTTTTATATTCTCACCCACCTGGTGCTCATTAAGTAATTAGCATTGTTTGTGATATTTTTAGCTTAAGTTTAATTACAAATATGTAGTCTAAAAAAATGTGATGCGTGTGTGTGATGAAGACGAGTATATCAAACCTAAACCTTTTGTTTCAGGTCACTTAGCAGATTAAAAGTAGCCAACATAGTAGATGAGTATTATCAATATTTGTGCATGACTGTCCACCTATTATAATGTGTAAATCTACAGCTGATGAGTTGATTTTTTGGATCAGATGTTTACCTTAACAAGCTGGTATGTTGGTAGATCCTTCCACCCATCATAATATGGTACAGTAGACATTAAAACGACAAAAAAGACAAGTCACTCACATAGATAACTAATCTACTTTACTTGTCATACAATAATCCAGTTTTTAAGTTAAAATATAAATACTATCCTGTATATATAACATTAAGCAATACTTATGGAGATTTTCAGTAAGCTGAATAATGCCATTGATAGTTGTCCTTTCTCTCTTTATTTTAATTTTTTAATGATATTTGCAAATAATAGGAGATGAAAAGCTTAATTGTCAATTAAATTGTGTAAATATTATCAATTAAACATTAGTAAGTAAAAGAAAAAACTGATGCATACCTTAACAAATGTATTAACAGCCATTATAGCCATATCTGGCTGTGATTTGGCATAATTCATTAGATATAAGTAGACCAATTTCTTAAGTTCAAGGTTGTCTGTCTGCATGCAGTTGACTACATCAGGAAATAGTGCAGAAACATCCTTACCAACTGTCATAGAAGCAATGACCTACAAAACCCAACATTCATCAGTTAATGGCATAGTCAATTCTCTATTTAATTTCTTGTGGACTGTTCAAACTATGGGATTCCTATACCAACCTTTTTAACAGCTTCTTTTTTCTTTTCTTTTTTATCACTATTGAGTTCCGATTTGAGTTCAAATATCTCTCCCTTTTTTGTTGTTGTAAAGTATTTAGAATCAGTCATTTTAACAGGTTTATTTAGGCTTACTGGTTATTCTATAACACAAATACCAATAGGTTTAATGATAACAATAAATCTGAAAAATCAATACTCGCCGCATCCCTCATCTAGGAAAATACTCAATATGTCACCATCAAAAATCTATTACTTACGATACTTTACGAAGCGAAGCCTAGGCGATGTTTAGAACAATTAAATTAGGTGTATTTCATTAATTTAGGTACCCGAGGGGCGTATAATTTTTGGATTCTTGAATCTTAATTCAATACCAAATACCAATTGAGATTTGTCATTATTTGACTTTTGTGGTCATGACTATGTTAGATATTTGTGGTTGACGTCTGACATATACACACAGACTATGTAAAAGGAATATAATTTTGTTTACTATAGAGTAGGTAGTAATAACAATGAAACGTTTTTATTTGCCAAGATAGTGGTGCAATTAGATAGATTAATTATTATAAAATTATTATTATTTATTATTAGTAGATAGGTAATAAAGGATATTTAAATGATTAAACTGACTGACAAATATGAATTTCCATTTATAGAAATGTAAACTTTTCACATACTAAACTTATTACTATGTTCGGGATTTTTTAGACACAGCTTGTCCCGGTACTTTAGTAGACGGATTAATAAATTTTACATTTAATGCGAAAATAGAAACGTTTTCATAAGAACCGCGATTTGTAACTATATTGTATTGATTCGGTCACATTATTAACTATTTTGACAAGGTAATATTTCATGTTCGTTAACTACTAAGCTACGGGGGCGGTTCTGTTATATAAAATATAAAAATATAACTAAATAAACATTCGTCCACAATGTAAATTTATATAGCTACTAGTGGACCCGACAGACGTTGTCCTGCATGATATTTCAAGCGATTAGTAAAGCAAAGTATGAAAGTACCGACTGCAGCGCCATCTGGCGGGCTGATTTGTAAATCTAAACCATTCCCAGATCCCCTTGAACACACACAAAAAATTCATCAAAATCGGTCCAGTCGTTTGAGAGAAGTTCAGTGACATACACACTCACAGAAGAATTATATATGTAAAGATTCCATCGAAAAAAACACAAGACTGTAATCGTATTTTATGTATTCATTATTTTCATGACAATGTCCTGAATCAACGTTTGTCCATTTCATGAAATAGCCAATTATTATCAGTACTGAGTCAATAAAAAACTTCACATTATTCACCGTAAGATGATTTAGCATTGTTTTGGATATTTGTTTGATAATAATATCTATAATATTGTAAATTACTAAACCACACGTGTTATTAATATGACAAAAAAACCTATATTATATATAATGAAAGGTTTTCAATTTCGGTGATGAGTAAGAAATCCTTTAACGGAACTGAAGAAGCTTCGTTTCATCTTGTACACAGGCATAATTGTATGGTTACTATAAAAAGATGCGGACGTGTCGTATAATGACGATGGTATTTCCACACCCTGCAATTACAAAATAAATATATTGCTAAACGTAATGTATTAATGATAAATCTATCTAATGGGTATAGACACTGTATACGTATAAAAACATTTAATATGTGTAAAACTTATTCTAGAGGCAATTAGCATTTACCCAATAAATGTAACAATCACATAATATGACGTGTTTGTTGTGTTTGCGAATACGAACGCAACTCTGTGATACCCAAAATAATTATCGCTGGGGTCGTTCCCCAAATCGTAAAAAAAACACAAAATACATATTTTTATTTGACACAATATTATATAAGCGATAAGGCTGACGTAACTAGATATTAAAATTAAATTATTAATTGCCTACCGCGAATGATGTGCTGATATTATACGAGTTAATTGAGCTATTTTTAGTTGGTTGCTTATGAGGTGGTTTGCCTATTTTTATTTCTGACACTTTTGATCTCATTATGAGACACGACACCAAACGCTGCAGTAGTGGCTTCTTTTTGGAGTCGATCAATTTAGATCCTTTGCTTACGCTTGTATGGTTACTATTGCTAGAGTACAAAGAATATGCAGATGTCCCGAGGTTTGGCGTTACCGACTTCTTGTGACCTGTACAAAATATGCGTAGTAATAGTGGTTAATTTAACTTACACTAATTCAAATTAAAATTCCATGTAAGCTGATAAACGCTGGTAATAAATAAATATTTATCCACCTAAAACTTTTGATTGTGTCGTGACAGTTTATTTGATGAAGACCAGGGTTGGCCTATTGGCGTCAGCGGGCGACTCTCATCCCCGGATGGGCACCAATGGATTTTCTTTCTATGTGCGCATTTAACATTCTCTCGGACGGTGAAGGAAAACATCGTGAGGAAACCGGCTTGCCTTCGACCGAAAAAGTCGACGGCGTGTGTCAGACACAGGAAGCTGATCACTTATTTGCGTATTAGATTGACAAATTATCATAAAACAGATACAGAAATCTGAGGCCCAGACCCAAAAAGGTTGAAGCGCCACTGATTTATTTATTTTAAGGTAACATGTACATTGTACATGGTTTTTTTATATAATAATTATGAACATCTGCGCTGTATATATTATACCCTATATCGCCTAACAAGATTGTGTTGTATTTTAATTGATAAAAAGGTTGCATACGTAAAATTTACACCTTTAAAAATAGTATGAATTGAGTTTGAATCCTTTTGTTCCACAAAATTCGAATTGTCTTTATTACACGCCAGTGAAGAATAAGTAACATGTTTCATTAGTGATACGCTAGCATATCGGACCTCTATCGATGAAACGATGTTTCTTGGCTTACTCAATAACTGATCATTTTTATTTTCCTCTGTTGTTGATTCGCTAATTTCATTTTTCTTTTCTATATCCCACTTAAACGAACATTCAGATTCATTATACTTGTCAGATAACGTATCAGAGCTGATTTTTTTAAAATTTGTATTATCAGTTTGAACCTCCTTGCTTAATCGAACCACTCTCTGAAATTTGGATTTTATTCTTACTTCTCCAATTGTAACGCTACTATAGTAATTTGCCTTTCTTCTCTCATTGCTAAACTTTTTACACACAGTATTTTGTATCGTTCTCTTAACTTTATTATATTGTTTTCGAGTCAACATTATAGGTTTTTGTTTTGTAAACTGTTCTACTTCTAAAAACACGTGTATATTTCTATTTAGTATAAGATTGGCATCATTTCCATTTTCTACGTTTCTATTATTATAAATAACATTATCTTTAGAGCCACCTGACAATGTGGAATGGTTTGTACATAATCTGTCGTGCTGTGCGACTCCGCAAATTGTTGGTTGAACATCTTCAGTTCTACGTTTTGTTTTTATTGGAAATATGTCGTTCAATTCATTATTTTTTGTTTCTTCGGAATGTTTTAAATCAGCCTTTGATTTATATTGTAGTTTTGTAATAAATTTTTGTGGGAATAGTTTAGCTAGACTGCTACTTAGTTTTACTTTCTTTTTGCTGAAAATCAAATTTAATTTATAAAAAGAATAGTCACAAACTGTGAATGAACAAGCAAATGAACTGGCTATGGCTACTATATATTTTCAGGTAGGTACAAACCTCGAGTGTATTTAACAAATGTACAGGCATTAGATGATGTATACTACATAAGTAGGTAATTATGTGTATGGACATTATTATAAGCATAAAGTAAGACTCTATGGGTATGTCTCATTATTATTGTTTTAATTTAGGGCATAAACCTGCGATGACCTATGTAAAAATTTCTACTTATCTATGAGCTTAAAAAAATCAAAAGAAAAAAAACTTAACCATTCGTTTTCGATGAAGCATTCTTCGCAGTTTTTTACAATAAAGGTTTCCTTAAAAATATTTAAATATAAAAATCTAGTTATTATAAAAAAATGTCTTTATCAGGTAGGAATAACATTTGAATTTAAATAACTAAAAAAAATTAGTAATTTGGTTTTTTGGAATTAGAATTTACCTGAGATTGTCGAGAATTTGGTTTAGGCTCATTTAGATTTCGCCCCGTTAAAATACCCAACAACTGCCTTATCTCCTTGTCTCTTTCAGATGGATCTGGAATTACGCACGGGTCCCCACGGTAATGCTTAGCCCGTCCTACAAAAGGGGTTTTCATGAAATATTTAGTTTATAATCATTATTACATTGATAAATTTTTACAACCTTCATAATTATTGTCAATCGTATTGTTGTTATTTTTTTCTGCCACTTTTTGTTTAGAGTTACCAAGGCTTGTTCGCCTAAAATGATTATAAAAAATCTAAATTCGATAATAATATCATGTTATTGTAGTTTTTACGACAAAGAGAAAAGTCTACCGACCCATGAAAAACTTCTATACTGTCTCGAACATTTAAGTTGGAAGATCTTTTATCTATATTTTTTTCTGCTTTACCTGGATTCTGAAATGTATTAAAATTACGCATTTATCCTATATAATGTCAATCAAAAATAAAATATGACCAATATGTTAAGGTTAGGTATATTTACAGGAGACCTTGAATTTTTTCTTGAACTCACGGGTGAATTGGCTGAGAGTGATAACGACCCAGAAGCAGGGATTTTAGTGTTATCTGATAAAATTAATAAATTTTCCATAGAGGCAAGGTGTGTCTTCTTCTTTGATTTGACAGTTTTTCTTACTGAAAAATCTGTATTTTGTCTATCATGTTTAAAAAGTAAATTATAACGTTCGGATTCACCATCAATATTCACAGTGACCTTTGAAGTTTTATCTTTTGGTGGAGCATATTCATGTCTTGCTATGTCTCTATTATTTTTAGCTTCTTCAGTTTCTAGTTTGTTGATATAATTGTCGACTAAAGCTTTCTTTGCCAAACTTCTATTTGTGTCTAATTTTTTTTGGGCTCCGCGTGTTTCCGTATTTTGTCTACTTTGGTATTGTTTTTTGGATAATTGTGCTTTACTTCTTTTACTAAAGACGTCTGTTCTAGAGCTTCCAAGTGGAATATGATTTCTAGTAGATGTTGAAAAACGATTTGGAGATACACTTTTTGGATTGTTTTTAAACATTTTACTATTGTTAGTTTCTCTTAGATACTCTTTGTTATTAGGGGATAATTCTTTTGGCGATACAAGCCTTTGGAAAGTAGATTTTTTATCCTTGTTTGATCCTTTTTGTTGGACTTCCATGTTTGCTATAGGAGACATTTGTCTTTCTTCAACTCTGATCATATGACCATCGCTCCCGTTTTCTTGGGATACACTGAAATGACGACAATGGGAGTTTGAAATCCTTTAGCAGTCTCAATTTCCGATTTAATTGTTTCGCCAGTACATACACATTGGCTATACTTATTTTTCATGGGCCCGTTTCTTTTTTTATATCCTGAATCTTGAAATAAATTCACTTGAATGCCTTGGGATTCCATTCTGAAATGAATCAGTAGGTAAATGTGCTTAATTTTTTTAAACTTGTCTTAAATAAAATTTTATGAATTCTTACATCATATCACCTGTAAATCAGTTTTTTCTTTCTAAGCTATTAGATATAGGTACAAAACTGATACTATATTTAATTTCCGAGTACCTAGCGAAAGTTATACCTATTATATTACCTTGAGGAATCACTATTGTAAGCAGCAGTCTCGTTGAAAGCGTATTCATTTGGACTATAGTTTCGAGAACGTCGGTTATGCTCGAAAACTCTTTAAATTAAATTATGTCGAGATTAATTATTATGTAACATAGTAAGAACTTATTAAAAACTTTAATCCTTTATAAACATACTTACTGTTGTTCGCCATGTTTGTTTCTCATCGGCTCATCTTGAGTGATATTCGTAATAACTAAAATAATACAAGTTAATTAAAAACTTTCGCTTTAGGTCTTTCTTATATTTCGTTTCAGAAGAGTTTTATGACCTAATAGGTGGAGAGTAACGATAATTATGAATACCCTGTTTTATGATTGATGCAAGCACAGTATTGAATAGAATGTTGAAATAAAAATTCTTAGCGTAGATAGTACGGAGAATTAAAAGTGCTGGTCTTTGTCCAACCTAAAGGAGCCCGAAGGCCCCGCTGGCCGAGGTCGAGAAATTGTAAAAATCCTTTGGAATAACTTTGTTAGAGCGTTTCAGGGTACGACGTCATCGTCGCAGTGGTTGTAGGTGTCGCTACAATAGTTTTATGAACCACTGTAGCCGAATGTAGTGTCGTTTTATGGCCAAAAAACCGAACTTTAGTTTTATGAACGTCTCAATGCATACTCACTTGGTCTATCATCTATCGTAGCAGCACAATTCAACACATATCTGTCGTCTGTGGTCAGACCTAACCTACCAACGATTTTAACATGGCTTCTATGTCTACTGACATCGGGTATGCCTGGTTTGTTTGGGCAGTTGATAGTTTTACATTTTCTTAGATCGTCATTAAAATCCTTCTTGCCATCTTTCTTTCTTTTATCTTTGAAGTTATTTTTGTCCATTTTATTAAAAAAATATAAGCGTTTCTTATAGAAATTGTCGCTTTCTGAAGATTTTATTTCGAAAATTTTTTCACGCTTCCTTCCAGAGACAGAACAAACGTTATTAGAGTGTAATCCGTCGTGATTAGAGCAACTATTTTTTATTTTCTTTTTTGAGATTTTTTTATTGAAAACCTTAGAAGTCTGCGTTTCAACCGATTTCGGTACTACTGTAATCTTTATAACTGGCTTGCAATTTTTACTATATCTTTTCTTATTATGTTTAATGTCGTCGAATGGTAAAATAGATTTCAGGATATATTCTTCTGGATCTAACGCTGGGTATTTTTTTTTAACTTTCTGAAAAAGTTAAATTATTGCGTAATTATATCCACAATGCAATATGATTCTTTAGTAACTCAGTTTTATTTGATAACGTCGCATTTAAAACAACGGCAAAATAAGAGATTATACTGTTACTATGGAATTCTAAAACATAATAGACTATCAAGCTTGTAAAGAATTATAACAACCTCTTGATTATTTCGTTTAATGTGAGTCGAAGAATAAGTAGACACATCAATTTCTTTGGTATCCTGATATTTTTTTAATGTCTTCGGCTCGTTTACTAAATTTTGCTGCTGTTTCTTAACTGGTGGTATCAAATAGTCCAGGGAATCTACATAAATAAAAATAAATAAATGTGTAGTATTTATGGGTATTCGTACAGCTAATTAAACTGACCGTAAAAACGATAATTATCATATTTCTCCATAATTAAGTAAATTAAAAATTATTAATAACAAAAAAATATAAAAATGAAAATGATTAATAGGAACTAAAAAATATATCTATTAACACAATGTGACATCATTTTGGCGTTACCGAAAAAGTATATATGTAATTGGAAAATAATAAATTGATATAGATTAAACCAAGGATTATATCAATGATATGTTGCAGCTTAGCAACATTCATTGCTATGCGGACGACAGCACTGGGGATACTTTTTACACTGGCCGGGCAGGTATTTCTCGGGCTGTTGTCGGTGAGTACCGGAACAAACTTGTGTCTGAAGTCGAAACTCTTCTACGTGGAGTCTCGGACTGGAGTAGACTAAATCTAGTCCAATTTAACCCCAAGACAAGTATGCGCGTTTTCCGCTAAAAAAAACCCTTTGTCGCTACTCCCCTCTTTGTAGACACTCTCCTTAAAGCCTCAGCTAGCATCGGATAACTGGTCGTTGACATATCGAATAACGTTCAGTTTCGCGGTCATCTGGAAGGAAAGGCTAAATTAGCCTCCAAAAAGCTTGGTGTGCTCAGCAAGGTGAGACGGTACTTCACTCCCGGCCACCGCTTGTAACTCTATAAAGCGCAAATTCAGCCCAAGATGGAATACTGTTCTCACCTCTGGGCGGGAGCTCCCCAGTACCAGCTCCTTCCACTTGATCGTATTCAACGAAGAGCGGTTCGAATCGTCGACGACCAGTCACTTACCGTGCGGCTTGATCCTTTGGCGTTGCGTAGAGATGTGGGGTCTCTCTGCATCTTCTACCGCATTTACCATGGAGAGTGTTCAGCGGAGTTGTTCGGTCTAATATCTGCAGCCGAGTTTCATCATCGGACGTCAAGGCAAAATACAAAATACCATCCGTATCACCTCGACGTCCGTCGTTTCACAACTGAGCGTTTTCAAAGGCAGTTTTTGTCGCGCACCACCACTATCTGGAACCAGCTGCCCACTGAAGTATTTCCGAACCAATTTGACTTAGGGTCCTTCGAGAAAAGAGCGTACCAATTCTTGAAAGGCCGGCAACGCACTTGCGAGCCTTCCGGCAGTGTGAGTGTCCATGGGCGGCGGTATCACTTAACATCAGGTGATCCTCCTGCCCGTTTGCCTCCTGTTTCATTAAAAAAAAAAAACAACCAACACCAAGATGTGTCACAAACCAACTGTAATATTTACATTGACGAGTGACGAAAAGATACCTCATACCATTATTTTTTCATTTAAAATTCATGGTGAAATAATAAACTACTATTGTAATGAAAAGTCAATAATTGTAGCAGTCTGTGAAGATTACAACTAATAACTATACTATATCCATCTAAATAGATTTTTAATTTCCATATTAAATGTTACAATTAGTAGATACAGAAGTTTGCAACGTGATTTATTAAGTTTCCTCAACAGGTAGAATATGCATATACCATACTACATATTTGCATTTATCGTTGACGTTGAAAGTTGCTATAGGTACATCTTCAATATCGAGTACAATTCTATACTGAACTCGGCATTCATCGAAGCCCGAAGGTATAAAGGCAGGAATATAAACGCAAAGCGATTCATGGGTTCCTTACTTCCTTATAATATATAGATACTATATACCTAATTTATATACTACAAGAAGTGAAGTAGGAATTCTTCTCCAGATATCTCATCTTTTTTTTGGAAACGTCTTCTATGTCTTTTTTTATATAGACCGTACGTTCCGAGCTTTGATTACGTAATTACCTACCATAGATATAGTAACTATATAAAAAATTATATGAAACTAGTCTATACGAATAAAGCTTCAAGTGTGCCTATTTTTTTTTATCGGTCCGGGCCTTCGTATTCGAAGACGCCTTTCTCCGATTATTATTATCAGGGAACATACAAAATAAACAACATTCTGACAATGTGCTTAAGCCTGTTTTAAATTGTCTTAGTGACATTTTTTAAAAGCGTTTTAAATGTAAATATGATACTAAAATTTTTGTGATAAATATATCTTTTAAAATGTCTATGCCTGAAGACAGACTTATAACCCAAATGATCATACCAGTGTCAAAAGAATCATATTTTAACACAAAATGGGAGTCAAAGGAGCCTTTATGTCCTTATGATATGCTCTACCACCCTCCGGACTACAACCCAAAATCAGCTAGATCAGATCGCCAGGAGCCGAAAATCATAAAAAAAAATATTTGGGAACAAGTGAGAATATCTACATATTTTTCAATCATTTAGTGTTTCCCAACCTTTTGTATGCCGTGCACCACCTTAGCCTTTCTAAAATGGCTAGGCAATATATCTATTTATTTACACTATGTTGTATTATAATATAAAAATTTAACATAATTACATGTAAAGGAAAGGCAACTGGCGGCCATATACATGTTTAATATTAAAAATTGAATTGTTCACTTAAGTAACATAAATGATAGGTTTAAGGAAGAAATTACTAGGAAATTCTTAACGAAACACAGTACTTAAGTAAATTTTTAATACATAATGGAAAACTAAACTTAACAATCAATCAATTTCCCCCTGTAAGGCGTGGGCCCCACGTTGGGAAACACTGATTTAGATTTGAGGTAGCGAACGACGCGGTATGTCTTGTATGATGTGCCAATGAAATCGCCTATCGCTTATACTCGGCCATACTTCACACCTACCTTTCTCTGTAGCTTAGGTACCTATACGAATTTAGAAAACCGCAGTGGAAAAGGAAGTCAATTCTCGGACTACACAGTACACACACTAACTTTGTCTTACCGCGACCCACGGACGAGGAATGTCGGAGCCAAACAATTCAGAGGCACTTAAATTTAAATAATTAGTAAGAATAACCATGAAATGGAATAGTTTATAGCTTTTTCAGGAAAAGAAGAAAATTATACCCACAACTACTCACTTTCAGTTAGGACGACCAACAATTAAAATTGCCGACATCCCTACAAAACAATTTGTTAGAGCACAAGGTAATATACACTATTTCTTAATCTGTTTGGTCACTGTCGCTAAATTGGAACTAATGTTTTGTTTAAACAAAAATATAACCTTTTGAGAACGTTGCTGGTGATGATTATTTTAAAAATTATTTTTTCAGTTAAAAATGAGAACCCGCACATGCGAATCGATGGTGTTTTGCAATGGGCCGTGTTGCTGATCGAAGGAAAACCTAGCTTATGCGATCAATAAAGTACTTCTTCCAAACTATAATATAATTTTATGTAATCTCGTATTTAGTGTTTTCCTTATTCGAACTACGAATGTTCTATACTATTTAACATCAAGAATGAAGTTTGTTTAATTGTACTCGCCAATCTCAAGAACTATTAGACCGAATTAAGAAAATTTGTTTTTGTGTTTGATAGTCCATCTATCAAGGTATGCTATATAACATCGTCACACAAGAACTAGCAGCGGAGCATAAATGAAAGTTGCAAAAAACTACCTTACTGAGTGCTGTTATTACGTGCGCAAATTCCAAGTACCTATTACGGAAATGTTCCTGTCAAGGTTTAAACAAAAGTTCACGACAGCATCTCTTAAGGTTGACTGACTGACCTTTATGGAATAAATTCTAAATAATGCATTGTTTATCAACATGAATTTTCATAATGTTATCCAAATAAATGCGCTTTTTCTCACAAGTATTTAAATTTATCCAAAATGACATTGACCTCATTTAATTTCAATGAATTCCTTCGTATCATTAATTTGTGCAGGGGTTTAAGATAACGTAAATTAAACTGAAATAGCTAGTGTATCTTACAGAAAATATCGTAATTAAAATAATCATTGACCGAAGAAAACAATGTGCGTCACATTCGTAATTGCATTTGCAAAAAAATATCCTTTTTGATTGGCAGTTCCGTTTGCCCTATAGATCGCAATTCCATATTATGTCGTATATACAGTCTGCAAAATGACATGTGTATTTTATAATATAGTTTACAAAAACGTAGAAGCACAAAACCAAACTGCTGTAAATATCTTAATTGGCTTTTCACCCAAAATATTTTTCATTAATGATCTTATAAATTAGGACAGGCTTGGGAATATTCAATTAAGCAATTTAATTAGTGAAAAATTATGAACGATGTTATCGTCGTAGTACATCGAATAGCATGAATAATATTGAATATTTTTAGATTAAGATTGAGTTCTAAGAACAAAGCTAATAGGCTCTCATTAAATATCATCATAGACACCTTGGTCTACAGAAATAGTAAAAATGTTAAGAATATTTTATGGCAGGACAAAAGAATAAGATCATAAACATATTTAATGTTAGTACTTTATTATGTAATACAAACTTATATGGTTATTGGGTTTATGATTGTTAAAGTTTTTGTTGCATACATGAAAAATTCATATCAAACTTAATATTATATGACAATGCATTTTTAAACAGTCACTTTTAAAGGAATGATAATTTAAATACTTTTAAATGCTCAAATACTTGAAGTACAGTCTAATAGTTCTTACCATATTTTTACCTTAAAAGATTCATTGTTTTTCCAAAAATCCTTCCTAAGTCCACACATACCTACTACATTGTTAGCACCGCAATGTACTAAGAGATTAATAGAATAATTCATAAAAGTAACTTAATGCTTATACAAGCTATTTCGGATAACATATAATAAATCCATAATTAGGTAACAGCAGAAGACAAAATAAGTGATTATAAATTGCTACACATCTGCCAAGTTTATTGTTCATCCTTATCTTTGGCTCCATGCTTAAGAATGCGTGTAAACTCCACATAGTCAAACAAGCCATCACGTATTGGTGCCTCACGTAACATTTCATCAACATCATCATCAGTAAAGCGGTCCCCCATAGTAGTCAGCAATTCTCTTAGACGATCCTCCTGTATCACTCCTAAGTTCTCTTCATCAAAACATCTGCAACATAAAATTAGTAAATCTTTACTCTAACATTTCTCTGTGTAGGAATAAAAAAGTTATATGTTTTGGATACCATCATTAACAGTCATTTCAACTTTTGTTTGTAAATCATATATGTATATTATGATTTTTAATTAAAATAATATCTTGAACATAAAATTTAAACAAAGGTAGCTGTTACCCAAAAGCATTTTTTATGACGTCTTCAGGATCAGTGCCTTGCAAACGTTCACCAAATAGAGTAAGGAACATTGTGAAGTTTATTGGTCCTGGAGCCTCATTCATCATGCCTTCCAAGTAATCTTCAGTAGGGTTTTTACCTAAATGAGGTAAATATGTGAAATCACAAATTATTCATTATATTAATGAGTTTTTTACATTATAAACAAATTTATAGTATGAAGATTCCTACAATACAATTCATAAAAACAATGTTACTTAATATGTTATTGTTCTTTAACAAAATAGTATTATTATTGTCACAGAAGTATTAAAGTATGTACACTATATAATATCTTTTTTTTATTCATTTTAATTACAAAAATTACTCTATTTTATATACTTCATTATATCACTTACCTAATGACGCCAACATGTCATGAAGATCATCTTTGTCTACAAACCCATCACGGTTTTGATCAACCATGTTAAAAGCCTCTTTGAACTCCAATATTTGAGCCTGATCAAACATAGCAAAAACATTGGAAGTGGCACGTTGAGCTCGCTTCTTGTTAGTACCGCGACGTCCAGCTGTTTTACGCGACGACATTTTGATGTTTAGCTATAAAAAGACTTTCATTAGGTTGATGTTAAGGAGAATCACTAAAAATAAAAGAAATAACAAAATGAACCTTTTTTAAAATAAATGTAAAATTAACGCGCACAAAAAGAGATAAACCCAACGCACGTCACGTTAAAACAACGTCTGTTAACGAAAAATATTATGACTCACAACACATTCTATACTAAAATTACCCAGCGAAGTAGGACACAGTTCTGATGTCACAATCAGAAACACTCCATAATTCCGTAAAAGGCAATGAATTTATAGTAGTCAAGGATAAACTAAACCATATGTAACTGTACAGTGAACAGTCTGAACACTCAACACACTACAAAGTTTCAATTCATTCCAAATGAGGTACTTACCAGATTTGAGTACCGTAATATAAGTCCTACGAATTTATTAACTTTTGATAAAAACTGGAAACACCTGGTCACAATAATAAAAATTCTCACGAAATTATCACGATCCTCGAGCTACCGTAGAAATAAATAATAAAGTGATATTTATATTCAAATTTCTAACTTGCCAAATTCAGCATTCGTCATTAGTTCATTTTTTTTTTTTTTTTTTTTTAATTTTATGACCTGGTAACAAAGACCTTTAAGTCATCATTAGTTCATTACTCATAAGTACATACAGATTACAGAATACAGATTCCATACATTATACAATAAAAATAATTTACCACAGACATCATAACGCTGTGCACTGACAAACCACATGTTGAAATTCAGTGTAAGAACTAAAGCAGTGTTGCCAACTGCACCGTAATTACGGTGAAAACACCGCAAAGATCTACCACTTACCGTACGATTATAATTACGGTGACAAAATGCACCGTAACACCCATTGAAGGTCGATTTTTTGAAGTGAAACTTCTTTATCAAGGTTGGAAAAAAAATTAGTGTAACATTTTTTCGTTACGCGTCACATTTTTCGGTTACGCGCCATGTTGCTTTTTGAAGTCAAACTTCTTTATCGGCGTTGAAATGAAACTTCTTTATCGACGTATGGGAGAAATTTTGTAGCAAATCGTCACGTTTTTCAATGATAGTAATAATTCTATTACAATTAATGAAATTCTATAATAATCTTCGTAGTAATAAGGTAAAATGAAATATTTGTATTCATGTCTATGATAATAAAAGCCTGTATTTCTGTAAAGTTGCATATAGTAGATAATTTTTCGAAAAATAAGATCATAAAGAAGTTTCACTTCTTACGTGTGTACACCTAGTATGAGCACAATTTTTTTTTAAATATTGTAGATATACACGATTATTATCTTTTAAGTAAAATAATTTTAGCGAGTTTAAATGTTTATTTTCATCAAGTTAGGGTATTTTCATTTAATTCTTCTGACAACACTGTTTTATGCGTCGGGGAATCCCCCAATAGCGTGATTCCAGCTGGAATATATTACGTAGAGCTGTATGTATTTGAATTTCGATGAATACTTAGAGTCTGGCTAATGAAAGAAGATAATTGAATTATTACCAGGACATAAACTCCAAAAAAAAAATTGAATTATTTGAAAACTTTCGAACGGCAACATAGAATGTCATTGTCAATTTCTCAATATGGCTGTTGTCAAACATTCGTTTTCTGCGGATCTTGTCAGCATCCTAACATCTCGGCCCACGACCTATCAGCTCTTGCGTACTCCCACCTTTTAAAATCCTGAACTATTTATTGGCAATCTTCTAAAGAAAAAACTGGCAGGCACTATGCTAATATTCAGTATTCAATCCCTTCTTCGCCGTGGTTTTTTAAATATAAGTTTTTAAACAAAAAGGTCACGTCTATAATCTGCCGTCTTCGTATAGGGCACGCTTGTACTCCCGTTCATCTAGCCAAAATTAAAATTAAAGACAGTTCTCTCTGTGAGTGTGGTATGGACGAGGGCTCGACAGACCATATATTTTTTAACTGTTCTTTAATTAATGACTCGTTATTTGACCATCTTTCTCCAGATTTCCCTCGTCCATGTAACCTTAACTCCCTACTTTCCTTCCCATCCAGCCCAATCGTCAAAATTTTAGGGAAATTTATTTCAGTTAATAAATTAAAGTTATAAATAAGATTCTCCCCTCGTCCCTACATAAGTAGTAAAATGTTAACCTCTTGTATAGGTATATTATTAGATGTCTGTGTGAGTTGTCTTTATTGTGACGTCATTTTTGTTTTGGGTAACTCTGCTTAGATTAAATTCAATCTATCAAAATTATCAAATCTATCCTCACCGTGTACTTAGAAGACTTAGAACGTGACATTGGCGGAATTGTGATTTACACAGATGTCGCCATTATAAATAAAGTGAAGTGAAGTGAACATTCGTTTTGGTTTATGTTGTTCTTATTTATTCATTTACGTGTTTAAATATGAGTAAAACTATTAAAAGTGGAGTGGAGTTCGAGAGATATTGTTCTGCATGATTTCCAAATTCCAAAAAAACAAGACGAAAAATAGCTGAATTCTACCAAAAACAAGATTGTTTACGTGTGGTGTTGAATTTCATAGGTTAGTATGATTTATTGTCTTGATACTTCATACAATTACTCATTTTTATTTTTTCCATTGAGACATTACTATTTAAGATCTATACCGTTGAAACGTGCAGAAAGAAAGCCAATAATTTACTTCGATGAAACTTATGTCCATAAAAAATACAAGCCCAAAAAATTGTGGCAAGGTCCATAATTGTACAAGCAGGGCCGGAGAAAGGTCCTGTGCCGAACTCATGATTAGTATTTAGCACTAAATCAAAAATGGCTGATTATCACCATGATATGAATGCTACCAACTTCAATAAGTGGTTAGAAGAAAAGCTCCTACCCAATTTAAATGAGCCAAGTGTAATTGCTATAGACAACGCCAGTTACCACTTCGTTATTGTAAATAAAGCCCCTACGACACAGAATCGCAAACATGACAATGGCTTACTTTGAATAATATTCAATTTGAAGAGTACCATACGAAAGCAGAACTGCTTTGTCTAGTAAAACGGTATAAACTAGAGCCAATATATGAAGCCGATGTAATTTTAAAGCACAATGGTCATGAGGTATTGAGACTACCTCCATACCATTGTGATCTTAATGCCATTGAGCTGGTATGGAGTCTGGCATAACGGAGAGTAGCAAATAAAAATATTAAATTGACTACAGTCTACAGAGCAGTTAGAACAAGTGTTTAAAGAGTCATTTGAAAATGTAACAGCACAAGTGTGGAAGAAAATGACTGATCATTTTATACACGTGGAAAATAAATATAAAGAAAGAGACAGGACTACAGAGGAACATTTAGAAAGTTTCATAATCAATGTGAGAGACAGTGATAACAGCAATGACTTTGATGAATCTATGCATACCTATTGATTTTTTGGATTCTGATTTTGATTATACCGAATAAAGTATTTTATAATAAATATAGTTTTAGTTTTCCATGCAATGCTAGTCATTTTAAGTATCAATAGTAAAAGACTAACTACGTATAGTATTTAATTTCATAGAAATAGAGTTACTATCAATGTAAAAAATAATAAAATCGAGTATCAAGTAAGTTTAATCCACAAAATATATCAAACTTTTAGGGATACCATACTAAAAATTTTTGACGTTGCCGCGCTTTTTCGTTATCTTCTTTTATTAGCTAGCCAGCCTAGCCTATAAAAGAGTGAACACTTAACTAAAGAAGCAATTTGGTTCAACCGTCAACATTAAATATCATACGTGTATGAGGGAAGGGGACACCTAATTTAAATTTTACACTCGTGTGATTTCTTTCTTAGATGTCGTATATAGTGTAGATTATCCTAGTCTAAGGATAAACATCAAACTCAAATGTCAACTTTTTTTGCCATCCGTGCCATTTATTGCCCTAAAAAATTCCAAACCAAAACATGAAGAGATCTTTTCTATAATTAAACAAGGTTGTAATAATGTAAGATACATAGATAACTTGTATTTAATCATATCAGTGATGGGCTACATTCAAAAGCTTAGTCAAAATAAATCAAGGTTAGTCTGCGGCTTTTTCCGAATGTTTGGAACATCGCCGAAGATCTTAACAAGCCACTATGATGCATTGGGGATCACACCAAACGCTACCCAGCGAGATATTAAATCTGCTTACTATAAATTGTCGAAAATGTACCATCCTGACCTGTCTACCGTAAGTTAACTTCTTAGACACATCTCGTTACATCATAACATGTTTAAATTGAATTTTTATTTTTATAGAACGAAGAATCGGCTAAAAAGTTTCGAGCCATCACTGAGGCCTATGAAGTTCTAGGAAATATAAATCTTAGGAAAATGTATGATAAAGGTATTTCAAATACAATCCCTTAATATCATTATGTCATATGGATTGTTATAGCATCATAAATCATTACAATGTAATAATATCGATTAATGGTTTACTATGTTGTAAGTACTTATTACACATTCTGCATATGTATTTTGTAAAATAATTTAAAATTTATTGTTTTAAGGATTAATGGTTGGAAGGGATAGTTATTCTAGCATGAAGTATAAACCTGATGTTGAACCAACAGATCCTACTTTAAAGTTCTACAAGTCTAGGACAACACGCCATATAACACCAACGATTGATGGCAAGACACCTATATATGACTTTGATGCATGGTATATATTCACCTTTTACACCTAGGCAATAGTGCTCCCTACTGGATTTCACTCTGGCATAATCTATTTTAATTCTTTACACCGTTTATATAATCAATGAAACATATCTATTTGTATTAAAGGTTTCTATTTTTAGGTCTAAAGAACATTACGGAGAAATATTAAAGAAAAATCAGCGTGCAAAACATATTATTAGGACAAAAAAAGAAAATGCTGATTTGTATTCACAAGCACGTCATCAGGAATCAATTGTTTACTTTATATCAGCTGTTGGTTTTCTATTTATTATTTTGGTAGCTTATGGCACCACAGATTATGATGAAAACAAAATAGAAAATACAAAAATTAAAGTTGAATCGGAAAATGCTTAAGAGTTAATTAAAACAATTCATGTGATATTTTAGTCATAGTAAAATTTGTCTTATATTAATTTAATATATATATATATATATATACATATATTGATAATCACAGACATGTCATGTAAATACCTCATAAAATAGAATACCTATTTTGTTCAAATAAAACGGGATTTGAATATTTGTCTTTTATTTCTTTTGTTTTTCTCTTAATAGATAAAACAATTTATAATTGTAATAAATTTATAGCTACAATGTTAAAATCATTATATATAACAATTACTTACATAATTAAAATTTATTTATTTCCATCAGATATACTTTCCTTAACTATGAATTGAGTAAATGATCACCTATTTACAAGCACCAATATCAAATGGACAGCTGTTATAAAATGTGTTCACACTGTATTACTTGAGCTGGAAACAGTTGACATAAATCTAGATTTTGCTAATAAAGAATAGAGTGCATTCTAATTTAAAAATTCATGACAATTAGAAAATTATGTATTCTCTCAGAAGCATTTAAACATTGTATTAATTTTTAAATAAATATGGCCACATGGTTTTCTTTTTTTAGATAATCTGATACTGCATAGTTTGTAGCTGCAGTTATACTGAACAGAGTCACTTTAAAAATGGTTACCATACATACCAGGCATAGGCATGTTTAAGGGACCCATTGGATAAGGGACACTTGGTACACCATGTGTACCATAGCTTGGATATGGCAGATAAGGTTTTGATACATCATTACCATAAGAACTCTGACCAGACCGCAGTAAGTCACTCATCTTTTCTGCTTTGAATTTCCTTAAATGCATTGACTTCCGAATTGGTTCAAAGTCTTCAAGAAATTTTTCAACATCAATCTTGCCTGTTAGGAAGTCTTGTGCAATATTTTCAGACTGTTCCTCGGTTTCTGCTGCAGCTGTTTGTAATAATGCCAGTGTAGTATCAGGTGATATTCCAGCTGATTTTGTTTCTAGGAAATAAATAGAAAAGGAACTTTTGTATAGTATTTTCATAAATTATGCATCACACATTGCTATTAGCACATTATCAAGCCTATTCATTTAATCTAAAAAACAAATAAAATAAAATAATATATATATAAAACTTACTATATTCATCAAGTAATTCCTGAATTCGGCTACAAAGATTTTCTCCAATTTCTGATTTTTCTTGAACATCCGCTTTAAGTCCTTCTAGTTCTGGTTCTTTACTTAAGTTGTATTCTGCTATAGATCTGTTACTAACTATTATAGTTTCCTTTTCTGTATCCCAATCTTTAATCTGAAAGAACAATCCATTCGATTTTCCTCATAGCTAACACCGGAAATTGTATTTCTATAAATGATTCATTGAAACACGTAAACCTAAATAATAAGGAACATCTCTCACCTGTTTCACATCTTTGAGTACTACATCAAACTTTGCATCATCGTTTAGCATTTCTTTAAGCTCATCAGAGTTTAAATGGGACAATAGACCCATTGCTGAGGGGTAGTCTGGTTGAATCATCTTCCTTGGCTTACGAGATACAGAGTATATTTTCCTAGTTATAACAATTAGCTTTGTAAAAGGTGGTTGTATTTTCAGAAATACTACAAAGAAAATTAATGAAAACAGAGCCAGCGTTCGCGTATTATTTACAAAAAACACAAATTGTAATTTCAGTACAGGCACTAGGCAGTAGGCAGAGTATTATAACCACAGATTAAGTACTTATAATTTATAACTCTAACAGCTAACTATTAATTAAGACTACAGTCTTTAGATTAGTATCAAAGGTTAGTGCAAAGGGTCAACTATATAATAATTAATATTAATCTAGAAATTAAGTTTTATCTTTCTTATATATTATCATACTAGTGTTACATTTTTAAGCTAAAGTTGTTCATTCCTCATAATCTGTGGCTGTATTATTTATGATAATACCAGGGGCCTTAGTCAAGATGCCTTAACAGTAGTGTATGTAGAAAGTCGAAAACTTAATTTGTATGGAAATGACAGTTCGTGTCGAAAAGTTTTCATACAAATTTAGTTTTTGACGTTCTACATACACTACTGTTAAGGCATCTTGACTAAGGCCCCAGGCCATTAACTCCAAAAAAAAAGTAGGCAGTGATGCCAGCTAAAGAATAAAATAAATAAATAAAAGTTAATTCTATATATTGTTCGTAATATTGAAATGTTTGTTATTTTTGTATTAGGTTACTGGAGTAAGTAAATATTTAGATTTACCTTTTTGTAGATAAAACATAAAAAGTACATAGTATTTTTTATTTTTCGGTAGAGAAGTTTTTTAAGTAGCAACACTTATGAAATGACAGAATTGTGGGACTTTCTTTTTGGCGGGAAAAGGAGAGCCGCGTTTTTCAAATAAAATTTTGTTTTATTTTAAATTAAATTGTCTTTTTCAAGACAGAGTGCTTTTGGAGGAGAATAATGTCTTCAGAGAGTGATGGTGATGAAGACGGGTCTACAAAGTTACCCGTAGACTCGAAAAAGAGGCGATTTGATAACTCTGTAAAATCGAACGATGTCGATAAGTATAAACCTTACTCTAAACCCGTGTATAAGCGATCCTACCCGGATAATAATAACATAGAAGAGTTTCCCGTTTACGTACAGGGAATTAAAATGGAAGATAAGATAGGTAATAAAAATCCTTTGCATTTATCAAAAATATTCAAAAACGTGAAGGGCATTAAGGAATGTCGTCGAGTTAATGCGGCCAAAATTATGCTGGTTTTCAAACAAGCTGCAGCTGCTAATGATTTTCTGAGTCACGTTAGCTTACGTGACAATAATATGAAAGCTTTTGTACCAGCCTCTTCGGTGGAGCGAGTGGGTAAAATTCGTTTTATCCCTAAAGAATGCAGTAACGCGGATTTATACCACAAACTAATGGCTGACTCTGAAATTGTTGGTGTTAGACGTTTCATGAAAAGAACTTGTGATGGTTTAGAACCCCTTACTACTATAAGCGTTACCTTTGTAGGAACTGTTCTCCCTCAGTATGTTTATTTAGACAACTGGCGTTACAAAGTTTTCACTTATATTCCTCCTCTCATGCAATGTTTTAAATGCATGAAATTTAGACACAGTGCCAAAGTATGTAGAAACAATCAGGTTTGTTCAAAGTGTTCAGGTGGTCATTCCTATAAGGAATGCTCAGCTGAATTTTTAAAGTGTGTTAACTGTGGAGGAGACCACTTGGCAGTATCCAGGTTTTGTCCTCAAAAAGCAGCTCAGATTAAAAAACATGAAAATAATTATTCATCTAAAATGTATTCAACTGTATTATTGTCAAGTGATTTTCCTCCGTTACCTAGTCATAAATCAGTTGTAAAGTTGGCTCACAATAAATTAGCTTCACCTACTGTCCAACCTAAGAAAAAAAAGTTATCACAAAATTCATCAGATAGTTCAATTCCAGTCCAGTCTGCTCCTCCTAATAGTGGTTCCTATGATCAGCTCATTAAAGATGATCAGTTCTTAAGTAAAATTATCAAAACTTTAGTTATGTTAGGCAATTCTAATACAGCAAACACAACTGCACACATTAAGGATATATTAATACAAAACTTAACAAAATAATGGATTATTTACGATTAATGCAACATAACATACAGAGTATCAATAATAAAAAACCACTTCTTAAATCTTTATTATATGATAATAAAATAGATGTGTGCTTGCTAAATGAAACTTGGTTAAAAGATTCTGGTCTGCCTTTTTATATACCTGGTTATATATTTGTTGGAAAAAATGCTAAAAATGAGCATGGAGGTGTAGGTATTTTAATAAAAAATGATATTAAATTTAAGGTCTTAAAAACTACTTTCTATCAAAATATTCAATTTATAGCTATTTCTATAATAACAGGATGTGGTCCTGTCTCAGTGCTCTGTGTCTACTGTCCACCAAATAATAGCTCAATTAGTTTGATTAATTTGAGAAAGATTATTTTGCAATTACCCAAGCCTTGTCTTGTATCTGGTGATTTTAATGCTCACAATATAGCTTTTGGTTGTGATACTACCAATTCAAGAGGTCGTGAATTATTTGATATATTTGATGATGCTGATTTATGTATTTTAAATTCTGGTGACCCTACTACTATTTCTAGACCTGGTAATAATGCATCAGCCATTGATGTTACTTGTGTTAGCCCTGATATTGCACCACTTTGTGAGTGGTATGTCGGTGATGACTCTTTAGGGAGCTATCATTTACCTACTTTTGTTAACATCATTACCTCAACTCAAAAATATACAGTACAAGAGTCTATACATAAGTATTTATATAATAAAACAAACTGGAATATGTACAATGATAAATCCAAAGATATATTTGATAAATTTTCTCCTTCAACAATTGATCCTTTAGTTCAATATGATGAATTTTCTAAATTATTACTTAGTTTAAAAGAAAACTGTGTTCCATTGTTAAAGCATAAATCTTCTAGTAAAAAGTCTGCTCCTCCAGCTCCTTGGTGGAATGATACTTGTGCCGAGGCTGTAACCAAATCAAGAGAAGCGTTAGCTAATTATAGACGTAATATGACAATGGACAATTATATAGAATATAAGAAAATAGATTCGAGGAAAAAAAATTATTATAAAAATGGCTAAGAAAGACAGTTGGAAAAGTCTTTGTTCGTCTTTTAATAGATTCACTCCAGTATCCCGAGTGTGGAATTTTATTAGAAGATTTAAGAGAATTAACATTAATAGAAATGTGTCCAAAAATGATGAGTGGATAGCAAGTTTTTTAGAGAAGTTAGGGCAATCTAGTAATAACAACGATAATATTTCTGGTTTATTTGAATTTAATGATGGAAGTCAGTGGAGCAAGTTTCTACTTAACTCTTTTTGTTTTGAAGAACTTGACATGGCTTTGTCTTCAAGAAAGAATACAACTCCTGGTCTTGACGATATTCCTTATATTATGCTTCAAAATCTACATGTTTCTGTAAAACATATTCTACTTAATATTTTAAATTCGCTTTGGTCTCATCAATTGATTCCAGAATCCTGGAGGTTGCAATGTGTCATACCAGTGTTAAAACCTGACAAACCCAATGATCATTTTAATTCGTACAGACCCATTTCTCTTACATCTTGTGTAGGGAAATTGTTTGAGCAAATGATTAAGATTAGACTGGACTATTTTGTTGAAAACCAGAAACTTATTCCTTCTTGTCAGTTTGGATTCAGAAAAGGCAAAAGTGCAGCAGAAAGTTTTATAGCTTACCTGACTGATATGAAGAAGTGTTTGTTATCAGGTTCTACTGCAATTTGTGTTTTCCTTGATGTTCAGGGGGCATATGATAATGTAGATCTTCACCAATTAATTAAGGTGCTATATTCTTTGGGCTTCCCAGGAAAGCTTTTAAAATGGATTTTCCATATGTATTATGGTCGTTCTTTATACATTAAATACAATAATGTTTTTCATGGTCCAAAATTAGCATTCAAGGGGTTGATGCAAGGGTCTTCTTTATCTCCAATCCTGTATAACCTTTATACTTCACAAATATATACATATGTGACTGAATCTGTAAAAATATTACAATTTGCTGATGACATCTTAATATATAGTGTAGGCAGTAATTTACAGGTTACTCAAGCAAAAGTTAATTCAGCTTTATGTCAACTTAACTACTATTATACTGAGATACTTAAATTAAATATAAATAGTAGTAAAAGTTCAGTTTTAGCTTATGGTATTGATACTAATGTAAATGTTAAGTATAACAATAATTTAATCCCTCAAAATAGCGAAAAAAAGTTTCTTGGTGTAATTTTTGACACTAAATTAAAGTTTACCAAACACATTGACTATATTTGTAGTAGAGCTTTGAAAGGTATCAATATTTTGCGGTCCTTAGCAGGAACTTTTTGGGGTTCTGATCCAAAAGTTCTTTGTTTATTATATAAAAGCTTAGTACGTAGTCATTTTGATTATAGTTGTCTGGCATATATGAATATTAGTCCTGTATTATTAAAAAAGCTTGATGTTATCCAAAATATTGCTCTTAGAATTGTTACTGGTGCAATGCGTACCACTCCTATCAATTCTATGGAGGTTGAGTCATGTGTAGAACCACTATGTATACGGCGAGTATTAATTGCTGAAAAATTTTGCCTGAAAGTGATAACTTCTCAGAATGATGTTCTTCTTCCAAAACTTTCTTATTCTATAACTATCACTAATACACCAGATTTGCCTTCAAGTATAACAGCGACTAATGTTCTCAATAACCAGATCCCTGAATTATTGGGAATTATGAGCTTTATGACTGATTTATCTGATAATATGTACAAATCTGAACTATGGCCTGTATATCTTTGTAAATATAAAGCTCTTATGTGTAAATTAAATATAGATATGTCCAGTGTAGTAGATAATATAGACTTTCTGGATTATTGCTGTACCAAGCCTAACAGTTACAAAGTCTACACTGATGGGTCTAAATCTTCATCTGCAGTGAAATCGGGTTACTATGATCC